CATGACGCATTCAAACTTACTAGTGACGCACTCGTGACGCACTCATACACTAGTGACGCACCCACGACGCACTCAAACACTCGTGACGCACTCGTGACGCACTCAGACTCACGATTGACGCACCCATGAAGCATTCAAACTCACTAGTGACACACTCGAGACGCACTCAAGCACTAGTGACGCACTCAAACTCACTAGTGACGCACCAATGACGCACTCAAGCACTGCTCAAGCACTCGTGACGCACTCAAACTCACGGGTGACGCACCCATGAAGCATTCAAACTCACTAGTGGCACACTCGAGACGCACTCATACACTAGTGACGCACCCATGACGCACTCAAACACTCGTGACGCACTCAGACACTAGTGACGCACCCACAACACATTCATACGCTACTGACGCAAGCATGACGTACCCACAACGCACTCATACACTACTGACGCAACCATGACGCACTCAGGCACTCGTGACGCACTCGTGACGCACTAGTGATGCATCCGTAACACATTGGTTATTTATAGCAATAAATATTAAGCTATTAATGTGCCTCCTAAAGTGAACCTAACGTCAACTAGAATTTTAGAAGATGTTTGAAGCAAAGCTAATGGTCATAAACCATTGATCATAAGCATAATGTAAAGATGGCCATATAGAATAACGTAAAGATGACCATAAAGAAGCGTGACTCTACATGAAATATTCCCAGAGGAAATGCGACGTCGACAGGGATGATTGACTGGTAATCGTCAAATATCGGCGATCGATCGAGAAGAAGAACGATGGTTAAACAGATAGGGCCACCTGTCTATTAGCACCCGGTATCCCGGTATCGGAGTTGTTGATCCTTTTCCGGACCCCGGGCGAGTGCTTCGTTAATTAATCTGGCAGCAACGGACTCGCCGGCTCAAAGGCACCCTTTTTCGCCCTGGTTCATCCATCCATTTACTTGCTGCGTGCGATCTCTTTTCGCCGCGTTTCAACCTGAACGCGGGAGACAACGACACACACACACACGCGCCATATAATTATAGTAGTTATAGAAAAAGAAGCCAGACGAAGGAAAACATACGTGTTTTGTTCGATGCGTCACGAACAAATTAATTGCTCTTTGACTTCGGGAATGTTGATCAATGTTGACTGTTATTAACGAAGAACTTGTAGAACGGTGGAAGAGAGGAACGTATGGAAATCGAGCGAAGCCGCAAGTATGCAGATTGCAATTTCGACAAAAGGGTTGATTAGTGCCGCTTTTCGCATTAATCCCCACTGCTGATGTATTGTGAATGGTAATACGATCACTCGACCATTGTACGCGTTCAACATACGCGCATTCGGGCTGATTCGTGTATGAAAAACTGACGGATGAACAAAAACGATGCAACTTTAGGAACGGGGAAGACAAAGAGTGTCTCGAAGCCTTCCGAAATTAAAAACTCCGCTCTGAAATTTCGTTCGCAACAAACAATTATTAATTCTCAAAATTAAATTTGAAAAACCAATCGACCTTATTATTAACGCTTCAATATTATTCCATGTTATTCTTCGGTATGTTAGCAGCAGTTAAGCAAAGAGAAAAAAACACTCGGTATTAAATGAACGAACCCCCGGTGTATACTCTCTGACAAGGCAGCAGCAACCCACCCTATCCACTTACCGCACGAATGGACGAGGTGGTCATCAGATCGATGAAAAGAGATTCGCGACACGCCAGGGTCGTTCTCGTTGCACGCTAAAACTGCAACCGGTATTGGCGTCTGCGTTAGCCGGTGCATAAAACGAAGCCAATCGGACCCTGTTCGGGACTACGCAGCGTGATCTAATTGTACCCACTCAAATCCTATCAAAACAATGCTGCACACTGACCGTTAGTTAAATGTTTCTTTGTGATCACACTGCCCCTTCTGCCTCGAGAGCTGGACAATACACCGGTGTTTCGACATGCTCGCTTGGTATCCCATTTGTATGTGGTACTAATCACTTGCAATTAGTTTCACAAGCTTTTGTTAATACATATCAAAATTTGTCTGGAGGAAACTTGATACTTGTGGTACATAATCTTATTGGATTCTTTACATGTTGTTGTGGTGTACATATTGTTTTTGTGGACATATTGTTATGATGTACATATGATTATGATGTACATACTCTTATGATGTACACATGGTTATGATACACATATGGTTATGATGTACATATTGTTATAATGAACATACTCTCATGATGTACATATGATAATGATACACATATGGTTATGATGTACATATTGTTATAATGAACATACTCTCATGATGTACATATGATAATGATACACATATGGTTATGATGTACATATTGTTATAATGAACATACTCTCATGATGTACATATGATAATGATACACATATGGTTATGATGTACATATTGTTATAATGAACATACTCTCATGATGTACATATGATAATGATACACATATGGTTATGATGTACATATTGTTATAATGAACATACTCTCATGATGTACATATGATAATGATACACATATGGTTATGATGTACATATTGTTATAATGAACATACTCTCATGATGTACATATGATAATGATACACATATGGTTATGATGTACATATTGTTATAATGAACATACTCTCATGATGTACATATGATAATGATACACATATGGTTATGATGTACATATTGTTATAATGAACATACTCTCATGATGTACATATGATAATGATACACATATGGTTATGATGTACATATTGTTATAATGAACATACTCTCATGATGTACATATGATAATGATACACATATGGTTATGATGTACATATTGTTATAATGAACATACTCTCATGATGCACATATGATTATGATGCACATATGGCTATGATGTACATATAGTTATGATGAACATACTCTTATAACATACATATAGTTATGATACACATATGGTTATGATGTACATATTGTTATAATGAACATATTCTCATGATGCACGTATGATAATGATACACATATGGTTATGATGTACATATTGTTATAATGAACATACTCTCATGATGTACATATGGTTATGATACACATATGGTTATGATGTACATATTGTTATAATGAACATACTCTCATGATGTACATATGATAATGATACACATATGGTTATGATGTACATATTGTTCTTTTATGATGGGGGTGGATGCTGACACATAAGAGGACCTCTTTCTAAACAAGCCTATTAATACTACTATAACTATTAATTCTAATGGCACTGAATGTCCACAAACAAATTTATCTTGTAAAATTTAATAGTTTATTAAACGACATTAATGTTGTAGTAATTTGAGGGTGCAGTCTTTATACAGCATACAGAGGGTAAAAACGAGAAATGTTTTTCAATTCTCTAACATCATCGTTTTGATTGCTTCCGTCGAAAGAAAGAACCCGATTGGAGCAACGTGCTGCGCTTTTGGTCTCGCAGAAGGGCGGCGCGTGTGCACGCGTGCGCGATCACGAAGCACACGCGAAACAATCGGATCGGTGCTTCGGTGCGCGTCAATGCGACCAAAGACGAAAATTAAGTCGTTCACCCCCTCCAATCCCTCTTATCCGACCCACTAATAGACCGGTCTCCTCTGGGCAAACTATCAGCGTTGACCCCCACGCTCGACGGATAAACGACTGAAAATAACCCCAAGAGACCAGAAAGACCCCCCTGGTTCCCCGACAGCCTTCCGAATACAAGTCGCTGCATCTGTTCCTGCTCTGAAAAGAACGAATGACTCCGACAATTAGAGAAGAGCAGCGGAGATCCCGGTGAAACGCTTGCGAGCAAAGCCCGTTCTGCTCGGTGCTTCTTTTCTTTCTCGGAGATTGCGACCCCTATGAACGGGGAATCGGAGATTAAATCCGAACGATTATCGTTGCGATAAGAAGAGTGCGTTTTGAGGACTTGGAAATTGCAATGATCATTATTTGTATGATCGTTATTTGGAGCTACAAGGGTGGGGGTATTCACTGTTCCAGAAGTTAATAGAGAAGACTCAAGACCTAGACGCTCTAAAAATTCTCTGAACAACTTAATTTTAAAAATGATCCAAAGAGAGCATAGAGAAGACGAGGATCAAAAAGAAGAGCTAGAAACACTAGGTGTTTACAACCCCTTTGAACCTAGAAACCTAAGGAGATACCTAGAAACCTCCAAAGAGGGTTCCATCTCTAGGTCCACACATCGTTTTGCAAAAATTGCACACCCTTAAAATAAAATCTCTCGATTATAAACAGCAACGAATTTTGAAAGAGGATATGGAAGTATATAACCGATCGATTATTGTAGTCTATGCGATCGCTTCGATCGTCAAAGAGTATCTCTATCGTTTCTGGTGAAATAGAACTGGCGACGTTTGAGGCTCCCTCGTCCCGTTTCTCCCCTTGCAGGGCGGGCCGGTCTAATAACCTCCCAGGCTGCTCGGCGAAAAAGGAACATTTTCTTAAAGGAGCATTCAGAGCGCGGCTTGATAGGTGGATATTATATAGTAGCTGGGGTTACCCTCGCCGGCTCGCGGGCGGAGTTTCCGAGAGGAAAGGAGGGAAACGTGGTGGCGCGGCCACGAAAACGAGGAGACACAGCGGAGGGGTTGCCCGGTGGGGGCAATGCATCCATCCATATCCATCCCGGGGTGGCTACTGGGGCTTTGATTACTTGTTTTAATCTTCCGACTGCCGACTGGGCGAGCATCTGTCACTCAAAATCCGTAATTGCGCGCGGTACCGTTCTTCAAACCCTCCCCGCATACCCCTCGCCCTTCCCTCGATGTTCTACGGGGTTCTCTTGCTTTGAGCATTGCTATTACTTCCTTATTGCTCGTTTAGCACTTTCACGCTGGCTTTCCGGTTACGGGCTGCATTCCGGACTGATCGGGTAATCGGATTACCCGATGCTCGTGAAATTCCTCCTCTGCCCTCCTTTCCCGATTTTTTCTTCTACGTTTGTAACCTTCTTTCGGAACCGCTCGTTACTCAACGGGTCTTTGATACCGGGGCTATTTGGACTCCTCGATCTGGAAACCGTCGATCTCTTTGACACGGACGCGACATTTAGCCACCTGTCGATGCATATTTTTCTGAAAATATTGGTAATAGTGTTCATCAGTTTGATAATTTGGTAGTGTTTATTAATTTTTAAAATGAAACGTTTACCTAATATTGAGGGTTCAGGAACTTGGGAATAAAAGTGCTCTGTAAACATTCGTTGAACATATGAGTATTAATGTTAATAGTCTTGTAAGTGGAACAGAGACAAATGTTAAGGTTGTTTAAGCGTTACCGAACAACAAGAGCAATTAGAACGAGAAGCCGTAGAATCGCAGCCCAACAATCGCGGGGGTGGAACAAACCGGCGATAGAGGAAGTCGATTAGGATAGGAAAATCCGTCCGCCCGGCGACGACATAATCCGCGCTCGGTTTTAATCGAACATTACGACGTTTGATCGTTAAATTCGACGATCAACGTTACAGGAGAATAAAAATGAATACAGAGAATTGAACTAGCAAAGTTTTCAAAGGATAAAGCGCGGGAATCGATGAAAAAAAATCTGTCCGGTTAGCGTGGCTGCAATTTAATCCGTAAGCTTCTTTCTGGTACTTTTCGACATGCTACGATTTCGACGTTCGTTCAACCGCGATTTTTCAGCCCACGGAAAAGAGGGAACTATCGCGCCGGAAAACACGTGGTAACGATGATACAGGCATACATGAAAAATCGAAATTCTCAGCTTTTCGTCCGTGCGCTCCGATGCTTGGAGCGCATTTACGCATCCCAAACGGGCGAACAAAAAGCAGAAAATGGCAGAGGAAGAGAACACGTGTTTCGGGTTTTTTAATCATTCAGACGATAGACGGGAAACGGCCGTGTAACGCTTCGACGTCTGAAATTTAATTTACGACGCTTCAGAGACACGGCTGCCTTGAATATGTTTAATCTTGAGATTTCTACTCGCAAAGGACAGGATTGGATTTTGTAGGGCGAAAGAGGATGAGCCGTTTATCTCGGGCGTCGCTTTTCAGTTTTTCCTCGCTTCCCACTCTATATCTTATACCGTCCGCTACCCCGACTCTTCTCTGGTTACTTTATCCCTTCCTTTGGGGCGTCACCGGCGTCGGTATCTTCTTCGTCGAAATAATAAGCTCTCTCTTATAAATTCATCGCGTGCTCCCCGGCTCCTTTTTCATAGCGCTAAGTATTCCCCGTCATGCCGAGAAATTGCCCTTTAATTACTAAAACAGTAATTAAACGAATCTTCCTCCAATCAACAAAATTACCATTTAATATCTCTAACGTTATTTACATCTGTAACAAAAAACTGAATCTTAGATCTCCACTATCCCAATAGTTACAAGCTTTCCAATGTTAAATAAACTGTGGAACACATTAAGGATACCTTATACTACAGAAATTCAAAGGGAAGTGCTTTTTCGAATGTGACGAAGTATAATCCTGAACTGGAAGAGATTTGACTCGTTAATCCATTGGCACAAAGAATCAAATTAACCGGCATAAGATTACTGTTCCCCCTCTATAATGGTTCTCCGGATTCCATTCTAGAATCCTCTGCATCACGCGTGTACGTACGAGCGTTTACGCACCTTTTTCTTCCCCTCTTACTTTCAATTCGAGCACCGCAAACCCTTATGCTCTTTGCTTTTGATTGAAGAGCACACCCTCGCCCTTGCTGGAATAATCCTACCTCTGAAGAACTCGATTGCGTGTACGTGTACATCGTGTTAGGAATGAAAAGTAGTTGTGGAAGAGTACTGGAGAAATTAAATGCATGAAAAATAAAAAGGAAAGATGAGATTTTAATTTTTAGACATTTCAATGATTTCTATTAATATTTTACTTATATTATGTCACAGTACAATACATTATACATTATTTGTTAATAGAAAATGTTTTTATACATTTAGTTTACTGATTCAAAATATTCCTTGCTGTCCTTAGGATTTGGCTTGATGGTTTTGGAATCTGGCTGCCAATTGGCAGGACAGACTTCTCCGTGTTTCTCGACAAATTGGAATGCCTTGATAAGTCTCAATGTTTCGTCCACACTTCTGCCCACTGGCAAGTCGTTAATGCTAAGTTGTCTTAATATTCCTTCTTTGTCTATGATGAACAGACCCCTTAAGGAAATTCCAGCGTCTTGTAGAAGGACATTGTATTTGGCTGATATTTCTTTGTTAAAATCGCTAAGAAGAGGGTAACCCAGATCTCCACCTAATCCTCCTTGTTTCCTTGGTGTGTTAGTCCACGCTAAATGACTGAAGTGGGAATCTGTGGAGACTCCGATCACTTGTGTATTCAATGCTTTGAACTCTGAGATTCTTTCACTAAATGCTATTAACTCGGTGGGGCATACAAATGTGCTACAAATAAAATGTACATTTTCAATATATCATCAAAATTTAAATTATTGAAAAAGCGATAACTTACAAGTCTAAAGGATAAAAGAAAAGGACAACATATTTTCCCTTGTAGTCACTCAGTTTTATTTCTTTGAAGTCACCATTAACCACGGCAGTCCCAGAGAAGTCTGGTGCAGGTTTCTGAATCTGTGGTTGACAAGACAAAAGTTTGGAACTAAGGCAAAAGCTACGAGCATGTTCTACCAATGTTGGATTCCTAGCATTCACAAAAGCTGATGCTGGAGTAAATACCTGTAAATCATACATATTACATTTAATACACAGACATTCACTGAAAATCAAAATAGTTATTAGTTTTTAGTTTCTAATAACCTAACCAAATAATGTATTTTTTTAGGTTAAATAACTTACCGCTTTACAAACTCTGGGGCTCAAAGATACTAGCAGTCGAAGCATTATTAATATATATAAATTATTGAATACGTCAGTGTAAAAATATTCAAATAGAAAATACGTTCAATTTCAGAAATTGTAGTTACTTCTACGGCGGCGAATATCGAATGTAAAAATCGAAGTATTCAACGCTCGAAAAGGTTATATAACTCACTTTTCATACATGTAGAACATGTTAATAAAGAATGACGTAGAAAATCATTGATTTCATAGCGTTTACTTAAACTTCACTTATGTTTCTTTAATAATTTAATAAGATTTTTTAAATATCACAGATTATACGTTTAAAATTGCGCTTCTTCGGAACGCAAAATCGAAACACTTCGATATAAATGTATCGTATCGAAGTATCGATATCAGTAACACATCGATAAATACGTACACACTTTACTGAAGAAGTATCGATAATAAATCGATGTATGAAATTATTAGACTCGTTTAATTAAACTTAAAATTAGTCAATAAAACCATATTTTATTCAAATAACAGTGTTATAAGTTTATATACTTCTTTATATATATATATATAAATTCAACTTACGATTGTTACATTTAAATTAAAAGTGTTTGGTTTCTCCTACAATGCGAAATATCACACTATCCATCGTTAAACAGCATTTAACTCTTTACTTTAAATGACACTTGATTAGAAAATTTATTCATTGTTGGTGAAACCAGATACGCATTAGAAATAGATTTTTATTTCTAATATTTGAAACTTACTGAAATTGACATTAAACGTTACTTCCAATCGAAAAATGCAAGTCCGTTACTTGGGCGCTCCTCAATTTTGAAAAAGTGAGATTAAAATAAACATAGTTCTCTGAGTAGCCAACCTGTTTCCGTTTCTTGCGTTACAATTTTAACTTGAACATTCATACTTCCAAGCTTTACTAAATAAACATGGTATACAAATCTATTTACTTTATACAAGGTACACATATCGCGTACAGTACTGATACGTACTTAAGTTCTCTCTCTATCTATCGAAACAGAATCTCTTAAAAAACCACCATCCAAACAGCGACAGAAATATTGACCTATGTAACCATAACTTGACAACAATTTCTTTCTCTGTTTTTCAATTGGAAGCCGTAGCAGTTGCAGTTGGCGCAGGTGTTGCAGCAGACGTAGATTCTTCTGTGACGATTCGCCGATTTTTTTTTATCCTTTTCCATTCACCATTCGTGTAATTCATTTGGAAGTGAGTTTCGACTAACATTGGTACAGTTGTTCCATCTGGTTGAGTCACTTCTTCTATATTTTCCGAGAGCATGACTGTGACTATGTTACCCAATTTCGGACAAGGATTATCTAATCATACAATGAAAGCACCATTAAGTTTCTCTCGATTGAAGGATATTTGACAATCTTAAATGTAAATACACACCTCTGGAGCCTGCCATAAAACCTAGAATAAGAGCTTTTTCTGGGCGAGTTACTTTATTTGCGGTCCTAAACATCTCTTGTGCTTCCAACATTTGTTCACGCTGAAAATAAAATAAATAAATAAATGATTTCTCATATCTCCCTCGTTACTCTTTGTTATATTATAAATGTCTTCATATACCGTAAGAGATAGTCCTTTTCTCGTATTTGCAGCTGCATTAGCAGGTTGTGCGGTGGTTTGTATACGAATTTGCGTAACCGTTTGAGGTGGTCTAACGGTTTGCACTCCGATAGGAGTACTTTCGACTGGTGTAATAACAGTTGGTGTTGCAACAGGTAGAACTGTGTTCGGTGTTGTAGGTGTACTCGACGTTGTAGCTATACAATAAATATTGATTATTTCTTAAAAATAATGTACGTTAAGAATGTTGAATATATATTTTATATATAAATAAACATACGAGTTTGTGGGGTAGTTACTGCTGATACTCCGCTTGGTGTAGTAGGTGTAGCATAAGACTGTACAGATACAACAGGAGTAATTGGAGTAGCAGGTGGATTGATTGAAGCTAATCCTTGAGCATATTCTGGTGTAGTTGATGTTTCTGTCGTGGTCGTAGCTGCCGATGCAGCCGCAGCTGCAGCCGCTTGTGCCTCTGCAACCTTTTTCTGTTGTTCCTCTAATTCCATCATTCTCTTTCGTTTCTTTGCCTGGGCATATCCTAGAGGTTGCTCATTAATATCTAATAACTTGATACCACCATCTTTACGCATTCTGTTGCTAAGTGGTGTTCTGGTAGACATAGAAGAACTTGTAAGTGATGGAGATCGAAAACCACTTGTGGGAACCCTACTAGGAATGCCTTTTAAAGGTGCTGAAAAGAATATAAAGTTGGAATATAACACTTCCTTTTGAAATATTTAATAATAATTATATGTAAAAACTTACTAGTGTCTGTCATTTTTCTAGGCATTCCTCTACTCCTTACAGGCACTGTAGGAGCAGTACTCTTTTTTAAATTGCTGGCTGCATCAGTACTTTTTTGAAGCAATTCTGCTCTTAATGCAGCACTTTTTGGTTTCCTCTTTAAAGTAAAATGTTTAACTGGTGTAGGTTGTTGACCAACAACTGACGTAAGTGCAGTCTTATTAAGGTAATGACATTCTAATGGAAGCATAGCTGGGTCGTTTTGTTTTTTCAAAAGTTTACGAAGATCATTGACTAGCTCTCCAAAAATAGGTCTATGTTCATCTAGATCTGTGATATCTGTATTTAAAGAACCAGTTGAAGGAAAAGTCTTCATCGCTTCGGATAACATCGACACCCATAATTCACTATCCAATGATGCCACTTCAATGATTTCTTCCAACTCAACACGCCACTGCACAATTTATTAATATTATGTATTACAAATACACATTGTGAGAACATGTTTCAAGTACAAATCATAATACTCTCATAGCTCATTAAATATGTGAAAAACACCAACTGCTATTTATAAACTTAAACACTAATCTGTTGTGTACAAAATATTGGTCACAAAGGATACACGATTATTTACTAAACGTTTCAAAAACATATAACGTTGAAATAAAGTAAATGGCCAGTCTGTAATGCTTATTTTTGTTAAACGTAATAAAACATTAAATTCGTTAAAGTCGCCATTCCAAATTTTTTCATTCATATCTCAGAACATACTTGATAATTCACGTGCTCAAAATATTTGTAACAAACAAACAGTTTTACCTCCTCAACATTCCGTCTTGGTATGTGAAAAAATGAAAGAAGTAATTTGAGTTTAACTTGTGTTTGAAGGTCTGGAAAACAGTCTTTAATGTTCCGTAGTACTTCTGCGTTAAGTTGTGAACAAATTGAACTTCCAGTCCAGCTATCATTTGACGTTCCAAGCTTGTTATGAAGCCACAACGACGTATCACTGTCCCTCACATTCGCCATATTGGAGTCGTTTGTTTCACGCATTTGACGTACATTACCGTGGTGCGCCACATGTTATTCCCGCCATAAAATAACGTGACATAATTCATATAATATATAAATTATAGATATGTATTCGATTGTAAGAAACGCGTTATTTGAGTACCTTGTGACAGCAGAGAACCTGACGAACTCCGTTCTTTCCTTGTCTCTCCTGCATCATTCTGTACGGGAGAGACAAGAGTGTCCACAGTTCCTCAGTTTCGCCGCATAAATCCGCCAAAGTTAATTCACATTTGAAGCATTTTTCCACTAGGTGCGTTTTCAAAAAATGGTGAAAATCAGCCATTATTTTAACAAAGGATTTTCGCGCGGATACAAATGGCGTCTTTTTAGCGCAACGTGATCTTGGTTTGACGTGAATTTGTTGTGACATAAAGTGACCAGTATAAATAACTTTCACAATATGACCAATACAAATGGGTTTTCAGATTCACAGGAATCTGCTCTGCTTGGAGAAGAAGAATATAAGGAGCTCGAAAAAGAGCTGTAAGAAATATAATTGTGTTACAAAATTCCTAACTTAATAATTTTTTCTCTTTTTGTTTTTAAATTTGTGATGCATATTTAATTATTTAATGCAGAGATTTTATGCCGTCAATCTGGTCACAGAGCATTATAGAAGCTAAAGTGGAAGAAAAATATGATGAAATTAACACAGAACAATATTTAGAAGAAGAAAAACAAATTGTGGATGAAGATGAGCAATACTTTCAAGAACCTAATAGTTCTATACCCGTGAAAGAAGAATTTGCTGGGCATCATAATTTTCAAGTGTCATTAGCTAATCAAGATTCAAGTAAACATTGGGTTGTAAGTATAAACTTAAATATTTAATATGTGATCCACACTATTAACTGAAATATGTTCTATCTGATTTTGCATAGTACTCTCCAGCATTAAAGAAAGTTTTCATCAAGATGGATGAAACATTACCATTACGTTTTAAATGGGAACCACCAATTGATGGTCTTTATTTACGTACTACAATGGTATTTTCCTTGGATCAATATGCAGGTGATCCAGTCAGAAGGTGTCATAATCACATGGCACCAAACAATGCAAGTAATCGAGATATAGATCCTAGAGTAATTAAACATGTTGTCCGTTGTACAGACCACATGAGCTTGTATGAAGAGAGAAATGAACATTTATCTATATTGACACCACTTCGCACTCCTCAACCTGGTTCACAGTATGTACCAGTGTGTTTTAAATTCTTATGTAAAAATAGCTGCCCATCTGGTATGAACAGAAGACCTACTGAATTAATTTTCACTTTGGAAGATCACAAAAGGAGAGTATTAGGTCGGCAAAGGCTTACAGTTAGAGTTTGTAGTTGCCCAAAAAGAGATAAAACAAAAGAAGAATCTGAGATAGATCCACAACCTGATTTTAAAAAAAGAAAGCTTTGTATGTCAGTTGGAAAAAAGATGATGCCTTCATGTGATACACATGTATACAATATTCAGTTAAATATAATTGGAAAGGAGAATTATTTGGCAGTGTTGAAGTATGCATATGATATTATGGCAGGACAAGCTGCTCGGACTGGGCAGTTTGAATTTTTCAAACCATACATGGATGATATATTGCGTAAAACTCCATGATGAATATTTGTATACATTTCGTTTTTTATAAAATCTTGTGCCTTAAACAAGGAAATACTTTATATATTTTAATGTTATCTATTTGTATACCTTACAAATTTGTCCATGCATGCTTTAATAACTATATTTTAACTCATGTTGATATAACATGGGACCATACTTTCATATCTCACATGCATTTTATAATGCATGGTAATATTTACTAAGGAATTCTTATATTAATATCGTGATATTTCTATGTCGATTTTTTATAATAAAATATGAACTTGTTAATTATAAATAATAATAATAAGGATAATAAAAAATTTGATTATTTTGTCATATCAGATATGTATTTTACACTGCCAGTTCGGGTGAGTGACATTCTTGTAATTGAATGTCCAGTGTGTGCAATAGCAAAGTGTTTGGCAAAGATGCAATATGTTGTGGTGTTAACATTACTGGGTTCACAAGACTTACAACATTTCTTCGCACCTTTACTACACTACCATTTTCTCCTTGGCCATGTAAACTCCATTCCCATAACATTTTTTCTCTTATAGTACTACTCATCCAAACGATTTCTCCTTCACACTGTATGGTAATAATTTATGGCATTAGCTTTTTCATAACAATTAATGAAATGAGTTTTCATCAAATTGAAAAAAACATACCTGAAAGAAAAAAATATCTTCGCCACAATGTAATACATAAACAGCTTCAGAACCAAGTGGAAGTGGGAATGGAAGTTTTATATGAATAGAATAAAAATGGACTTGTGGTACTTCGTGATTTACGCTTAAATGTTCTAACACTGTATCAGATGTTATAATGTCTCTACAGCCACTTTGCTTTGCAAGGGGACATGATATTTGCATAAAGGAGATAGAATTCATAGAACCTCCCCAAACAGGTGTAGCAGGTACGTTCGACATTAAACTGGTAGTGCTGGATGTTGTTCCAGTCATTGAATCAGTTTGCAAATGTTCATGAATATTTTTCATTGTTTCCTTTGATAATTCACCGGTACTTGCAGATTTTATGCGGTCATACAAATTCAAGCAGTCGTTGAAATTACTCGACTGTGCTTTATTCATATTCAGTGTTTGGGTAGAAGTTATTGTTAAATTATCCGCCGACGTAGCTTTCTCTATTCCAACACGAAATAATTTACTTAATAATAATCGACGAGTTTTTGAACTTACACTGTTATTATCTCTTTCTGTTTGCTCTACTGTTTTCTTTTTACATTTACCAAACAATCGGTCTCGAAAACTTTGTGTACGATGTTCTGCGTTATCAGGTAAATCGTCCTTTATGTTAAAAACATCGCGAAATATCTTATGAAGTTTATCTGCGAGCAAGCATCTACCTTGACCTAATCTAACTCTACAGATTGGACAACGAGGTGTCCTTGGACGACATTCCATGCACAAGATATGACCATGTACACACTGAGAGACTGGAGGCAGTGAACTTTCCAAACAGATTGGACATTCTAAAACTCGTACCTGAAAGGATGCAGTGATTATTTTTCTAAACATACTACATGCTTAAAGTATTTACTGACAAATTTTTTTATTAATGTTAATTACATACAACTCCAGATAGTGCATTTGCAAGTTTGCTGGCTACTTCTGGCAGTGGTCCTTTTATAGCTATTCCTGAGTCCTCCTGAGTGTCTTCATCAACATTTCTCCACACGTATAACTTTATATTATCATCTTGATAACACTGAATTAATGTTGCTATCTGTTTTATTTTTAATCCTACTAAATCTTTACCATCTATACTTATTAAACAATCACCAGGTCTAAAACATAATACAACATTTTATTTAAATACACATAAAGTTTGCAACAATTATTTATATTGTTTAATTTTACCTGAGACCAGCTGTATCCGCTAAACTACCAGTTTCAACACAGCCTACCCATGGATAGGGATCCCACTTTGATTTTGTAAGATGAAATCCATAAGATTTATCTTTTGTTTTGGTTTCTTTTATATTCTTCAATGTTACACAAATTTTGCCGGTAGTCGTGGAATCAGTAGATGTATGTTCTTCTGTCATGTATATCTTGATGCCACCTGCTTCAGTTAATAATTCTGAAGAGGACATGACAGACATTATTATCACAAAAATTCTATTTTATTTTTTGCAATTTATTGCATTTAATAGTAACCAGCATTTGAAATAATTATCAGATATTAATTTCGTATAATATTTCACACAATCCAATTTGTTGTCATTTTAACGACTATGTAGACTGAAATGTTTATGTTGAACGTGTAAATTCTGTGATCTTAACGTGGATCACGCGATATTGAAACTGGTCGAAACTGTTCTCTAAGCATGGTAAAAGTGTCTTACTTGTTCACCTTCACCTCATTTCGTATCCTTGACATTTGTTTAAAGATGAACAGATGGTTGTGTTGTTTCCTTTTTACTTTACCAATGATGATGGTACAGATGAGAGAAATATTTTCCTTCATTGTATCTTTCATAATAATGATTAATCAGTACATATATGAATACCTTATTTCTTTATTAATTTGCATACACAATATAATCACAAATACTTTCTCATTTCTAAATTATGAATGTTGCATTAGACCAATCTATATCTACATGTATGTATAGATATTTTGTTACAAGTCATTTCTTTATGTAATTTGGATGTAAAGGTATTGAAAAATCTTTAATGTACAATGTTATAATTATCTTTAAAAGTCTTATAAACACTGTGACTATTCGTCTCTATTTAATGTTTAATAAGAAGGCAAACTCTCCCATGTAACTGACTTTGGAAGAACATATAATTGGATTGTCAGTAAGAGATTTAAAATACATTCTATATGGATTAATTGAAATGCATTTGATACTTTTTGGATAATTATGGATACAAAAAATTCCTTTAAGTCTTTTATAAATGATAATGAGACTTTCAGTAATTATTGATATAATATATTAAGACATTGATTTAATGTGTGTAATGTAGTATGTGCCATTGCTTTAAGAACTAGTAAATCAGGGTCCAAATTTAAACTTGAGTTCTCAATAGTCTGCGCTAATGCAAGATTATGTTTTTCCACTTTGCTCAGTTGCTCCTGACAATTGGCAAAAGCATCTAAAACTTCCAGCTTAGCAACTGGGTTTCTAGTGGTACTGGCGGAATGTTCTCTTGGAGGTAAAGGAGGATGACTGCTGGCTATGGCTCTAGTATACATTTCAGTAACAGCTCGTAGCTTGTCAACCCATTCTTGACGAGCACGAGCATCTGTAGCTCTTAGTTTAATCATATCACCTGTGTTAATGTAAACAATGCTATACACATGATGCTACACTGACTATTATTGACTAACATATATTAAATACCTGTAGCAGAATTGACAGTAAAAGTATTGGAATCTTCATCACTTGGTGCAATTACTGCTCCAGCTAAATAAATAGAACATCGTGGTCGTTGATTTTTCTCAGATTCACTTAGAAAATAATGTAGTTCACCAGTTTCAGGACTAAGGATAAACCAACGGTATTGCCATCCTTTCATGGCATTGGTATATTTATGTAGTAAACCCTCATAGGGATGCCTTATTTGAACGTTCATCATTTATTCCGTTCTTTGTTTGGAAGCCTTGTATTATTTAAACCAGACAGTTGCTTAGAGCAATCTGTCATCCGAACTGACATATCAAGGAAGGTTAGGCAGGCCAATGTAACATAGGTTAGGAATTAAAACAATTATCTCGTAAACACTTGTGGTTAAGTAACCTATTAAATTCGAAAAGATTGACAAAGTTTTATTCGCAAAATTAAAGCTACTACAATCATGGTAATTCCTAAGCATTCCTTGAGCACTGTTTTTATTTGTATTTATTTTTATTTATACAATACTGATAATACAAAATATAAAACTTGCGCTTCTCTGTATTCGAACATGTATATAAAATATTTTCTTAGAAATAAACGATTATTTATTAAAAATAACAGTTCCCAGAAATAAAATAGTAATAAAAATAAGATCGATACAGTCTTTGAAAAATAAATTGTTATTTTGTATATAGTAGTTAAGTAGAAAATAACAATTTCTGTTTGATAGTAACAAGTTGTTAAAATAGGAAAAATGTGTTCTTGAAACAATAATTAAACTCTATTAACTAAAATTCTTCAAATTTCTTTTATATTATATAAGAGATTCATATTATATGTCTCTTATAGCTGCCAGTCAGTTTAAATTAATTAACTCCACCTTATACATGCCAGCTTCTTCATCACATTCGATGATTTTAATTTTAATGCATTCAGAAGGAACAAGAAACTTACAAATCTTGTTTTCCACTTCAGTAGAATATCGTCCATTACTATCAGTCGGCCCTGCATCTATAAAAACCATGTTATAATACACATATAACGATGAACATTCAAGTAAAAATACATTCTGTGATGAGCGTTATACTTACTGATTATATTACAAATACTTGCAAGCGCATCGGGAGTAATAAAATCTTTTGGCATAAGTCTTATATTTTTATGATCAACATTCTCAACGTTTCCGTAATCGATGAAGAAAACAGAACTTGTCGTAATCGTTTCGCTGCGACTGATACAAGTTGCACGGTACCACTCACCTTCGTAAAGTGCTAGACAAAGCTCTTTCTCACGAGGAATATAGTATTCGCTTGCTTCGCAATATGTTTTCATCTGCAACGACAATACATTTATGTACAGAGATACATAAACTAAAGTTATAACTTGCATAATAAAATTTCAAAATGTAAATTACCTGTTTAGGCATTATATCGTAAACATGAGTTATTAAATCATAATCTACTGGACACACTGTATACTTGTAACCATCCTCGATACTGTGTAACACAAGAACTTCAATGGTGTCTCCAACATTTCCTAAGCTAACTACGTTTATATCATTTATCATATAGCATGTTTTATCTACAACAAATCATTCATTTTAATTGCAGCGGTATATTAATATTAAAGTAATTTGGTTAATAATTTTTACATAATTACCTTCCTCTGCAGTTTTTGGTGTTGGCGGTGCTATCATTTCATTTATTATTGTATTAACACAACCTCCATCGTGTAATTTAAGATACACACCATCTTTAGAAGGTATTCCATCAAAGGTACATGTTAAAGGAACTTCAGTTCCTACTAAACAGCTGAGATAGTTGCTTACTCTTTGAGTCATAGGAACATCTTGAGAAACATCTTTTAAAACGATCTTACTTGTGCAAGATCGAAGCTTTTGGAACATTACATATATAAAGTGTTGTGAATAATGTTGTATCATTACATATATACATTATGTAGTAACATACCTGCTTTAAATCATCGCTTAAAATTTTAAGTTTTTTTATGTTTGTGATGTCCACGTTTCCAAAATCAACGTAAGAAATTGCAACTTTCTCATCTTGTACTTTAGTAACAATAGCACGATAATAATTATCATCAGTATACTGAGCTATTACCATTTGCCCAACAACTGGTAATTCTTTCAAAGATGGAGCTGATACAAGAAAACATTATTTCATTCTATGAAAATTAATTTTATACTTATTTTATCCTTATCACTATATTATGAACCATTACGTACCTGTTTGAGCACACTTTGCAACACTTTGCATAATGCGATTATAATGTTCTAATTCTGGAGTGCTTAAAGACCGGGCGAATAAATTCGTATGACTTCGAAAAGCAGTTAAGCATACCTAAAATCATTTTTATATTAGAAATTGTATTTTCTTTTACTTAAATTATAATCAATATCCATGCCTCGCTTCCACTTTTTAATTCAGCATATTGTAATCCTTTCTGTTCAGGTAGTGGTGTCCAAGGCTTCACAACAGCTTTTATTGTATCTTGTTCTTTTGTTAGCTCTATTTCAATTCCATCTTTTTTATCAATTTTCTGTGCTGTCACTTTAAACTCATAGTGACCTCTTTCCTGCAAATTGTAATTACAATAGTAGATAAAAATAATGTGCGAAATGTAATTAATAATATACATAATTCAGAACTTACATTGAATTTGTGTTTAGCATCAATTATTTCACACACTGCACCAAATGCACAAATATTTAAAAACTTTTCAGAACATGGTACAGATTTATTAATTACAGTCATCCTAGCTTCATCTACTGTTGCCATTTTCAATGGAGTTTCAAGGGATAAAACATATCCTCTGAGCCAATCACCATCTAGTCTTTGGCCACATATTAAATCTCTTATCTGTGGTCTAACAATTTAATATTTCATACATTGCATTAACAGTATTTTATGAAAGTACCTTATATATTGTTAAATAATGTTACCTATGATCTGATTTGTCTGCTATTTCTGCACACATTGCAGGTAAATCATTTAAGAGTTTCTCATAATCGGATATCGCATTATGCGGTAATAACGTTATACTGTAAGTATTTTTACTTAATTCTGCATGAATTTCTAAAATGCCTATGTCTCCGACACACATAGTGTCCACTATACTTTTTAAGTTGCTTACTGGACTTGACACTTCTTTATTACTGGGAACTTTTTGCGAATCCAAAGTTTTATTATTCTTAGTTTCTGCGGTTGTTGAAGTATGTATTATCGGAGTTTTTGTCGGAGTTACTTCTGGTGTCAATATATCGTTCTCTCCTTCAACTTCAACATTAATAACTTTATTTGAATCCACTGATATCATCTTTACTGATATTACGTCCTCATATTTGAGGTCTTTATGTTTTTTGTTTGCCTTTTCTGACAAACGAATTTTAGCACAAAATCTTGGGATATGTTTAAACTTATTAATTTCACGCAGATCGTTTGTTTTTACAATCTCAACGTTGCCGTAATCTATATAATGTACTTTTAAAGGATCCAATGCTGTAACCATAGCCCTGTGCCAAACATTTTCGTATTGTGCAGCACAAAGAACACCGACTGTTGCTTCAACTTTTTGTGCATTTTCTGCCTCATGTTGTAAATCATTCATTAATTGTATAAGATCATTATCGTCTGTCACCTTTTGAATCCAATATTCACGATCTGACTTTATGATTATTCTTACGTCGGAAAATTTAGATTTTGATAAAAATGTATATTCAGAAAAAGCTATATCCTCCTCTATCTTCTTTACATCAGTTACACCTAAAGTTTGTGGCTTCTTGGCACATTTTTCTGAGTTTTCAGTATCATTCTGTTTTTCAAGTGGTTTTCTCATATGACTAATAGAATTTAATGGGATTGATTTATTATCAGTTTTCAACTGTTTATCATTATCAACTTGTTTAGATGGAGAGTTAATTTTATTATATGCAAGAGTTGGTTTTTTTTCTTCTTCATTTTTATGATCTACAACATGATTAGCATTTGCCGAAATTATATTATTCTTGCGTTCATTTCTTGTAACGGTATTAATATTTTCGTTTGAAGATGTTATTGCGTTCATTAGTTTTTTCGGTTGTCGAAGAGGTACTTGAACACGAGTGATATTCCTAGAAGGCGTTTGTTCTTCATTATTCGGTCGTGATATAGGTGTAGAATGCGCTGTTGCTGGCACTAGGACTCTAACAATAAAATACAAAAATAAATAAAAAAAAAATACATGCAATAATTTAACAATATATACTAAAAGAAAAAACTTACGGTATACTTTGACATTCCATTTTATGCTGCTGCCAATCAGAAATTTGACAAGTTCTACCACAATAGTAGGTGTGACATCTTTCACAGGTAAATTTTGTTTTTCTAAGACATTTTTTACAATTCCCAATTGCATCTTGTAATGTGTCTCTGCCATACTCATACAATCCCTGTCAAATTAAATTATACTTTATAGCTCTAAAAACTACATTAAACTATTATTAGTAAATATCTTATTTTAAAATATTTTGTATGTTACTTACATTAGTACGTTTTTCATATACTTTCTGAATATGATTTTGAATTTCAGGTTCAGGATATGGGACTTCATACATTGTATAGCCCCTACCTAATGAGACATGTCTTTTCCCATCTTGTGTAATAGTTAGTTGACCTCTAAAGGGTTTTTATATATATATAATTTATAATATATTTTGATATATTTTTCATAAATATTTTGAATAATACCTTGTCCATAATGCATTGGTACTTCCATAAGGATCTGTATTTTCATACGGATTATATGTATATGGATCTGGAGGATATGGATATAATAAATCATTGTCAGTTGTGTATGTGCATGTGGGTAATCCTGGTTCCGCTTTTTTAACTATATCTAAAAGTTTACCTCGTCCTTTTGCTTGCAGACTGCATACATAAAGAAATGTATTTTCAATTTTTATATATACATATATATCAGCCTGAAATTGCTAAATTTATGAATATATACTTACGGAACATTTCTTGCATAATTAGTATTTTTTATGCTTTTGTCATCGTGAGATTCTATAACATGTTCAGAATCAGATCCCTTCGGAAACTGTATTTCATTAGATGCCTTTTCTCTGGCAAATGATACTTTTAAGCGTAATGGTAATACATCATGTAAATCTTTTATCGCATTTTCTGCTTCTTGGTATGTATTATAAGTAATAAAAGCCCAGCTGGCATTTGGACGATAAAAGTGTCCTTTTACATAGCCATAATGATTGAAGATTTGCATCAAACCATGCTTAAAAATCACAATGAAGTGATTTATAATATATTATTCATTATTTATATATTGATATTTGCAATAAATTTTGAACAAAAAAAAAAAACAAATAAAATACAAGTATACAATTGTAAATGGCAAAATATTGTAATTATAATAAAAGACAATGTTTTTACATACTTCATTTAATTCGTTGGGTAAGTTATTCACGTATAATGTGAATTCGCCGCTAGAAATACACAAAGAAAATATATTAAGTATATGTGATTTGCGATTATCGCATTATAAATAAAAAACAAGGGAAGGTATTTATGAATTATTTGCACAAATATCGAATAATTAATTTTCCGACAAGTAATTGTTGAAAATATCATAATGTTACCTGTTGGATGATACATTTTTCGTAAGTTTATCAATTTCATAATGCGCCATCATTTAATTCGTTCTTGATAATACTTAATTAGCTGTAATTGTTTACAGAATTGTATATGAATAAATGGATACGAAATATAAACTTTAAAAATGTTTTTCTAATGCATAAAAAATTACATACGTATAAGAAAAAGATCTCGAGCAATACCATCAATGACTCCACGTCTCCACGTGTTATGCCGAATTACTATTCGAACGTGCAGAAAATGTCGAAAATTCACATCGAATCATAAATTAGAAAAATGCATAAATATGAATTAAGAAAAAAACTATACTGCAAAAAAAAATATTAAATTTATAGTAAATATAACTATTTATTTTGCAATAAAATTATAAACATACTTATTTTTACTTCATTTGAATTATTTTATTACGTTTTATATAATATTGTATTTATTGTATTTTGATCATATATTTCCGCGTTCTAGGATGTTCTATTTATTTATGAAGAGTTTTATAAACAAATATTTAAGAATTTTATAGTTAACAAACGGACATATGGAAAATTACTATGAAAACATTTGTTTAATTTAAAAACTTTCACTTCTCGCGGCTTTTTATCTAAGAAAATACATATGAATAGTTCTTGTCACAAGGATGGGTTTTCATTCATACCGTGCATGTTGGTCCTAATTAGGTTTCTAAAGTCGCATCCTACCTTATTGACCGATACTGTCAAACGTGCGAAAATTTAAATCCATTTTATGCACATGTTCTTAGCACGTATTTTAGATCAATTGGAATATAACAACTCTTTTCAATACAAAAAAGGCACTTTCTTTTTTATTTATAAATAAAGTTTTGTGTAATACATAAAGCTTTGATCTTGACTTAATATTATGTTATAACTATACTTTGGTATTAAAGACTAGATTAAATACAATTAGAAATTAGCATACAATAATACTGTCATTGTTTTATACAAAACGTTCTAAATTAATTCTTTTTTTATACAAACAGTAAAACACATTTGTACGATCTTGAAGATTTTAAATAAACTCATTCTATAAATATTTGTTTATAGTTATTCTAATTTTAAAATTTTATCTATATCAGAATCCAAATCTGATACGTCTGATACAGATTCTGCATATAAAGTTTCAGATATTTTATGGTTCACACTGCGTGATGATGGTCCTGAATCATCTATCAGTTTAGAGTTCGATGTCTTAAATGAACTCTCTAAAAAAGAATTTATGCTGGTACCACTTATGTGTTCAATGTCTTTTTCTCGATTTTCTTTACTTTGTTTAAATGTTGAAGAAAATATTGTTTCAACTGATCCCACTGGTTTTTGTCTTACCATATTTAACTGAAACAACATATTTATTTTTAGTAATACTTGAAACTAAATGAATTTTATAATATAGTACCTGTGCTTCAAGTTTTCTTGATATTTCAGCTATTTTATCACTCTGAGCAGTTCTCAATATAATGTTATCTGACTGTTTATAAGCTTCTTTTACAGTATGGTGTCTTTGTTCATCAAAATCACTACAAAAATAGAGTTAAGAAATAGTTTTTTATGTATATTACATATGAATAAATGATTTGTATACCTTGGAGTATTCCAGTTACTATCGTTTAACTCGTCTCTCCTAGCATCATATTCAGAAAATGATTCCTCTTTCTTTATATCATAATCAGATACTGATTCTTTATCTTTCTCATTTCTTAAATCAAATATAACTTTTTTTTTCATTAAACTACTTGTTGAACCAGTAGTAGACTTAAGAACACTTTTATTATGTTTTGGAGATGCTGGAACATTTTGTAATTCTTGTTCTACGTTTGAATGATTGACACTATTATTCTCCATAGATGTACTATTTAATACATCCTTATCATATAGTGTTGCATTCAATTGTTTTATTTTGCTGAATGAACTCTTTTGTATTGGAGATTCTTGAAAGCTCATTACATGATGAACATTTTTTAAAGATTTCGTCAAATTTGGAGAAACTCCTACTAATCTTTCTGTATTCTTAATGCTTGGGGGTTTTGCAGGTTTAATAGGCGATTCACTGTCGATTGTACTTTGAAGGGAATCTTCACTTTCTAATGTGGAATTGATGTTATTTGATATTTTATCTTGCAGAGTAGAAGCATGACCTAAAAAGATAAATATTCTTTATCCTATAAGGGGTGGAAGTAGTAATTATTAAAAAATAATGATTACCAAGATATTTATTGTCACCGGCTGCCTTTACTGCCGTTTGCTTAACATTAGTTGTAAATGTATGCGAAGGCGACTTTTTAGAATACTTAAAATTTTCTATTGCTTTTTCCTTCTTGGATATTTTACGAATAATTTCTTTAATTATTTTTAATTTTACTTGAGGATAGTTTGGCAATTTCTAAAAAGATAAATAAGATTTGAAAAATTAATATTACAAATTCAATTAGAGAAAATAAAATTTTACATATATTTTTCTTACCTTCGCAGCAATTTTTTCATGATGTTTTAAAATATCCATTTTTTGTTTAAAAGTTGCTTTTGGTATTCCCTGCCATTCAGGATCTATTCCTAAATCACGTAATTTCTGCTCAAATACGTCTCTTAAATTTATCCCTAGCTTTTTAGATAATGAATCATGTTCTACTACTTTTTTAGGTTTTGATGAAATTAATGTATGTGTTGTATGTTTATGCAATGGATAATTATTATGAATTGTAGTAATACTTTCCGATTCTGAAAGTGTATGTGAATCGGAAGTATATGATTCTGAGTTTGTTGCAGAAGAAAGATTATCTGGTGGAATTTTAAATTTTTCGTTATTTTTTACGTGAGACAGGATGTCTTGCGAAATGTTTCTACCCGAAGAACTTCCTTGCTTATGTATATTACGTTCATTTATGTTAGGTTTTCTAACTAACTCGGAATCTTGTTCTTTTCGTTTTACTTCATAATCATACTCTGTTTCCAATATCGAATCTTCTGATTCTGACGTATCTCTTGTTTTATTTTCATTATAAAACTTTCCTTTTTTTATATCTTCTGTATTTTCTGCTTTAATACTTTTTTTATTTTCACACATGATGGTTTGAGTTCTAGATTTCAAAGTATGTACATTCTTTGGTAATTTATTTTCTGATACCAGTAGAATTTCTTTACTTATTGGGCTTGAACTAATTAAACTACTAATATTTCCAACATCAACTTGGTGAATTTTTGCATCCAAAAAGGCTTTCTTCTTAAAATCAATTTCATTTGGTTTCTTCTTAGTCTCATTAGGTTGATTCAATATGATAGATTGATCGTATTTTTTTGGCAAATTGTTCTCAGAGTCATTACTCTTTTCATGTAATTGTGAAACATTTATTTCATTTGATAAGGAATGTAATTGTTTACTTTGTTCAGTTAAAATATTTGATTGATTTGCAGCTTGACGTTCTAAATTGCTAACTTTAGATTCATATTCAGCTTTCATGTTGTCAGCTATTTTTTGTGTTAATTTCAATTCCATGGCTAATTTTTCAACATCTTTATGATGTTGATTTTCCAACTGTTGTATCTTTGATTTCCAATAATTTTCTTGGGCATGTAATTTTGCGTGCACACTTTCTATGTCTGGATTTAACTATAAAAATATGTACAAAATATAAGTTATTCAAATATAATGTTTTAACAAGTTTTTACTTACTTTTTCAAATAGTTGATTTTTCAATTTTTGAAACTCTTTTTCTTGTTGACTTATCAATGTTTGCACATTTGTTTCAGCATTGTGTTCATACACAGTTTTTTCTTTTTGTCGTAAATTCTGTAAAAGCAATTATTGTTTAAATTATTATATTTATTATACATTTACTATGAACATATACCATTTATTATATAAAACCTACATGTATTTCATCAAATAGCATAGTTTTCAGATTTTTTATCTCCTCTTGATATCCTTTGTACCCTTGATATTCATCAAATTTATTAGTGCTATTTTTTAAATTATCAGCTTCTTGTACAGGCTGCTTTTTATCATATTCTACTAATCTTTGATCAGAAATTTTTTCAGACTCATTTCGTATTACTTTTTCTGTTTCATTTAATCTTTCCTTCAAATTTTTTATTTCATTATGTAATTTTTCAGTTTCACTTCGATAATGCTCATGCATAGGAGATGCAGGCATATATGAATCTGATGCATATGCATGGCGACGTATAATGTGAGCACTTACAAACATAGAAGATATAAAAGATTTTGGACAATGAGGACACTAGACAAATAAATAAAATTTATATTATTTAAAAAAATCAATTTAAGTTAATTAAAATACATCTTATTTCATAATTTTTAAATAAGTCCTAATTAAAATAATGCATGTAATGTTCTTACTCTATAAATTTCACCATTACTATCTCCAAGCTTAGTTTCTATTAATCTGTTCCGCTCTTTGGTTTTTTCTTTTAAACTTTTTATTGTTTCTTCTAAAGTAGTTACTTCTTTTTTTAATTTAACATTTTCTTCTATTTTTGATCTCAATTCATCTTTTAAAATTATTACACTATGATCCAAGTACTGTTTGCAATATAATAAATATTCAACTGCTAGTTGAGCAAGGTGGAATATTTTTACAAAGTTTGGATCTAAAATTTTAACATCGTATTCGCTTTCTAGGCAATAATCTATAACATTATTTATATTGTCATCAATGGTATAAAAATCTCTGTCCCTTATAATTTGATTTATATCTATGCTACCTAAAAGAAGCATACAATAATGTTAAATGTACTCTTAAAATTACTAAAGTATGGGATAGCAATTTACATACTTATACGATTCCAATCTATTCGTACTTTAGATTTATGTCTATTGAAGTAAAAACCTGATTCTCTTGCCAATTTTGGAAAATCGTGACACCATTTAGTGCCCATGTGTAGAGAAAATGCCATTATAATATTTACAAATATGTTTATACGTATCTAGCCATTATTTACAGTTTAGACTGTAGAACTATTTATTACTTAAAAGTATAAAATTATAAAATATAGTACATGATTGCGTCATTATTAATACTATGTTAGATTTAGAAGAAAATAATTATACTGCAACACAGAAGTAACAAATGGCATAACTGTTTATTACATTTTTAAATACATGATCTCAGTAACAACATTAGATGTAAACAAAATTTAACAGGTGTGAAATATCCATGGGATATATAATAGTATAGAAAGGTGATACGAAGAGCACATTGCACATCGGGTCCGCATGTCATGAAATTGTACTGGACGCATACATTGTATATAAAACCAACCAGAACGAACATGCGCACAACGAACAGGATCTCGTTACCTGTAAAGTATGATCTTCCATGGAACGAATAATAATTTAATTAATTTCAAAGATTTAAAGTAATTAAATAAATTTATAATTCCTAAATATAGAGTTCTAACTCATGCAAGAAAGAAGAGTAATGTAAAGATACGATATATATAATTGGTTATCGACTACACAAAAATATTTGATAGTCATCCACATTTGCTTAAGTCTTCATGTTGTTCTGCGCGTTTCATGATTATGCTCCCCCTCGGCCGGTACCACCATCTTGTTTGTTTCATCAATAAAGTGAGTGTAAAATTTGGAGACGATTAAGATTGTTTCAAAGTATTTTTTGTGTCCTATATACAGTAAATATTAACAAAAATTGTGAATTATGTCTCACGGTGGTAGAAATGAATGTAGAATTTATGTGGGTAATTTACCACCTGATATAAGAACAAAAGATATCCAAGATCTTTTCTATAAATTCGGTAAAGTTATCTTTGTTGATTTAAAAAATCGGAGGGGGCCACCATTCGCTTTTGTCGAATTTGACGATCCAAGGTATGTTTCTTAAATTTTATATATACAATAAATAAATAATATAGGTAATAACATAAAATTTTTTCTAAATGTACTTTGTACCATAGAATATTATACTCATTTTTTTTACGTTTTTTGTTTCTTTTCTTTTCAATGATATCAAAGATTAGTTTTGTATATTGTTATAACTTACACATTAAGATTAAAATTGTACATGTGTATATAACATTGAAGCTGAATGTACATTTATAATTTATATAAAGACTGATGTAAAGTTTTAAGATTATATCAAAATTATTATTGCAAGTAATACGAGTAAATTTTTTGTAGGGATGCAGAAGATGCAGTGCATGCAAGGGACGGATATGACTATGATGGTTATAGATTACGGGTTGAGTTTCCAAGAGGTGGTGGTCCCAGTAATAATTTTCGCGGTGGTCGTGGAGCTGGTGATAGTGGAAGAGGTGGTCGGGGTGAAATGAGTAATTCTAGAGGACGTGGACCACCTGCAAGAAGATCTCAGTATAGAGTTCTTGTTACTGGTTTACCTCCTTCTGGTAGTTGGCAAGATTTAAAGGATCATATGCGTGAGGCTGGTGATGTATGCTTTGCTGATGTTTATAAAGATGGCACTGGAGTTGTTGAATTCTTACGATATGAAGATATGAAGTATGCAGTAAAGAAGTTGGATGACTCAAGATTTAGGTCTCATGAGGTATAATATGCTTGTGTGGTGTACATTTTCTGTTTTCATATGATACAATGTTGTTCTTGTTTACAGGGAGAAGTAGCCTATATTCGGGTGAAAGAAGATCACAGCAGTGGCGATAGAGGACGCAGTGAAGATAGAGAGAGAGGTCGAAGTCATTCACGAAGCTATAGTCCACGACGTCGTGGGTCGCCTACCTATTCACCATTGCGACGTAATTACTCGCGATCAAGATCTCGTTCCAGATCTCGTTCATACGACTAGTGTGTACGTATATGTTTCACATGGTAATATAAGTAAAGGCTTATCAATATTTGCTTTACCATGTTTCATTATTACTGATTTGAATTTCACTTAAAGACACCTTCCAATCCAAACCAATTTTGTACAAATTATAAAATTATTACTTTCCATGTTGCTTGAATTTAATAATTGTATTGTATCTAATGTATAGTTAGAGCACGGTTCATTTTACGTATACCGAAAGTAGTTTTCAAATATTTTGTCATTTTCCATTTAAGTATCTTCAAATAATGTCCAGTATGGATTAATTAGAATGTATCATTATTTTATAAATACTGTTTTAAAATTAACTATTCGATTGAATATAAAACAGTAGATTCAGTTTTTAACAGTGAACACTGGCTATAAAGTTTTAATCTCTTTTTGTTGTCTTAATAAAGAGGAATCGTGCTCGTATTAACTGCATATTATCGTTGAAGATATATTGATTAGAATTATTTTTATGTTTAAAAACTACATTCCTTTATATTTTGCAGTTTGTTTTGACACTACAAATACATTTAAAGTGTGTAACAATTTTGAAGTATTACAAATGAGAATCTAAAAAGAAGTGACTAATAATTATTTCAGCGATATAATTAATGTTTGCATTAAGTAAATAGCGTTTCTTGTATAGTTACTAATATCGTTAACGTGCACTGTGAATGTTCTCATTTCAGAAATTATGTGATCATTCTCATTGCATCGTAAAATATATACTACAATTAGTAACTATACTGCAGTGCTTAATTTGATGTGAACACCGTTTTTATTGTCTTTTTAGATTGATGTGTTCACATTTGAAGTGATGAGAACAGCACATTTTAAAGCATATTTAACATGCAAAATCTTTTTAAGCTTTTAATGCTAAATGCTTGCAATATAAATTCATAAAGCTAACATCTTGTTTACCTATAACAGCTCAAAGTTATTTTGCATACATAAAATGAAGCCAGAAATGCCATAATGAAGTAAATATACATTTCTACTTTGCATATATAATATTCAAGATATAGTCTATATATCATAAAACAAATATACTATAATAAATGTTTGATCAGAATGTATGTTTTATGCATGCATATTATTATTTTAAAAATTTGAATTTTAAAATATTAATACAATGAATTACATAAAGTATCATGAACATTATGGCATGTTTAAATTATTTTCCTTTGTGCAAGTAATTATTAATTCTAACAAAATCTCGCGTTCAAATAAATACCTCAAGGTTGTTTACACGGCTCATCGTCGTTTAAGTTTTTACACAACTTTAAGTACTTTTATTTTGGCTACATAGTGATGACAATACAAAATACTATATATGTTAAAAATATAACACTTAATAACTGGACAATGTAAAACATCGATAGCCATCAATTGATGGTACATATGTGGCATAGAATTTGTTAAATGTAGGTGAAACGTTTATTTTTACTAAAAGATTGATATTCGTACAAACAGTTTATTTTGAACAAAAAATTAGTACAGTATTTATTTCTTACGTACCAATATAATATTGATTTGATTGAGTAATAGCTTAAAGTACATTTTATATATTTGAGTGTTCTTTAACGATGATTATTGGGCCATCTGTTTGATTTAATGAAAAATTGTATATTATATATATTACTTTTAAACAGAAAAATGTTTATCTCATATTAAAATTATTATTAGCATTATAGTAACAAGTTTGTTACAATTATTTGGATATCTGTAGAATGTGCATATGAAGTAAATTTTATATATAGCTATACACAACTTATTATTTTGAGAAATGTGTTTTTATTAACTAAATCAGTCAAAGACAAATTTATATTTTGCCACGCATTTCTCGTTTAATGTTTTCCTTTAGAAAATGTGTACACGAATTTCTTAGATTTTGTAGAATTTGTTCAAAAACACATTTTCTTAAATTCTCTATTATACGTTAAATATGTTGAAGGAAAACAATGATTTCATGTATTCTTGAGAACATTATTATTGCAAATAAATCCTGTGATTTGTATTTTGTTTCATATTATTCATGCGTATTCAGTGATACAAAGGAAGGTTCTAAATTTAAATGAAGCAGATACAGAGTCCTTTTTTTACATAGTATTTGCTCAATATTTAATACGTAATAATATATTTGAATGATATGAGTCACAAGGATTATATTTGCAGTGATAAATTTTATATATAATAATATTAATGCATATTGTGTAAGGGACTAATGTATTTTTTCTTCTTTTGTATATTGGATTGGATTGTAACACAATGAATGAAAAACTGAAATCGACACGATCTTACTTCTTGGATGGATATAATACACATTCACTTGACGGTGGGATGAGATGGAATGCGTTTTGGATGGATTTATGTATGGAGCATATATTATAAAAGGATTAAGACGTAAATGAGAATGAAAAAATAATAAGACAGTAAGGATACTTTCAAGAGGAAATTCAGGATCAGGAATTCAGGAAAGGAATTGGATGAAAGAAACGATCCGTTTCATTCAAGGATTCTCAATTAGCTCTGGATTTTCATCAGAAAACGTTGGCAAATCCATTACAAGGATTCAAAACAATTGTTCATATTTTTCTGTTTCAAATCATAATCCAAAATATTTAATCGTGATAAAGCCAGTGCTTTTGACAAACTAAAGAAAAAAAACAGTAACGAAAACGCAGAATGAACAACTTCGACATGTCACGTGATTACACAGATTTCTTAAATCATTCGAGTGTTTCGGATAGATTGCATTCACGCGATTGAAACCTTAACACAGTGACTTTCGTTTTTTTTTCTCTTACGTTCTGTACACAAAAAAAAACTAGTAATGGAATGTCAACTTTGTACGTTTTACTTTATGAAAGTATTTGCTTCTAATTTTCGAATATGTCAAAACAGTTTGTAAGAATTTTTTTTTGTCACTATTGAGATAATAATTCTGATTCTCATCCAAAGAAGTTCATTCACGGAAAGTATCAGACGTCTCATCTGTCGGCCCTAAGTGAGATCGAATCGTTCGCGAAAACATGAGAAAAAAACAAACCTAGTGGTCCAACGGAAATAATGCTCGTTGAGAGAGATCTTCCTCGTTTCTCATTGATTCGTGTAATTAGTATAGGCGATGCGATCGGATCACTCGCATGTTTAGAGTTCCTCAGGATCAAAGACAACGAACAGTGGTCGTTCAGAGAAAACTGTCGCGTTGTAAATAGTGCGTCTCATGACTTCGTTCTACTCGACTATTCTTCTCTTAATCATTTCAATCTTAATATTGTATCGTTGATCGATCGTGAGCGTGTGTATGTTTCCATATTACGTGTGCGGTACAATAGTACGAACATAACTACTATCGTCTTCGCGTGCAAGAGGAGGATATTAACGTTCGGGGTCGGAAAAAAATGTATATGAAACAAATCCTTTCATCTTAACAAGGACTGGCTCCCCTAGTTGTTGAGGATCTCCCGGGAGGAAATAAAAAAAATAAAAGGAAAGACAGGATTCGGCAGATAACGTTGGGATTAGGATGCTGACAGGATAAATTAGTGTTCATGATGGATGTTTGGATACGGATAAAATTGGCTGGAAAAAAATATTCGACGGATTATATTGAGCGGATGACTTGGATCTTTTGACCGGACAAATATACTGTACGCCGCGTTCAATACGGAATGATGGATTTGGATTATCGAGGTGTTAAAAAAGCAGAGCGCCGCGTCGTTCATGCTTCAATAGGTTTCACGGATTTATCGCCTAGGTCGGATACGGAGATTTGGACTTGCACTTAGCAGGATCAATACAGGATGTTGTCAGGATATCATTTTTCGGATATCACGGATCGAAAACGGATGCAATCACGTGCTCGCTATAAGGTATTTTATATCAAGTTTAATATCTGACAGACCTCTCGATACACACATTCTCTGCATGCATTCTTTTCAATAATACCAATAGTCCTCTACTACCCTAGTCAAGATCAAACTCAATTCCAATCTAACTCCAACCTAATTTTGACAGAACCTTATGCTGACATTTCGTCGCAACCTAACTAATGCAGATCAACTTCAACTCAATTCTGATCTGACCTAACTCAACCATCTTAATATAAGTCAAACACTTTTCGCTTTTATTATACAAGCAAATAAGTGCTTATGAGCTTTCTCAAGCGTTAGGTCAGACTCCTATAATTAATTTCTCTTTAGAATAACGTTTACAAGATTAATTTTAAAATAACAGATACATGTAACTTTGTCTGTCTGAAGAGTTGTTTTAGCGTGTTTACATTACAATCACTGGTATCAGTTATGTACAGTTTAACAAAAATTCCTTGCAGTCTTTTTCTCAAAACGAATATTCGTTTCCTGATAAACAGCATTAATCCCTCCATAATAGTTTCCAGTTGTTCCCTTAATTAAATGATTGGTTATCGGTCTTGGTTTGTTGCTCTTCGTTGATGAAGAGGAACTTTACAAAATTCCTGATCGTTGATGTCCATTCAGGAAGCAGGAATTAAAACAATTAATTGTTCATCATTAGTGTTTTTGGATATCCTGCACTCCTTTCCTCGATTAATGTTTGTTGCTCACAAGTATCTCTTTTATAATTGTATCATTAATATAACGATATCCGTTTCTTCATGTGTCCTTTTAAGAATACAAGAGGAGATTACGTGAGTATAGACAGATAGAATAATTCCTTCTTTTTATAATGTATGACAAAGATCATACATTGCACAGTATTTTTCACGAATTTTCCAAGAAAAGTTTTATGGTGTCTGTGGTAATGAAGCTTAAGAAAAATATCAACTATGCTTATTCGTTTTGTTTAGGTGAGTAACATGAAACAAAAGAAGAAAATCTAATTTTCTATTAATCTTCTGTTAGTAGTCCTGTTTAGATGGTCAGAAGAAGGATACACTTGTGCTACTTTCGGACACGTAACTGATTCAGGAAGCTAGCGCTTTGTAAGATCACTTGAAGTTATTGTTTTTGAAAGTTTATTGGACGTATTTGTTACAGAAATTCTGTTACATTAAGCCTTGTATGCAAAAAAAATAATCGTAGAAATGTTCAAACAGTTACAGGTCATTTCTGTTTCAAAGAATTTGCTTAAGTTTTAATACACTAAAAATTTAATGTTACTATTTTGTAAGCACTTCTGTTCTTTCATGTAATGTGATACGCTTATTCTACAAATAAAGTGTGTTGTTTGTTTTTCCTGAATTAGTTGTAGCTTTCTGTTAATTATACACTTCTCGTTATTCCACAAGTAACAAAAATTTCTGGTAGCAGTCAGATTCCTATATCGCAATGTATTTATTATTTTATATATTTACAATGCGATTCTCATATTTCGTGTCAAAGTGAACAGTGGCATATAAATGATATCAGACTGTTACTTTTACATTGTCTCACGAATTGGTGTCACTGTAAGATCCTTGATCAAAACAGTGTCTGGAGTTTGCAACGCGAAGAGAACACAGTCGGACACGTCTTTGGGTTTCAAAGCCAGGCGAGGATTTTCTCTCAACCATTGTGTGGTCATCTCGGTCTCCACCAAACCAGGAGAAATGGACTACAATGAGAAGACATGTGTTAAACATAAGTAATTAAAATAAACAGAGGTAAAACTTACAATGACTTTGATATTAGACTCGAGTTGCGCCAGTTCTGACCGGAGGCATTCTGTAAGAGCAGTCAAAGCAAATTTGCTGCAGATGTAAGCTGGAGATACCGGACGGTCACACGTGATTGGTACTTTCAGTCCACACACGTCGTTGATATTTACAATGACACCATTGTTGATTCCTGAAGAACAAAGCAAACACATACCATTAAAATTTGTATTTCTTAGGATTTACAGAATGATTGAACACAAAGAGTACTTACCCTTCTTCTTCATTAATTTCAAGGCTTCCTTGGTCATGCAAGTCAATCCTAAGAAATTCACATCGAAGATCTTTCTCAAATCATCCATTTCACCGGTGTGCATTGTGACATCCATATTGATGGCAGCATTGTTGATGAGAATATTGATGGCTCCCAGGTTCTTCTCAATCCATTCCATCGTGCGCATGATATCATTTTGATTGCAAAGGTCGCATTGGAGCGGGAACAGTTTTCCTGGTTTTGATTTCAGTTCCTCAGCAAGTGCCTGGTAAAAGAAAAGAATAAGTGAAGCTTTTCGTTTTCTATTTATTAAGTTTCTAAGTATGCCTCAAAACTTTAAAATTCTCAAATTTATAACTTTTATAGTTTCAGAAAGAAGTAAAGTCTGTATGTTGTACTAGCTAGCTTCATTTTGAAGAGTTCAGTTGCAGATGAAGAAATGGATGATTCGAGACTTCTCTTAGATGAAAAATTCTAGTTAAATTGTACCTTTATTTTGTCCACACGACGAGCAATGCCAACAACTGTCATTCCCTTGCCAACCAGACATTCAGTCAGGCACCTTCCAATGCCAGAGTTGGCGCCGGTGATTAGAGCAACTTTGTTGGACCAACGTTCCATGATGAAGTGTTAGATTTGTTTTTTCTCTTTGACTGCTACCGTACAAAAGTACCGTTGTACTGAAACTATAAAATGTCTGCATTTCGGAGTATTACGACCCCTTTTATACCGGAGTGAAATTGTGGCCCAAGATTACCGAGGTCGCGTTAATCTTCAGACTGGAGATACATTAACAACTTCGGCTTGCTTACAGCTGTTACGTTGTCCCGTGTATTTAAGTTTAAGATACTGCATTACTTTCAGGAATATATTGTGTCTAGTGTTGATATTTCTATTGATGTCCAAGTGGACAAATCATTGGCTCCAGATTGAATGTATTTTCACTTGAAGCAAACTTGTTTATGATTTTGTTCTTAATGTACTAAGCACGATCATGGTCATAGTATGACCTAACTCAACCTTAGTCAAATCAACTTCTAACTAACCTGACCTAATCTAATCTTAACATCACTATGCATTGGTCTAACCTAACCTAACCCCACTCAATCTCAATCCTTACATCTTGATAATATTACAAAGCTGTATTAATAAGTTTTATTAGATCTCTGACCAGATTTTAAATTTACAGGCTTTCTATATTTTATATGCAGTATGATTAAAACTGAAAGATTAAAGTGAAAACATTGTATACATTATTAAAAAGATCTCACTTATTTTTGTATCTTTTTATTTGTTATTAATTAAATAATATATGTAAAAGTATGTAATGCAATTCTTTTATCAACAACACACAAACATTTCAATTATAGTTAGTGTATTTCTTGACATGCACGACGTGTGTTTACTACAAAAAAGGATGAAGATAAAAGCAGATACAGGTATCTTCTTGACGGGTAACACTTTATAAATATTGCGTCAGATGTTTTAAAAATAAATTTTTGCATCCGGTAAGTTAAACTTAATCGATTTATTACCAAAGAAATGATTTTAATTATCGATGTATCGAAAGTTCGAGTGTTTTAATCTTAAAACCGATATTCTTTTTAATTGTTTTGTTATAAACAAAAAATGTTACGAAAACTGCATGAGAATTTTTAACGATCCAGGTAGCTTTCGTTTTGGCGCGTATCGATCGATAATATCTTCGATACTTCTCTCGCCATATAAAGTTCGATATAAATCGGCGTCATTCGGTTCGCGAACAAATCTCAAACTATCGGCTGCTATTTCACAACACTCTTTATTTTGTTCTTTCTTTTTTATAGCAGCTCGGAAAAGGCTACGAGCTTTGTAAAGTAGCGCGCGACCACGTTGTATGCCTAAGTGATGTAATTCTGTTTGTTTTCCATCTAGAATTTGTAGCACTTGATCAGTTATGTTGATTGCATCTTTCAAACGTCCTTCGTTTACCGCCACTTGCGCGCGCTCGTTCAAAATATCGATTATTCGTTCTGTTAGATCGATAGTCTTTCGAGAGGCAGGCAGTCGTAGTTCGCGTACTCTTTCGTGACACTTGAGGTATGATTGCAATGCCAATTCAACATTATCGCGTTTAAGAAAAATGTCGCCTAATGTTATGTATGGTTCCATATAATATTTAGTTAATTCACTTTCATAAATCATGCGTGCAGCATTTTGGAGCTTGTCGTTTAACATAAATTCCATTGCCCTGTCGTATCTGCCAATATTACGATTCGATTAAACTTTTGGCGCTCAAACACTGCGATATATCGATATTGTAGCGCGATCGATAACGCAGTGCGTTCGAGTTGTACGTTAAAGACGCGCGCGTTCGTTCGACAAAAATGTACAACTTAAATTTACACAAGGTAAGTTTAATGAAAATATATATTTTAACAGCTAAATTCTTACCGTATCAAGTACCACTGCTTAATCAATTCATTTCTAGTTTCATTGATCGAAAGTTTTCCTAAGATTGAACTTTGCGTATCTTTAGGTTCCAATAACTTATAAAAATTTTTACTGATGTTTTCTAACCACGATGTTGCTTCATCAAATCGCCCGGATAATCGTAAGACTATTGTTTTTAACAAAATGTATCCAGGATTATACGGATTGCAATCCAGAGCTTTTTCGATCGTCAGCAAACCTTTGTCGTAACAACCATGCATGCACCATAGGATAGTGTAAGTTATCAAATTGTCACCAGTACTATACACGATCTATAAATTATATAATATATAATTTATCATATACCCTTTGTTGCAAATGACGTATATACAAGTATAAAATGGTAATATAGATCGATATATGGTATCACGTATAAAAAGTTTACCAACCGAAATGTCGAGTACCGATGTATGGTAAAACAGATCATTTTTTAAAAATCTAAACCGTTAGAATCTTATGTTCTATTCTACTCTTTTACTGTAAAACAGTTACAAACTTCTAGTAATCGGCGAGCTTCAACATTGCTTTTGTCAAGATCAAGTGCTTTGAGCAACATGTGTCTAGCAATAGCCATTTGTTTCAGATGAATCTTGTATTCTGCATGCACCGCAAATAAGACGGATGTTCTCACAGGATCAGAATCCTTCAGAAAATCGTTCCAGTAACGCTGGAACATCTCATATTTGTCCAGCTTACGTAAAAGTTTTAACAACTGGTCCTATCAATGTACAAGATTCTGTATTGAATATTTCAAACTGAACAACTAAGGAAAACGATGATTCCCTACTTGCATGGTCGTCATCAACTGGTCATCCATTTTCAGTACAAAAACCTGTTCGTAATCGCTCAACGCTTCCATCATCATGTCATTTTCAAAATACCAATCACCTCTTCTCCTATAAGCTGCTGCTAATTGTCTGGAGTATAAACTTTTTATTTCTGCGTCACTGAGTTTGAAATCGAATTTTGTCATTAATCTTGCAGACTCGAAATCCTTAATGGCACTCATCCAGCGTCCTTAAACGAAATTTCTTCTTTTCTTAATTGAAACTATTGAATGACTTTATATTTTAGGATGGAGAGCATTCAAGATAGAAAGAACAAAAAAAATTCAGAGGATTCGTAGATTCTTTATTGATTCGGCAACTGTTATAACTTATTATTAGGTTCGTATTTAATACAGTAAAGAATAGGTTACTTTCATTAATTCTATTTGCAATATTTTTTATAACAAGTAATATATTTTAATTTATTTTAATTAGTATATAAAAACTAAATATTATGCATTCTACTTCCTGGCGAAAGTGTGAGCGGATAAGAAGCGGACAAGAAATGTCTATGCGAACTATGAATTGGCTGGATTAAACACTATTGAGTGGATAGTTTACGGATGGGAAGTGGACGTATAACTACGCCGTTTAAGGATGTTCGTTATTTGCTCTCGTCACGTCAACGCATCCACCTCATTTTCTCCAGGATTTGTTCTATGTTTAGTCGTATAATTTATTTTAAAGCAGTTTACCAAAAAAATCTTTGATAATGCGAAGTAGTATAAAAGGTTCTAAAAACCTGTATCTTATTCGAATAACAATAACTGAATTCTAATTCTATTCAAGAGTTTATAGTGTACCTTGGCTCATATATATATCGCCTCTCAAAGCATAAAACTGGTGAAACTTCGGATTGAAATATAGCCCCTTGGTAATTATACGAAGAACATTTTCATAATTTACTTCTTCCTCTTTTAAAAGCTTCATTGCTTCTTTATACAAGTGTCTCGCTTCTTGGATCTGTTTGTGTTTGCTAATTGGTTTGTAGTTAGTCCACAATTGACGGAGCTATTGTAATCGTTTACTTTTGTGAATTTCTATATTTTCGAATCTCTGTGTGATCCATAAATACGCCTTACTTTTGCGACTTCTGCTTGGGGATCCAAGTACCGCAGTTCGGGGGGCGAGAAAGTGTACTTCCTTCTACTTAACTCAAGTACTTGCATTGTGAAACACATTGTCAACAGAGGGACATTCAAATATAAACGTTAAAAACATAGGTTGATAGGTTACGTCATTTACCATCAATTGTTTTTTTCGATTGACGGTTGCAAACAAATTAAAAAGAAATTGTATCGTGTAAGGGGTTAATCGCGAAAACAATGATAAAAGGAAACGTGCCTCGGCGAGCTTCAATTTTAGTGCTTGATATTGGTGAAGTCACATAATTATCAAGGTGATTAATTATTAAACTTCAATAATTTCGACAGCCAGATTACTTGTTGTAAAGGGTATTAAAAAACATTCAAGTCTTACCAGATAGATAATGCTTTTTAAGCTGGATGCAAAATACTTGTATAAACATATATGTATTGAAAAATTAATTTTATATAGAACTGATAAAAAGAACTTAGATTCTGATTAGGAATGTTAGACATGGTGTCTAAGCATCAGTTAGTTTGAATCTTATTTATTCTGTAAGATTTGAAAACTTTTTGTTTAATATTCTTTCTTCTGTTGTAATAATTTTGATAGAAGTGCAATTAGTCATAAACTGTTTTGTAACTTTGCTACCAAGATTCACCCAATGGTCGCAGAATAATATCTTGAACCTGAAAAGATACATTTGAATATAAATTAATTTAAACATGAAATGATAAGTTAGCAAGAATGATTCATTCTTGCAATTCATATTCTTAATATTTTGTAAGTTGAAGACAACAGTTACTTTATATCATTGTTATGTCTTCAATAAAATTTTAGCCTGTTATTCTTCTTTTCTTATTACAATGTATTAATAAGTGATAAGTGGTACTCACAACAACGTGAGGAGCACTTGTTAGAATGTAGATTACAGCTGCAGCAACATCTTCTGGATCCAGTGTAGGGAAAGATGCAAGTGCCTCTTCAGAATATGTACTATAAGACATCATCAGCTCTGTGGCAACTAATCCTGGACTAATACCCTATATTTTTAAGCAATAATTTCATATATCTTTATAATTTTTTTAAAATAGGATGATGCATTTGTAGCTTAATTTATACCGTGACTCTTATTTGGGTTCCAGTGAGTTCATGTCGCAATGTCTGTGCCAGAGCAGTGATAGCTCTCTTTGAGGCTGGATAGACAGAAAATCCAGGTATGAAAGGCACCCGTTCACCTGCAAGACTGTTCACATTGATGATCACACCTTCTCCTCCTGCTTCTCGCATCATGCGAACTGCTTCCTTGGTGCAGAGGCATAGGCCAAAAACGTTCACATCGAAAACTGCACGCCAGTCTTCCAGATTGCCATCTTTAAATTGCAAAAATTATTCCTGTAGTATGCTGCATGTCAAGTGAAGTTAGACTTAAAAGCATAACACAAGGTATAAATAATATAAGTGAAATTTATATTTGATTTTGAAATTTAATAATTGAATAAATTAATTATAATTGTCATGCATCAAATGCATTTATGAAATATTTTCTTCTGTAGGTGACATTGACCATAGTGATGATGGGTATATAAAGAGCTTATGAGAACTGCATATTTGAGGTGAGCATATAAGAAATAATTTAGGAAAATCTTAGAAAAAACTTAGAGGAGACTAAAAATTTTTAAATTTGAATTTAGTCCAATTACCTATGAGAGAAGATTCTTTGGTCATTCCAGCATTGTTGACCAACACGTTCACAGATCCAAGATTTTCCTGGACCCACGTAAACGCTGCGCTCACACTTTCCTCTTTGGAAACATCGCATTCGACGGCATATAGTTTGCCCGTGCATTCTTCTAAACTCTGAGCCAGTTCTTTGATTTTGTCCACTCTTCGCGCGAGACCCGCCACTACCATACCTTCAAGATCAACATATTACTAGAAATGTCCCCTCATAAAAAATTATTTAAAGCTAGAATGATAGGCAAATGATTAACAATTTACTTTAATTGCTCTACTGCTTTGTAGCAGCCTTAATTAATTTACTTACCGTTTTGAACCAATTGTTTCGCAATTGCAGCTCCAATACCTGCACTGGCACCTGTAACAACGGCTACCTTTCCTGTCCATCGGTCCATCCTCGCAATATCACGTACGATTCACAACTGATCGACTTGTCTCCGGTAATAAGATCGCTTATAAGTCTAGAAATCGATCGGTAAAAAAAGTGATACCAGATAAAAATCATTGGACTGGTCCAGCAAGAAACATGATAGTCTCGTGGTAAACCCATACCTAGCCTTCAGACTGATATGTCCTCGGCAATTAATGTTGTTTGCCAGATCCCTGACATCCTGTCTGCGATCTATTTTTGATCTTTGTCAGTTCTCGTTCGACACAAATAACTACTTGATTAAATGAAAAACGATTTTATTGTTCCGTTTGCAGAAAAATTGGTGCTTATTCAAAACGTTCTCGGTGCTGTACTTTGCATAACTGCAGCTGCAGCTAAATATATGCTACGAGATTGCTGGGGAACACTAATTGAGAAACCTTTGTTGTGTGTTCATTGCACTCTTTCTATGGTATAGTAATTATTAATCGGATTTGTATAAATACTACAGAGTTCACAATGAGGAATGTATTATTAGGTATATGTAAAATTATAGTAACTACTTATAATGATGTTATGATAGTTTTATTAGTAGCCTAGTTATAGACTTTAGCAACAGAGGAACACTAATGGACAAATGTTCTGAAATTATAATTGTAAGAGCAAATACGGAAGTGATTCATTAAACAATTAAAGCTAATGTACTTTAAATTGCGAAATCAATTGAGTAACGAATGACTTAGTTCACCATAGTATTATTAAAGAAACATCTTTTGATATTAAACGTTTGGAGCTGTTGCTATATTTCTATAATATAGTTTATATATGAAAAGAAGAAAACAATATAAATTTTTATTTTTGTTTAGAGGATGAACCTCGACGCTTTGTTAAGAAGAATTTGGGGCACGCCGCATCTGCAGCCATCAGAAAGTTTGATAAGGTATAGAATATATCAGTACACGTTTCAAATCTACAAGTATTTATTGGATATAAGGCGCCTACATTGCTGAGTACTATACACTTTTGAAACTCGTATCGAATCAGCTCCATTAGAACTCTAAAACAGTTTTGCTTATCATTTAAATTCGTCGTGTATCTTGATGGAATGACAATGATTCGCTAAACATTGTCCAAGCATGGCACTAAACAGGAACTGCTAACAATGGGTTCTAGGCGGAGAGTAAGAGATAGTACCGGAAGTTGTATGGTCGTTACTTCCCGACCGCTGAAGCGAAGTTTAAATCGCTAGTTTTATTACAAATAAAACGAGATTGTGGTCGATGTCGTTTTCCTTTTACACTGTAATCGACGATTATTTACAAGTACTATGCCTTAGAAATCATTATATGCTGCGAAGAAAATATATTATTTCTTTTTCATCCTTTTTCTTTGTTTAAATTGCAACATGTACAAACGATAAGGATCATCTTTTATCGTCAAACAGTGAAATTGTTATTAACAGACCACGAATGTTTATGCATTCATAATACTTGAAATCTTTTGAAAAGAGAAAGTTAGTATAATTAAGTAAGGGTTCTGACTCTAATCCTACTCTGTTAATTAAAACCATATTTGTCCTAAAATCTTGTAAGAAATGATAGAACTGAAATAAAATACAAAAAATACAATAATTTGCTTAAGCATTCGTGGTTAAATTATTAGTTTATAATTTCATTTCTACCGTTTTAGTAAACATATGTTAATTTAATAAAACAAAACGAAATCACGTGAATGATGTCAAAACACGGGTTTACAAGATAAACGTGTCGCATGGGTCAGAAGCGTAGATACTACTCAAAAAGATTCGTTTAAAATTTTCTGAAAGCTTATCATTAGAATTTTAAAGAGTTGAAATGAGCCGTCATTCGAGACTTAAAATGATAAATTATTAAAATGCAGAAAAATATATAATTAGTTTAAAAAATGAGAAAACAAATCAAGCAACAAAATATTAATTATATTAATCAATGCATTAATCACCGTCTGTAACGGTGTCAGAAATTGTAAGATTTATTAAATGTTTTTAAAATTCAGATATCGTTTATCAGTGATGTAACTTTCACAACACGTTACAGCGTTTAAATAATATTTAATAATATATTTCTTTTTTTTTAGTTTGAGATGATACTAACACGTTGATTGTTACATTACTTTCACAATATTTAATTATTTCTATTATTTATAATTTTAAATACCTAAAACAGTTCTTAGTTAGGTAGCAGAATTTCTAGTAATATGGATAATGGATTCTTATGGAAATTTCAGCATATTTATATATGGTTCATGTAACAGTCAACGCATTAGATTTGAATCTTGGGGAGTATCTATGCTTTTGAAAGATAATTTCTATCTTTTATTTAAATACCATTCACTTATGAAGAAATAGAAATTTTCTCTTAGGTGTGAGATATGTGGTGCTTTATTTTAATTTAGTTTTTTTCATTTGCAGTGGAACACGTAGAAGTTTGGCCTGATTGATTCAAATGAAAGTACCTGATACTTGAAAGGACTACATATAATTTAACTTAAAGCCTCGTAATTTTCCACAAAAACTGAAATCGAAAACGAACTGAAGGTATGAAAATATCATCGATACAAAGCAGAAATTAAAGTCAGAATATAATACTTGAAACAAAGTTTGATATCACACGCGAAGAGTGACGTACAATACTGGACATAAGTTTGAGATTATTCGTTTCGTTTTGAAGGCAGATCGAACAAACAGCTGTGTGTGTTTACCGGCGTTTATCTGTGAGTGAAAGAAGGTTTCGTTAATCCTCTTAGTTTCTGCTGACGATTTGAAACGATAATTAAACTTGATGAAACGCTATTTCCCCCTGTAAAATCTTTCAGATTTTAGGGTAAATTATGACAGATTGAATGAAATATTAAACTAACAGCTTTCGCAACAACAATACTTAACGATTCAAAATGAATGTAAAGAATGAGGGGTCGTATTTATTATTGATTCTACTCGATATATCTTCAGCTACACTCCATACGGCCATACGAAATTAAATAGCTTTCTATTCTCCATCAAATTAGATGATCACAGTTACAGTCTGTTTCGATGTATTTATACAAAATTGTTCCTCCGATTATGAATAGCTATATTTAATTCTTTTTATTGTATCTCAGAATTGCTTTACGTGCTATTTCATAGAAAACACCTTCAGACGAAATAGACCCGGATCTACGCGATCACCAATTCCGTTCGAATATCATTCGAGAGACCACCGAGGAAAGCAACGGGCTAACACGACGATAAAATTCTCACGAATAATGAAAAATTCATGGTAATTGTATAAAATAAGCTTTGTATTGATTCTTCGATATTGAAAGACAATCTCTAAGTAATTTCATGTATATATTACTGAAGAAATGGACCTCTCGATTTATCACTCAGGTGCAATATAGACTTCCTATGTTAGGAACCTGAGAATCTAGGAAGATCCTAAAATGTCTCAAGAGATAATCTTTTATATTACACCTGAGTAGTACATACATGAAATTATTTAGGATGTAATCTTCACAATCAAGGAAGTTACAATCAATGGATTGAACTATATTTTACATAATTACTATGAATTTGAGTTATTACTTCATGTTACTACACGTGTACACAACGGACATATCAAAGAATGAAACCTCTAGAGAAACTTACGCGACGATCCAGATAGAAGATTTTTAAAACACGTCTAATACGCTTTTATTCGGACCATCATTCGAATCCTAAATGTACAATAATAATTTCTAACGAATTACATTATTACATTGCCATTATTATCATCATCGTACTGTTCGTATCGAACGTTTGAAATTTAATTCCCTCTCTTTCTTCTCTTCTTTGGTTTATTTTGTACACGTGACGGCTCCCGCTTTGCAAATAATTACCACTATTGTGTCTCTTTCGTTACCGATTTCAATTTACCATGAATTTTCACCGTTTCTTAATTCAAAATTGTTTAAGACCAAATTTTGCCCGATTTAACGCGTCAATTTCAACCTCTCTTTTCTTTCTTTCATTCTCGAATAGATTAATGAATAGGTTTCACATTTAGAGTAGAGCGAAAGCTGACTCTTTGGAAATGATACGAGAAAATGAGATTCGTATTGTGTTGGCGCATGCAACTACTCTTTTTGAGAAAAAACGAATATTATACAGAACAGGGTTTCCTGAGTAATTTTCACTATTGTACGTGTACAATTATTCAAGCCATTGACCTTTATAGGGTCATTGAAATCAGCGAGATTTACCCTGTTCTATATAATTACAAAAAAATTTGCAACAGATCATATTATGTTTGCCAACATTTTGATAGAGAGTTTAGGAATGCTTTTACACCCAAGGTAGGCAAGCATAGGGGGCACATTTATTGTAATTATGCACAAATGGGAGCGAGTGTCTACCTCTGTGTCAGTGATGCTTTGGATAGGAATCGAAATGGGTGCTTTTTTGACCCTGTGTACTTTGTGTTACATTGCTACCTGAATGTTGTTGAGCCTGAGTTTGATGTTGTTGACGTTGTTGTTGTTGCTGTTGTTGTTGTTGCTGCTGCTGTTGTTGTTGACGTTGCTGTTGTGGTTGTGCACGTTGCTGCTGTTTCTGTTGTGATTGTTGACGTTGTAGTTGTGGTTGCTGTTGGGGTTGATACTGATGGTGCGATTGCGATTGTTGTTGTTGTTGCTGTTGCTGCTGCTGTTGCTGTTGTGGTTGCTGAGTTGGTTGTGGCTTACGTTGCTCCAAGCCAGCAGCCAAGTAAGAGAACACACAGAGTACGGAGTAGCAGATTTGATCTGCCTGTAATTCAATAATTACATTTTTATATTAATATAATATAAAATATACAGTAGGACTGTTCCTTGAATTTTCATTGAAGAGTTTCTCAAATTTTAATTATTATACTTACTGCATTTGTAAGTCAAAATTAAAATGAAATTTCAAGGAATCAATAGGATATTTTTCCAGAAAAGAATATCAAGTAATGAAAAGAAGCAAAATAGTAAATAAGAAAAATATATGCAACGTTTGTGTATGTAGAAGTATCATAAAAATAAAGAAAAAACAAGTTTAAATAGATGAACATAAACTTACGTTTAAAATAGGCAAAACAAAAAAATTAACTAAATCTTCATGCATTGTTGTTTTCAGGGTCGTCTTGAACCTCAGAGGAGAGTTCAGATAACGTAAAGGCAACGGAGAATACCCTGTGCATGCAGTGGCACAGTTCATTGGCCTGTCACACAGCACATAAATCAAAAGTATCATTGACAAAGTAATTATTTTTGATTGATAACTTAATATAAAATAATTTAACACGTATAACATAATTGAGAAAAGGGTCACAGAATTGATGAATTGTTTAACCTGTTAATTGATGAAAACAAATTAATTTGTTCATTACAGTGAAAGATTTGAATGACCCAGTTAACAGGTTAAAAAACAATATATGGATTTGGTCTGTCATTTATTATCACTCACCATTTGAGACTTATATTTACGTTGAATTACTTGTCTAGTTTTAGGATCTGAAATATAACAAGTGTAACATGTTAGAAACATGTAAACTGGATAGCAGTAGCCAGTTTAAAAAAGATATTTTTGTTTGATTGACATAGTCGTGTTTAATATACTCACTGAATTCTTCCAATACAAAGATCCCATCCTTCTGAGTAAAGCACTTGCGGATATGATCGAGTCTTACAAAAAACTGCAAATAATACGATCGTTTCGCATTAGTTGAGTTACAGGAACACCGGTGTTAGAATTCGAGCATCTACTCGTACATGCACACTTGTGATTATCCTTCTATGTATGGCCTTTTGAATGCCCCGGAGAAATGTAAATCGTGAGTGCCAACAACACTTTGGAAAAAAGGCGTGATATATTCAATTGTAATAATGCTCATTTCGATTGGTGGTTATAAGCTTTCAATTAATCAACTCTCACGTACTATCGTATCGGCTAATACGCATCACAGTGCACCTTATTGCTTGAAGAAGCTAGATTTATTTTGATCAAAGAAATGTCACTTAACAATTTGACTCGTTTAAAGTTCTGTACTTTACTCAATATTTAAAGTAGTATCAAATTTAGAAAATAAGATAATTTCATGTTTGTTAAGATTTAAGAGACATTTCTTCAATATTGCTACCAGGGTTCATTGTTCCAGGAATAATGTAATTAAACGGAAACTCAAAGTCAAATACAATGAACCTTGTTAACATTTTGTTTTCAATTTTTCGTATCACTTTTGTACGATTAACACATATGAAGAAAAAAGCTGGTGTTGATTACATTTGAGATTCATGTAATCATTTGTCTCTCTGTAATCGAACATTTCTCTAAACATAACTATCAATAAATCTACTTATAAATTGAGGAATCATCTCTAGATTTTTGGTGACAATAAAAACTAATTTATTTGTATCTTGTTTCAGATGCTTAGTAAAACGTGGACAATGGAGTTTAACAAGGACGCAAATTTAATCCTTCTGACATTCATTTGAAATTTTGTGATGTAGAAATTATTATAATTGTAAAAGTAAGTACAACTGCAAGTCTTAATTTTTTGTGAATGGTATCTGACTATAATTGACAGTTGGCTATATTAAAAGTATTAATGAAAGCTTCACGTAGCTTTTATCAAAGTTTTATTCTTTCATATTATAAAAAAGAATCTCTCTTTTAGATATCTATCCTTCGATGATTCCTCATAATTTATATTTTCTTCAATCCGTATATACAAGAATAATCATTGACGAGCATGCAGGAGTCAACGGGACCGATAAAGGCGAAGAAGCTGCATAACACCATGCATCATTTTCAGCGCTAATTAATGTCCAATATCCATTAGCGTATAACTGATAAAGTGGCTGAAAGCGATAACACGCGTATACGAAAAATTCGTATACATATTCAATACAACGCACGTTTACATTTTTTGTTTAAGCAAAATCTCAGAACAAAGAGCAGCATTCTAATCGTAGCGATAAAAAAGTAGCGGCAGGCAGGCAACTCTGGAGATGGCCTAAACTTATCAATGTAAAATGTCATTGATCGTTCAGCGTCGATAATTCTGCTATATATGTGCAATTGTATAATCTAAAACGAGAATGCGCTGGGATTTCATCCCCCTTTCTTTTCTTTTTTTTCCAATGATGCACAGTTATAATCCGATTGAGGTTCGAGTAATCGCGTTTTGTGTGATCGATAATCAGATTTGAGGTTCGAAACATCGTGTACAGCGGTGCCATGCTATGGAACAGTGTTTTTCAAAGCAATATTTCTATAAAATTATTTCAGTTAAATAATTGCATGTACATTTCATAATGGTTGAAAGGCACCACTGATGTATGAAGGTCTAAATGTAGCAATATAGCAAGACTATCGTAGCTCATAAAAGAAACATACAGTTATAAGTTCACCAATTGAAACTTTGCACAGTCATAAAGAATTTTAGGATTAATAATTTGAATTCATAATTCTAAAAATTTCACAATAAATTTTAAAGTGTAGGTAGCTATAAAAAGTGTTCCATTGTAAGTTTGAAAAACACTGTTATAAAAAGTGTCGTGGAGGTCGGAGAACAAGGTGTTCGGATTTCTTTCGAGTTGCTTTCCACGTTCTGGGTGTTTCATTCATATAATTAAGACATCACTATATAGCACGAAACCATTGCTCTACTACATAACTGGCAATGTGAGAGTAGTTTCATAGATGGTTCTGCAAAAGCGGGCGATTTTTCTCTATTGTACATATATCGAGATCTACTCATTCATGCAGTGCATTCAAATTTCCTCAGAGACGTACAAATACATTCATCTGTATTTATTATTAATTTACCAATGATTAAAACATTTTTATTAGTTTGAGTGAAAGTTTGAATAATAAATATGAAACAGACTTCTGAAATTTAATTATAACTTGATAATTCGGTTAGTCACCTCAGAAATAAAATAAAATTATTTTTATTGTATACATTGGTAATCATTTTCAGTATTACGAAGTACGTCATTTTTCGTATCAATAAGCGTTATTTGAAATGTAATGAATTTCTTATTCCTATCAGTCTATAAGAGGAAGTGCATTGTATCAGTGTTTATTTCTGCGAATCAATTCGACAGTCGATGCCACGTATTCATTTATATTTGTATACCATTATTCTTCATCCTTACTAATTCTTTATCCTAAATAGCAAAATTAGTCTGTATACATCCTAGGCTAAATTCTTAAAACTTTATTTTATCAAGGGAATAAAGGTATACAAAAATGAAACTTCAGAAGTAATTTCAGAAACGCTTTTCAAGATATACTCTAATTATAATTACTACACTTTGTCGATAGTGTCTTATCGTTTCTTTGCCACCTCCAGTACCAGCAGTAGTGATCGAAAATCTGACGAGTTCATTGGCATAATTAGGTCTGGAATCAGCCAGATTCATTTTATATTTTATATTCTTTTTTATTGACATAAGATGTTACTCATAAATTTTCCATTTGTTTATTCCAGCAACTTCTAATTACACTAATGAACAAGTATTCTAACTTCTATGATCGAACATTTGGTGTATAGAGTGTAGACAGCTGTAATGGTACTAAGAATGATTTATTTGGTGTACACTGGTGCAACATAAGCTTCCTTTGGCTAAGAAAAACTATATGGGAAGGAGCTTTTACTTGCGAAAACCAACAGAGAGCTTATACTGCTCATCTGTTGTTAATAAATTTTAAAAGATTGAAAAGTGGAAGTTTGGTGTTAAGATACTAAACTGTCATGGCCGCCTCCCTAGCGTCATGCAGTTTCCTCGAAAGTCATTTATAATGCAAACTATGCAAATTTCTGTACCATCAATAAGCGACAATAGTAATGAAAGATTAAAACCCTTCTATGAGGTAAAATTCTAAGTGCAAAAAATGTTAACTAACTTAAACGCTCCTTTCATATTTTTTCTTAACCGAGGGAAAATTACATCGCATCCAAGTATACGAACCGACATTGTGTACGAATGACAGAGGCTATAAAAGAGTACATTAGTTGCATTGTGTGCACCGAAAACATTGCTCTACAAGTTGCACTAAACACTACTTACAAATACTCTCATCTAAAGACAATATATTAATCTTTGGATTGAAATGTTCAAATGCAGCAGACACTGTTCTGCGTATTATAAGAAATTCACTGGTACCTGAGTCAACTTTACAATGTAAATTATAGATTAACATACAGGTACATATGTATATATATATATATATATATATATTGTATAGTATATACATATACGTGTCACAACTAACACCGATCGATGGTTAAAGGAAAAAAAATACAAGTAAAGGTATAGACAGAGCAGATCAGTTAAATTTAAATGCACTGTTAGGAGTGTAGTAGTAGATATACATATATATATATTATATTTGTGTAGTTGTTCTATATATATATATATATGTATGGTTAATAATATACGGCTAAAAAGTAATGGTGAAATAAAGAAGCATTTCCGGAACACGGCCAACACTGATTATAATTAATATACTGAGTTCATATAACAAACAGTGATTTATTGATTAGTACCTCGAAATCCTGTTTGCCCAGCCCAGGGGCAATGTCGATGGACAGGACAAGAAAACAGAAAACAGAAAAACAGAAAATTAAATCTCTGGTAACAAGTAATCCACTCAATAGAAATATTAAAGGGGCTCAATTATGATGAGATAGTACAGTTAAATTACCTATCAAGTCATGGCCAATTAAAAAATAGCAAATAGTTTCCATTGTTCAAGGACCATCTCAAAAGTTCCCCAAGCTGAGAAAAGTCTATCTTTCGATAGAATAGTAATGATCATCGATTATTTCTTCATTATTCTTTTATCAGTCGTAAACATTCTAAATGATGTCAATTCTATATATATATATATATTTCACACGTTGAATGCCGTCATGAAAATGTTACATAAAATATATTTTTTAATTTCTTTAACCTGAGGTTTAGCTGAAACTCTCTGACCTCATAGTTTTTGAATTTTAAAGCTTTGAATCTTTGGAAGTATTTCATAAAAAAAAAATTGTAACTAATATGTTAATGTGGATTTAAATATTATTAACGACCTTCATGACATTCAACATGTTAAAATTTATCTTCTCCACTGAACTGCTAGTCGTTTCGAATAGACTTTCCTCGCGTATAACCACGACAAATAATGAGAAACGAAACAAATCCTTAGATTTGTAGAGGAAAATATAATATTGCATCCAACATTCAATACAAATCATAATAGGTATATATATATATGTATATATATAAAATCAAATTCGTATACTCCCTAAATCCTTATCTCTTACGAATATAATGATAAATGTGTAATGATTATAATACAGATAAAAGAGACTGCAGCTGCACATCGAGCTCCATGCAAGAAAACACCGATTAACGCTTGAACGAAAATATTACCCAACAAAATGACCGGTAATTATTTATATAGAGATGTACATATACAATGCGAGGCAATAAACATTATACGAAACGCGATAAGATAATTTCCCGTTAAAAAGTGTATCAACATTTATTTTTGTATAAAAAGTCTTGATAAACTGATCATTTCTTTTTCATGAAAGAAATGAAGGTTTTTGATTTATGTTTCTTTAGAAACAAAGTATATTGATACTCTGACATTACTGATTTAAAATCATTTTTTTATCCTACAATGTGGAATTATTTTTTAGCGGAGAATCATCTTTTACTTTTTATAATACTCATCGCCTCACATTGTATACATAAAATACATATACGTATAAGATACGTATCTGCATGTATACAGTACATTCAACTTAAGTGCAAATACGCTGTTACTTTTGTAATCATTGAAGATGTGAAAAAGTGTACCATATATTTTCTCTCAATTATTATCCAGCGAATTCAATAATGTATAACAAGTACTGTAGGTGCTGCGAATACTTGATGCAGGATTTTATGATTGCGAACAAACATATATGAAACTTGACATTTTATATAAATCTGCACAAAGATAATTGATAAATCATACTCGTTATACTTATTGTAAAATAGAATTTCTCTGTAAATAATAATTGAGAAAATTCATACGAAAGACCTTTTCGTACTTCTGAGAAATAACAACGTGTGTACACTTAAACCGAACATACTGCACATATACATACATATATGATGTGTAAATCTATGTATATATGTATATATACATATCAGAGTATCCCTATCTGTATGTGAAATACAAGTATCACATAATTAAATGTAAAATAGTAATAATATGAATGGATATATCCAATGAGATCAGTAATCAGCGTGTCAGGGCTGCTCTTCCTGTGTAAAATTAAGTTCGACGTGTATGAGTATGTGATCAACAATAGCGATGTGTATCTTTTTCTCTCTTTTTTCCTTACTGTTTCCGTTCCTCGTGTGCATGTGTGTCTCAATGTGTGACATTACTCTCACGTGTGACATTGTCTCGTCTAATTTACAGTTGCCTGAAAATGTACATTTCTTTTTGTGATCCTTCTCGATCGAATGACTGGAAGAATGCGAGGATCCAGTCAACCGAGGTGGTGGTTTGGTGTGATCCTGTCGTCATCGTACACTTCACAAACTCATACATAAGACTGATATAAGATACGTACAGATACAAAATTAAGCAGATCGTGGTGGCTAGCGATGGGAAATAATATTGAGTGGTCCTTGCATCAATGCAGTAAAACGGAGATAGAAACGAAAATACACAGAGAAGAAGAATCATATAATCGAAAGAATATGAACAGTAAAAGAGGTTGTGGGTAAAGTGGCGGATTATATACTTCCCTAATTCGTTCACCACCATTCGATCGACTATTCTACGTAGAATTTAGTTGCATTGTGTCAAAAATCCGTTTGTAACAAGGAAACATATTCAAGTATTTTTTATAATAATTTATGTAATCATACAGCGTTATCTCAAAGATTGTGATAGACATATGAAAAATTTTCTTAATCATGTTTAATAAGTTTGTGAAATTTCAATACAATCACTAGTGTAATAATGTCTACTAATAATGTCAATTATAATTAATAATGTACATTAATGTCATTGCTAACAATGTCAATATATTATAAGTATCATGTAGCTTTTGGCAAAATTTGTAACTTCCAAAATTTAGAGTTTAGAAATATAGACATGTAAGATGTTAATCTACATGTTACATCAGTGATAAAAAACGTTTCCTTGTAAAATAGAATTGATAGGATCGAATCGAGGCGAACTATACTTATAAATTTATCAACATAACAGATCTCAGATACTTAGTGTTAAATTGCTGAAATAAATACATTGTTATACGGTATTTAACATTAGTGGACAGAGTAACATCGCCAAAGAAAGACATGACACGGTATGAAGAAAAAAGACAATATAAGTGGAGAGTCGCTAAAAAAATGAAATAAAGGATTGGTTACCCAAGATATGAATAAGATCGGATGCGCTTTCAACATTACATGTACAAAATTGGACAATGTAGAAAAAAGGAAACGTTTGCACAACCGTTTAAGAAAGTTTCGAAGTTTCCATTCTTCTTGCAGTTCGTTTAGAACGTGAGTGTGATGCACTTTTAGGTGCGAATCATACCTTGCTATTCGCGAAGAGGAGACCCACGCCCTCCATGCAAACCTGCAGAAGTCCACCCTCACCGGTGCGCATGTCTTGAACTGGAAATTCACCGCCAAGCTCGACTCCCACATTTGCACCACGACCACGGGCTGCAGCCTTTTCCATTGCATCTTTTATACAATAATATAGGTCCTTGCACTGAAAATCCCAGCGTTATGTCATTTGTTCTATCCAGGTAAATTCTTTTACTTGTGATGCCTTATGTTGCATTACATTATGTTATGTCACATGTCTCATGTGGTCCATGTTACTTCATAAGCCATTTTATAGAATTTACAGAATTGTACATTACATGTTATTTTAAAGATGGTTAAATCCATCCACATATTTAATTGAATGACAATCTTACTAACAATATGTTTACCTTTTTAGTGTAATACTTATGTAGCTGCGTTTGCCCGCCGTTCCGTCGCCAAAGGCACAAGACTTTGTTCTTTGGACTGTACGTCATGTTCACCAAGCGTTCGTACCACCATCGTTCCACGATCACACCATTTACTGACCTCAACACGAGACCATCATGGCGGACCTCGAGGAAACGGAGATCACCTTCTGCATCGACACCGGCGTGCACGGTGAACGACTGGCGATGCATTTGTCGGGACGTAAGAGGCTTCAAATCTATATCGTTCCCGTACTAGAATAAAATAGGCACTTAGTCTAGGAAGAAACCACTTGTTTCTTCTAAACTTACAAGATTATGTATTTGGTCGAGAAGTTGATTGAGTTCCTGGCTGTAGATCAACCCGATGTGGCTCTTCCCAAGCAGTCTTCTCACTTTGCGCTTTACCTGGTTCTTGTCGACGTTCAACATCACCAGGATTGCTGTTAAATTGTGCAGCAGAGTGCACAGTAATCTATCCTCGTCGTGCTCTAAGCGTTTCTTTTCAGTCTCGCTCAGGTTCTTGTACCTGTATACATAATTATATTTGACTCGAGATTGGTCTTGATGGGTTTAATGAGCGTACCTCTCCATCATTTCTCCAGGACCCTGATCCATGCCGATCATGTCTCTTTCTTGGGAGACCGCGTCCAGAAACGCGTCTTCCCAAAATTGCATCTGGTCCCAAAGCGTGGATCGTTCTTTCCCTAACAAGCCTGTCACCCATAATGTTACACTTTATTGTTAAAAAGAAATCATTTTTACGTTGTTAATAACTGTACCTTCAAATAAATAGGTGCGCGCTGCTTCTGGACTGGGTGCAGTTGTGGTGGGTACTAGACTTCCCCCGTGATACCGGAAACCAGTACTCAAGGATGATTTGCTGGACCAAACACTTCCTGTACGCTGCTTAGGTTGACGTGGAAACTGAAATCGTCGAATTTCGCATGAGAATCGTACGTAATATATCTTACAGTAATCGTACGTTAAATGAACGCTGGCTAAATGAACGCTTCTTGAATGAACGCTCCTTAAATGAACGCTCCCTTAATGCTAGTTTAGCGAACGGTTACTGTATTGTTTACTGCAAAGTTTCTAAAATCAAACAGTTTATCTTTATTTTGTTTTTATAATCTAGGTAAGCTTGATTCAAGAAAAGCTTCAGAAGATTCGTACTGTGCAGAATACTACGGTTATAAGGTACAACCATGTGTAAATGGTTCCCTTTATCACTTCCAGTGGCAGAAGAAACATTACACGCGATTGTGCATCTTCAAGCAATTAAATAGTGAATCATTCTTTAAAGGTAACTTTCCATTCGTGATTAGTGTATTAGGTAACTGTTAGGTTGTTGCATATCAAATACATTTGTAATTAGATAGACAATCAAACACTTATGGTACTTTCTATGACATGATTTTCATGAAATATTAACCTTCAATATACTGTAAATGTTATTATGACATTAGTTTGATATGCAATGACCTAACAATAATTAAAGCCAAGTGTGCTTTATCGTGTACTAGCGAGGAAACATCAAATGTGTTCAATTGACTAAAAGCATTAAATATTTGGTTCATAAACACTACTGTCTAGCAATGGTAGCAACATGCCATTCTGTTAATCATTTCCATGAATTTCAATGACTCTTTTTTTTCAGGTGATTCATTACTTAGCGTTCCAATAATTTCCAATGCAAGTATTGCACAAGCTCTGACGCCGTCTCTCTACAACAGTTCCAACTAACAAATCTAATTCTTCTAAATGATGGTTCAATTTCGTTGCTTGACACCGTGTGTCGGCTCTCTATCATCGCTTCAACTAACGACTATTAATCTAGTTAAAATTAGGAGTATGACAAACAGACAAACAAACTGATTTAGTTGATCATTTACATTTCCTTGTTCGACCTCGCTATCAGAGACAGTGCTTCGGAAAGAAGCTTGGTGCGCTTGCCGAAAAGCAGGATTAGTGATAATGCTACCTCCGTCTGTGGATAAAGCTTCGCTGCTTCCTGTTCCACCTCCCCGCCCACTCTAAAACAACACACGACGCTTCTATATAGCACACTTACAAATCAACAACAGCTTTGAACAATTCGTCGGCTAAAATGAAAGCTATTCCACGGAGATACAAAATCATTTTATCATGTTCACTCTTGGGCAATACTTTTCGTCTCACAGAATTCATTGTTGTATCTTTTAATCGATTTTCATGCAACACTGGTAACAATATCGATCGTGTACCTACACATATATACCGGTTGAACAGAATTTATTGTATGTACAGTCACCACCGATTGCTTTTTGCGAAAGAATTTCTTTTTAGTAAGTCTACTGGCAAGGCGTCGTAGGAATAGCAAGAGTGTAAGCCTCGTTGAATTCATACGTTGATTGCCACAGTTATCAATGATCTACTCTGATAATTTCAACTTTATTTACATTGATACTGATGCAGTAGAAAAAATTTGTTCATTGTATTTATATAAATAATTGAGTAATGTGCAGTTGTGAAGCTAGTGATACTAGTATACCAGGTTTATGATATGTGGTACTTAATTTTAATCTTAACATACTTCATTTTTGTTAGCTCTAAACTTATGTCACGTTAGTAAGTAGTAGAGTATATTAATCTTTGGTTGCTAACAATATATCAATAACTGAATTTTAATAATAAAATGTAGATGTGGCATTCAACGTGTTAAAGTGTGAAGTGTGATAGACACCTTTGTTACGTTACCAAGATAGTTTACGGTATTAGCAACTCGTTGCTTCTCTGTTACCTCAGAATCAAACGACGTTAGCCTGCTGAGGAACTTCCCTTTTTTAGTGAACATATCAAGGAACATGTCTGTCGTCGATTGACTCCCCTCGTTCGCTGGTGATGTGTGTCCATGTGGCATTTCCAAATGAACTTGTGGCGGGTCTGTGATAAAACACTCATTAAAAAGTACTTGTTTTCTAACGATTGTATATTTCAATTATCTACCTGATTTTTGGGTTTCAGCGAATTCAGGTTGAGATGGTGACTGTGGTGACTTCAAGTTTTCTCTGCTGCCAAATGGACTAGATGTCTGAAACGTTCATGGTTAATATATCAAATTAACTAAGGATAAAAGGATTCATAGAATGAACGAATTATAGTGCATACTTGAGACATTAACGAACTATCAAAACCTCCTTCAGAGAGATCCTTGCTCCAATAGTGAGTATGTGCGATCTCCATTAATTGGAAAACTGACGCCATTCCACCAAGTCCAAAGTTATTGTACGTGTGTCCAAGACCATGAGCCACTGCTTGAAGGCACTTTAACATTCCCTTGTATACAGGTTTCGAAATGCACTATGAACACAAAATAGATCTCTTCGTTTTCATCATACTCTGGTATTGTTCCACCTCACTTTAAAATATTAGCTACCACAAAATGTTCTTAATGTCTTGTTCAACATACCACATCATCGATATGATCATCAGGGCTGATTTTCTTGTTCAAACCTTTGTTAAGTTTCGAAACAACAAAGTCTCGATAACTTTCATCTTCCATAAGTTTCTTTAATCTGTTCAACTTCAGCCAACCAACACCTTCTCCGGTCAAAATTTGATTTACCACCTGAAAATGAATTCAATTGTACAGATTTGTTCTTCTTGTATAATTGTATTAATAGTACGGTTTTGTGTAACTTACATCGGTTAGGAAGGCTTGATTGTCGCTATTTACATTGGATCGCTCAGCATTCTGCATCCTTTGAAGCTCTTCTTGAGCGTTTTTGTTCGTCGAATGTTTGATCAATGACGAACGTTCAACTAATCCTGTTTTACCTGTGTAAAATAACAATTTCAATAACGCAAATGTTTAAATAGAGAATCTGGAAGAAAAGTTAGAATTATACTTTTAGGGAATGGTCCAAGCATCGGTGTCTTTTTGTCCGATTTCTGCGACTGAGGGTGGAGACCGGCATTTCGATTAGAATTATTTTTACTCCCTACAAAATAATATCAAGAATATGTAATCTTTACTCTCATCTTATAAGTGAATATGTTTCTGTTCAAAATGAAGCGTACCAAATAGATCACTAAACATGCTGCTTGTTTGAGCAGCGATACCATTTAAATCACTACTAATATTGCTGAAAAAATCACGTCCGATATCCCTGCGCCCTCCGCGATTATCTGATGCAACCAATTGGGTACTGATCGAGTCCCTTCTTTGCACTAGTCCAGGAGATGGTGGAGGTGACTGCTGCGTATCACCAAGACCCTAAACAATTTTATTAAGTTACATTTAATAATTAATCATTAATTCATTTAATATTTCAGGTCTCCACCATATTTCTGCATTTGCCTACCTTGAGTAAACCCTTCTTTGCAGCTACTTCTTTGGCACTTTTTGTCAAATCCCCAAAAGTGCTTTTACCAACGTATGTCAAATCATCAAAAGTATTTTTGCTAACTCCAGCTGCAGTTTTACTCGCTTCCAAAGCAGTCTTTGATGCTTCTTGTACTGATTTTGTGGCCTCTCCTACTGCCTTCTTTGTCTGCTGTGTAAACTTTGAAAAATTTCAATAGAAAAGATATGTCAGACAGCCACAACCCTTTGAAATATTCATAAATATATTAAAACTATATTTACTTGTTCCAGCGGTGCAAACAGACCACTATCTTCTCCAGCTTCTGTAATCTTCTCCTTTGCCTGATGTTTCAGCTGTAAAGTTACATAAAGTATGAACATTCTGTTTTACCTAGTTTTATTAATATCATCTCAAACTTGTTATTTTGAAATTAACCTTATCCATTTGGGCAAGGAGACCATCTTGACTGCTCTGCCTGGTTGTTTCTCGAACAAGATCTTTGGCTTGAGTTGCAATTTGTTCAAACAAGGATCCCTGTGATCCTTGCCGTAGGACACCATTTCCAGTCATGGTAGGGCTGCCCTGTTTTTGACCTTCTGTAACTGGTTTCTGAGCAACAGTACCCAATGAGAATTGTCGGGGAACCGTAGGTGACCCATTCTCACTGTTGTTGCTGTTCATTTGCCTTGGCAGAAGGGGTCCTGTACCTGTACTGAAGCTTGATGCTCTAGCCAGAACATTTCCAACACTTGGATGACGCTGAAGAACTGCTCCGCTTGGTTGGATCTTTGGAATAAAAGAATCTGACTTAACAACTGAGTTTGCAAGAGACATAATAAGTACACTTTGAAAATATTGAGACAGAATGATGATTTACTTTCACAAAGAGGTATTACACTTATATTACACATTACAATTTTATCCAGATTAATATATTTTTAACACAAAATCATTTTCCTATAAATGTACTGGTATCCTTTATTGTTCATGCAAAAGTATTTTACAGTGCATTTAATATTAAAGTGCCAGTGAGAATTATTAATATACTGTCACGTGTTGTCAAAGACAATCCATGCACTTCAAGTCACACATAAGAATCTGAAACAATTGAAAGTGGACAGACATCTAACAGAAGTTCAAAATAATGATCAACAGCTGAGAAACTATAACAGAATAAACCTTCTTCAGAGTATCAAGTATAAAACATTGGTTTAGATCATATGATCGTACTGTAAGTACAAAATGAAACGCGAAGAAGGGTAATATAATGAAAAGGCGATTTTGGTAACTCAGTAACGAAACGTTAAACGAAGAGATAGGGTTCCATGCTGGGCACATTGAAAGGTGCTTCTGATGATAGAATAGGCATGCAGATTAAATGACATCAAGAAAGAAGGTAATCGATAGGGGTGTTACACGATAGTGACTGTCAATGAAGGATGACTCACAGGAACGACATATCTACTGACACGTGAAGTCCTGTGGGAACTGGTAGGACGTTCAGTGTCGCTGATCGTTGTTGGAGTGGCTTTTAATCCCGTGCCAACTCCAAATTGTCCTATAGAACTTTGTGCGCTCAGGATTGTGCGTGGTGTTATTGTTGATGCAGAGTCTGACTCAAAGCTACCACCTTCCTCTTTATCCTATGATCAAGTCAGTTTAAAACGCGATGAAATGTACATTTTTCTCTTAATTTAACTGTACATGGATCCACTAAATCTTTAATAAATTGCTTTAGGTTCATCAAGATTCAGTTGCAGTGAGATTGCACAGATTTTAAATGGTGAATTTTGCCAACAGTTGAAGAGAAAATGAGTGTGATATATTCTTGCAGAAAACTTTAATCTCATGTGCTAAAATTGTTAAAAGATTCTGGGTACAAATTGTATACTTAATCCAGGTTTATACTTTAGGTTCTGACTTGTACGTAGAAGCTTTTAACAATTTTAATCATAGTAAAGTGAAGTAAGAAAGTTTCTAAGTGAAGATTTCTAGTGGAAAATGAAAAGTGACCAAAATTTGATAAATATATGTTGAATATTGATCACTTACATTGGTCGACTGTGAACCTTCTTGAGCTTGTGGGTTTAATTCAAATTCTGAATCTCTGTTCATACTAGGGCTGCTCAGATCACTGTGACTGGAGGAAGTACTCGGTGGACTTTCCGGCCTCGTTGTTGCTTCCTCTTCCATTCCAGGATATTGCAAAGAACTTGGTGGATTATAGACGTTCTTTGGATCCACTGACAGAGACATTCGAGGCTGAGCCACTTGTGCGGTATGATTGTAACCTATCAAAATTCACAATAATTTATTTTAGTCTTCACTAATTTATATCTTGCTTGCAGTACTCAGGGCAAAATTTATTCAAGAAAATATAGAGACTGCACTACTTCCATGGTGAGTACCAAAATTAATCATTTAATAGAATAAAAAGAAATGTCCACACATTGCCTGTTCAGTTATCAGAAATTTACTTGCAGGAATAACTTACTGGGTGACAAGTCCGACGACACCATTTCAGAGACAAAATCGCTCAAGGAAGAATACGAAGAGCTGGTGCTCTCAGCACCTTCAGAATCCGATCCACTTTCATCTGTTGGCTGACTCTCGTGTTCCTTCATCGCCTTCAACGCGTTCGCCAACGAACTCCCGGAATCCCAGACAGGAAAATAGATAGGTTCTAAGCTCGAAGCGTACCACTTTGGTTTGTCTCCAATTTGAGCAGGATCAAACACTCCAGTTTGTACCCTGAGGAACGCCACGTTGCTAGGTGTCAAGGACCATTCCGCCAGAAATTCCACCGCCTGTGTTCTGGCAAACTTGTTTAAGAAATGACTGGCACGTGGTCTCGATCGGAGGAACGAGTTAATTTGGAAGGCCACCACTGGTCTTGGGTACAGCCTCAGAGTCCTTGTGTGCTCGGTAAAATTCGCTAGCAGGTTCTGCGAATTAAAGAAACGCACCATAGCTACTCTGGTGGCGATGTCCACCGAGTCTACATCGTTTCCATAGATGAAAGGGTTGAAAGGAGGCATGCTTTGCGAGGACGTCGGTTTTTGAGGTGACGAGGAACCCGACGACTGAGACACGGACTGTCGACGTTGTCCAGAGGCTGAACTCGGGGTCGAGGAACTCGTTGAATGGGGTTGCGCATGGTGATCGATGCTTGGTCTGTGCTTCATCGACGAAACACTGTCATATATTACAAGACTCGTTAGATTTGAAAAAGGTTCGAACTGATTTAATATTACCTTAAACTAGACAGATGAGATGTTAAGCTTTCCCTTCTGCTAGGTGCTTGAAGCGACGTTCGAGGTGAAGTGTCTTGGGGCAAAGGTTGCGGAATCGTCATGCTAGCCATTGCCTGCAAGGTGAACAATCCCATGAATCAAAATGTTTTAGCGGTTCTCGAGCAACCTTTTTGCCAAGAGCCCGCGATATCTGGAATGCTGCTGAAGCTACTATGTCTAATCACTTTAGATCTACTATGCGGTCCTACGTTTCGTATTCCAAGCTTCTCTCTTCTCTCTTGGAAGTAGAGCACTAATCTACTAGGCTTACTGGAAAATTCTATTAACAATAAATGAACCCAAATAAGAGGATCCTTCATATCTGATACTACTGCTTTTAGCCAAAATGTCATTTAGTATTTATGAATAGAACTTCCCAGTAAATCTAATGACTGAAGACTAAAAAAAAAAGAAAGAAAGGTATTCTCTACTGTCATAGCCAGACTGTCCATGCGGTTAACTATAATACAAAGAGGTTAGCTAAACGCGACACATGCAAAGAAGTGATCATTGAAATATTTACACCAGAGCCGGCTTGGTCCATCAGTTGCATTGCCTGCAGAACCGGGCAAGGTATTATTAAAAACGATCATATCAATTTGTCGATCAAAATGTCTCGACGTTAATCGATCAACGATATCCTGTTGCTTCTTTTATTTACCTGTTTCAGGTGATTCTTTAGTATGGTGCCTTCTGGCTCGGGCAACGGAGGCAATTGATCACCCGCACCGGTAGGTGGGTTTATCTTATTGCTGTCTAGATCCACTAGCCAAATGTCATCGGGCATTTTGAAGTTCGTTTTGTACAATAAAAAACTAGCGGGTATTCCGATAACAAATGGTGTAGGTGCAAGCAACAATTGTTCCGCGCAGCACATGCACGTGGGTAACAACGGTATCGCGGGGAACATATACTCCAGAGGATAGATCATTGTAACGAACGCCATTACGGACATCGACAGGGCATTGTAGTCGCGGGATTGCAACACGATCTGAAAGTAATCAATTTCACCTATCAATTTCAGATAGACCATGAGAGTCGTTGTGTAAGAGCAATCGGGAATTTATTTCTTTAATTCTCTAGGAACCATTATTCTAATTGCTATTCTAAGATATCCGGTTGCCCACACAATATTCACCCTTGAACGGTGAATCGCAAGAAAGGTAATTTGTTAGCAGTCCACCCTTCAAGAGTTAATACTTTATATATTTTTAGATCAACTTTCAACCTTTATTCAATGAAGAAAAGTATGATCTGCAGAGACTAATTGATCATTAAGTAAGTCATTTATGTCTTTCTATAACCTTTGTCAGGATGTAATTTATCAGTTGTGTAACTAGTACTCTTATCGGTTGAAGGTTAATTCCACGGACCCGATTGCTTTTCTATGAGTTATGTAAGTGTTACCTTGTGCTCCAAGAGAATCAACGTGAGGACCTTCAAGCATATGTCAACGCCAAGAAGTTCCAGGGGTAGATGCAGAGGGAAATCAACGAGAGAAAATCTAGTGTGGTCTGGGAATGCAAAACAGAGTGGTGGCTGCATACTTTGAGACACGATTTCGACCTCGACGCGTGTCTTTGTTGGAACTGGTACCGGGCTGCTCAACAATCGTAATATCCAGGTCTCGATTTCTCTTACATCGTGAAGAACTATTGACGGCGTTCCTTCGAGCGTTTGTCCCGTTAAGACACTCCATACCGTGTCTCTGTTGTCACAGAGTTTAAAGGGACTTATTGAGAAATGAAGCGAAAAGAATAACGACGAATATGTATTTATTGAGATACAGTTAAATTAATAGGCATAGTTTGCAAAATTATACCTGTTCGTTTGCCTGGAAGCGCCCACTTTTTGCGGCGAATAACTTTCGTTGCACGCGTCGATGATCTTCTTCAAAACGAAAAGACATTCCCGGAACATCGAAAAGAAGGGGTGGTGTGAGATGATGCATAGCGACGTTAGGGAATGATTTCGTATCCTCTGCAAATTAGCGATAGGAGTAGAAGTTATCTTGCATATTCTAATAATTGGATCTTGCTGTTTCTAACGTTATGTGATACTAACAGCAAACATTCTAATATTACTATGTATTAAATTCACCTGTCGTCTGCGTGAAGCCCGCGGAGACGGCGAATGGCTGCCGCCGCTTTCGCTGTCCCCGCTCGGTGCAGTGATACCTAATCTTGGTGCGCTAATTGCATGAGACGTGTCAGAGTCCCTTCTGCTGCTCGGACAATCTTTCTCAGAGTCGCTAGGTCCTACTGCACTGCTCCTATAGTCGCTATAAAGAACAGCTAGAGATACAGTCTCATAATTATTGAAGATATGTTCGATAAATCGTATGCTAATCAGCGAGGATAATGGGGCGGTTTAAATACAGCAGCTCCTTATGCATTCTAATACTCTCTCTTCGTTGAAATTCGTTCTAAATTTAGCTGTAAGATTGTCGCCCACGCATCGATCACTATAGAATTAACTTTCTTAATCGTTTCTTTAGATAATTCTTTCGTGAAAGATTCATAAAATTATAATAATGTTTTATATTTCACCTAGAAAATGCAGAGTCCGTGCTCTTCTCCATACTTTTCCTCCAGCTCTCTCTGCGAAACGTTGTATTGTACTTGTCCCTTTTCACGGACACTCCACTTCCAACTGCAGCTCCAATCCTTTCTACTGGTCGATAGAAATTCACGCAGATACCATAACGTGTTTTGCCTAAAAACATTATAAGATCCATTGTTATAATTTTGTGCATCAGCCATTGTACTCCAGTTCTTTTATTTTCAAAGTATCAAAAGTTACTTAGTGTGGAGAAAATCCTAGTTACACTAATGAATTCATTTTGAGTATCTACTTCTGAAGGTATCTAGGTCTGAAGTCATAGTAGCATGTTGGTTAAAAAATGTTTATATATACCAGAATCTTTATCAGTAAGAGTGAAGGTGAAGGAAGTGGCCTCTCGTAAGGCTGTGCGTTTAGGGCCGACACTGGTGCAGCCCTCGGGCTGGCAGAAATAAACCATATCCAATGGTAGTCGAAAATCTTTGTGATCTTCCACCGGATATCTTCTCAATAATTCTGGAGCCTGCACAATTGTATGAAATTTCTTTTATCTTCTACTTCTGAACACTGAACATAATGAACTAATAAGAAATTTATTGCAGATATCTTGGAAGCACTGGAACAATGGAATGATACCTGCACAGGCTGGCGAGAGACTGGGGGCAATCTGGCCCCCACGATGGCGAGATAATCCACCAAGCGGGGGCACAGCTGCTTCTTTTGTATATCCATAGCTGTAATTTACAGCTCTGTCACCGTTCTGTGCAGTGTGTACGAGTCATCATTGGCCTTTCATCAGGATCACCTCCCGATCGAATCATGGTTATATCATTCTTCTGTTGGTCTTCTACATCTGAAAGCGACGAAATCGATAATTGAGACGAGTCTCAATTCAGTCAAAACACCCTTTCATAAAATTAATACGTTCTCTGGCACAATGAGAACCTGTCTAAGGAAACTAAGACAGGTATTAGTATACTGGCTGTTAACCCTTTTGTTATTATAATACGGTCGCTCATTGTGAACATTGTAATCGTCCAACTTAATGTGTTTGCGTCTCAAAAGAAATTGTGAAGCATGAAAATTTTAACTTGGATAAATTATACATTTAGCAAAAGAATGTCTTACTGTGAGTAAAATAATTTTATTTATATGATAATATTGTATTTAATAATTGAATATATAACTAGTTGAATCCATAAATAATTCAGTACAGAATATAAGAGTAGCTTTCAACAGAGACTAACCCTAATGGAATGGTTATGACCCAATGACAGTCAACGTGTTAATTTTAAAAAGGGATGCTAATGTACGAATGATTAATTTATTTTATAAAAGCCTATGGTAATGAATGTAAATAAGAAGTATTCAGAGACGTCAGAAGATTCGATTGCACAAAGTTAATTGATAGTAGGTCTGCTAGTACGCGAAACAATATTTGGAGCACGGGTTTCATTGATTTCTCGAGCCTCGTGACCTATATATCGAGTTAACAAGAACCACAAAAACGCTCGGCCATTGTACAAGGTTTAAGCTGATTCAGCTTTCGTGAAACAATGTTTAGATGGAAAACCACCCTTGCGACCAAAATTAGAAACGTTTTCATTGACTCCCAGACTATTGTTCTCTAACAGATTTCGATGAGATTGGAAAAATACCCTTGCAAGTGGATATCATTTTTCTTCCGAAAAATTTGTGCAATTGATTTTAATTATAATTTAAAACAAACGTTATAAAATTATTTTGGAAGAAATTTAAGTTCTCAACCTTGCTAAATAAATTCAGAGAAATATTGACTTAAGGAGAGTATAACTTATGGAAATGTCACTTAGTGCCACAGAATATTCCGTTTCCGCTTACCGAAAGCGATAAATATGAAATGTGATATCAAGAGATGTTACCAGCACAAAAATTACAGAAATAATTGAACACCATTACAATTTTCCATCTGAACATTTTAATTCTTTAAATATTACTACCTTCAACTATTGGAAATTGAAGATTTGAAAATTTAAACATTTCAAGTACATAATTAAAAGTTACTCAAGTTTTAAAAGATTTCCATTTTCACTCTAAATTCAATTTTCTTCATTTTACCAGTTTTGTAGTCATGATAGGAAAGGATTAATCTAACAAGGAAAAAATTAATTCAGGGTCAGTTTACAAGAAACTTTATACAGTTTTAAAAAATTGAAATAATACAAAAAGTTTGAATTTAATTCTATTAATTAATAAATTAATTAGGTGTCCAAGAAATTAACTCTTGTTTAATGTTTCAGGTATTCGAACTCTCCTGCCGGAGTCATCAAGAGGAGCTGACTTTTGCAACAGCTAATTAAATTAATAGATTTTATATCATTTCGTTGCGGTCACCATAATCAACAGCCTGTCAGGTTCGCTTCTGGCAATTTCGTGAGACGCACATTGCCCCTCTTTCCGCGGAGCAGCCTATTAGCTCGACTCGCGAGCATTATTGGTATGCTTTCACGCAAAATTTTTGACTCCCCTTGCAATGTTCTTTCCGTAGGTTTCAATTACTTTCGATTGTTCCCTATCGATTTCATCAATCAACCAATCATGCAATTTGTACAATCTTCATCACTTTCGCCCCGTTCGAATATCCTCAGATTAAAAATAAATTATCCACTTTGAATGTCAGCGATTTTAAACATAGATTCACTCGAACGTGAAACGTGACCTCAACAACCAACCCTTCATTCTTTAAATTTGTCCATAATTTTACTAATCAGGCAATATGTGAAGACAAATGTTTAATTTAAATTCGTAAATGTACATAAATTCACACGTGTACTTGAATGTATATTAACAAAAAAAATTCATTTTGTTTCAGGGTGAAATATGCACATTGATAGGAAGAGCTTTTTACAACGTGTCGAGATACGTCATTCGTGACCGACGTCGTGGCTTTTTTACGAATCGACGAATTTTCGAACGACCATGCAAACGGTGAAATTGAACCGTGTAAAAAAGTGATGAAGGAATACGAGGGACTTACGTGTCGTTTAACAAGGATATCGGTGATCACCACTTTGACAGTGTCATGAGAAAAGCCACGAGCTCGTATACACTCCGTATCGCCCAAATGGCGATACCACACTGACGATCGTTCGCAGCAACGCTACTAGGCAAGCGTGCAACCAGGGGCGGCACTTGCGTTGTAAAAAGGACATCGTTACCCTGAACTGATAGCGAGCCCGAATACTAGGCCGTCGATGCTTTCTACGCTTTCCAAACACCGTGCACCAGAAAATTCAACACCCACGAGGCACACGATTTTCGGAACGTGGATTTTGCTCAAATTTGCTGTTATCAAAGTAAACTTGAAAGATTCGACTCGACTCGGGCGTTAGCTTTGCTAACCCAAATGTAAATTCGTGGATTTGCAAATCTTCGCATGTGCGAATCTTCAAATTTCGCAATTCTCAAATATATAAATCTTTGAAAGAAAAAGACATCTTCAAAATTCAATTACAGTAAGCATGGCAATATAAAGTCTACTATTCATTTACTAATTACAATTGAAAACTGATTTTTTGCATTTGCTATTTCAAAGAGAAAGGTGTATTTTTATTTTGTAAAAGATAAGTACTGAGTTGAGAAACACTTTGGTTGTAATGTCCTAGATAATGGTCAAGTGTTCATTTTTTTAAACGCAATTCTACAGGGGTTGAATTAATTATTCAGTTCAAGGATAACGCCTGTAGTTCGAGTAGCACCTTGAACCATTAGAACATTGAAGGAAATTAACAGACCTTTTTCAGAAAAAAATTCCCTCGATGAAACCATAAATGTGCAGCTACAAGATCAAGAATAATTTTCTTTGTTATAAAAAACTCTTTGAGTAGAAAAGAAAGCGAAAAGTCAAAACTTCAGGCAAAAATTTAATATATACAAACGATATTAGTATTAAAATAACAAGATAAATATTCTATTTCTTGTAGAAAGAAGTAGAATAGTAATTCTATTTTAGTTCCATTTTTTGTAGAAAGTGAATTGAGTAAAATAAGCGTGCAGATTTCATAGTTATCCGTGACTGTGCAGAAGGTAGATGAAATTACGCCTTTTTTTAGCTACCAACTGGGAAGATAATTGCGTTACTGTTCTTTGCGATTTTTACTATGCATACGCACACACACTCAACCTTTATCAGCCTAGTGTAATGAACTTATCATGCATGCATGTATGTGTACGCACGTGTGTGACACGCGTAAACTCCCAGGTTTCAATGCTGTTAATAATTCTGAAATTTGATTATTTAGCCTTGCATAATGGAATAGAGGATCCTTTCAGTTTCGTCGGATCGATAACAGGATTGTTCGCTGAAAATTTGAACTATAGTTTCATCTACGTATATCTCAGACAAACGCAGGTAATTTAAAACAAGCACAGCTTGAAATTCATTACATTCAAAGAATTTACATTACATTTTATTACAGTTGTCCAAAATATGACTGTTCTTAAATTATTTTTGTTTAATTTTATAAAATGTACATCAATGCTGTTTAAAATGTAATTTCGTCTTCGACAATACTAATTGACGATGTCGATTGCAGGCGATTCCCCCATGGCAATCAACATGTTTGTCAACTTGAATGGAAACTACGTCGAAGTTGGTCCGTCTCTGTCTGAAATCCGGGAGTGTTCGATTCGTTGACAAAACGAATCGATAAAGCTATTAATCCAGAGCATCGAGTAGACGAGGAAAGAGTGGGCAAAACTAACATGATTAAGGAGTAAGTAAGAAATGAGTGTCCGGGTGCGCAATATGACGTTAGCACCTTCTGAACGACTACTACAATGTTGGCCAGGGAACGTGTACCGTCCTCGGGAATGGATGGCCTCATTGCATAGACGTGGTTGCCTGCCAGCTGGATCAATAACTTTGTCAGGCTTAGCTGGATGTTCGGGAATGTGGAGGTGGAAAAACAGGGACGTAAGTACGATGCTCGAAGGTCTAGGCGCCCTTTAACTAGCTGACGATAAAAAATAGCTAACTTAATATTAGATGGCTTACCACAATTTATTGAATTCAGGTAAGAAAGTTATACGGACATTTAGTCTAAAAAGAACTAAAAAGTCCAAATATAGACTTTCCTATTATTGACATGCATAATATATTATCAAAACTTGACATGTCTTTAGAAAGTTTCTTATTAATCTAAGTAATTACTTTAATTTGTACAATTCTTAATGAATTTCATTATGAAATAAGTAATTCTATTCATGACAATAGAATTTGAATTGCACAAATTTAAGTAATTAGTTCAGTAATCGAGGTTGGATAAGTGATCAAGCATCATAAGGTTGAAGCAATCATAATAGGTAGTGTTAACGCGGTCGCTACCAATCGCTGACTGATCCTCGCCGATCGTATTGTGACTTTTGTGCTATAACCTTTGGCGCATGCGCAAGTGATAGTATTCAGTGCTGTGTAATTCAGATAGCGCCCGAGTGTTAGAAGAGGAAAAACTCTTTTTCTTATGATTGCAAAACGTCATTATACTCTTTTCTCACATATAAAACAAAAGAGAAGAAAATAAGTAGTGGAAGATCTACTATTAACACCTTCATGGTACCCCGTTAACTATACTTTATAGATATGATTCTACTGATGAATAGACCAATTCTATTGTTGTATTAATTTTAGACAGTCAAGAGAATATCGAAATTATGCAAAAATTTAGTTGTGAAGAATACGAAGAATTGTGAAGAAAGTTTGAAGCACATGGGGCCCCTTCCATAGACAGCACTGCACTATATGATTCTCGCATAGCACGATGCTTCTACAACACGGACCAGTTTAGCACGGTTGGAGGATCGGTGAGACCCGCGTACAACACGATGTCTTCCACGATCAAGGAATTACCCCTCCAAATTATACAAGAAAGTAAAAAATTAAATACTTAGTAAAGTATTAACTTCGAGTGGTAAATTATAGAAAAATCTAATATATCACTCTTTCAAATCCAACAGTGTAATATTACCTGATCCAGAAAGGTGATCATGCACTTATTACTCTGGAACCGTGTTAATTTTTATTTCAAGGACTAAAGCTGTAAACTGAATCTTCATTTCTGAATCGAACACTAAAGGAACACATATTGCAATTATTTAAATTGTAGAAATGATGCCGAACGAAGATAAGAAAACCCCAGTTAGAAGGAACTTCATTTCGCTAGAAACGAAGATACACATTTTGGACCGTCTTAAGAACGGCGAAAAAGCGACATACATCGCGAAAAGTTTACAGTTGAACGAGGCAACGATAAGGACGATAAAACAGAACGAGGAAAAGATCAGAACCGCCGTCGCTGTTGGATCTTCCGTTTCTGCGAGGATGTCTGCTCGACCGCGAGCAGCCATCATCGAAAAAATGGAAAAGGCTCTCAGCCTTTGGATCGCCGATTACAACGAACAACAGATCCCGTTGGACAGTGCTATAATTAAAGAAAAAGCTTTGTTAATTTACGACGATTTGAAAGAAAATGGGGAAACACCTGTTAATCCAGAATTCGTAGCCAGTAAAGGATGGTTCGAGAGGTTTAAAAAACGCTTCTCCTTACAGAATATGAAAATTCAAGCAAACAGAGCGATTAGTGTACCCGAGATCGTCGAAAATAATTCTAATTTTACGTTAGAGGCTTTAGAAGAAGGCTTGAACTTAGCCGAACAATTAGAGTCCTTCTTTTGGAAAACGGATCCCTCGACCGAGAGGAGCGCAACGTTTCAGAGGGAACTTCGAAAGTGTTTGGCACCTTATCGCAAGATTTATAAAGATTTATTAAACGAAGACAGGAGGAAGATTGATCGTTGCGAGAAGTTGGAAGATGATGGAGCTAGTTCGGAAGATAAACTACCGAGTAAACGCGTTTGTTTAGTCGTGCTTAGCAGCGACGAAGAAACGAGTTGAACATGTGTAAATAATGGATTTTAAATTGAAGTACTTTATGACGTCGTTGAGTACTACATTAAATTGAAACAAGGATCTTAATAATAAATTGAAGACTTTTAGGGATGCTGTGGATTTGTAACTCATTTGGAATGCCTATATTTTTTTACTCTTGATATATAATAAATAGGAAACTTAATTGTAGTTTAATTGTAAACTTAAACTTAATAGACAAATTTGAAAGAACTGTTCTGTCGATAAGGATGTTTTCCATCTGGGACCATTGAACTCAAAATTCAATGGTAACATGATGTAAGGGTTCTTGTCAGTGCTAAATTGGTTCTTATCCATGCTATGCAGCCATCCAATAAACTGCATAAATAGTTCTTGAAATATTCTTCTTGAATACTTCATTCAAGCAACAAATTTCACATAAAAGAATAAAGAAAAATCAAAGTGTTAACGAAAATTTTATTCGATTATCCAAAATTACATTATTCGTAGTTTACAACAGTGTAATTTTCATTGGAAAGTTTGCTTATAAACCTCTGAAATGTTATTCTGTTTCCTTCTTTTCCATTTTGTTACAATGTTCGACGTGTATACAGATAATACTGTAATTTTAACTTATGATTAAGTAAATAAATAGTTGACTGAAGTATTACATAGATTTTGTTATAAATTTTTGAGAGAATACTATTGTTAATAATATCATAAAATCGGTGCTATCTTTTTTGTTCACCTCTGTCGCATCTGTGACTCAAACAATTTTCTCAATAAGTATTTGTAAAATTCAGTAAAAAGTATTCGATACCAGTAATCATGTATTCAAATTTTCAGCTCTGCAATTCCTAAATTTAAATGGTATATAAACCATTTTGTCATACCTGATGTGATATACTAACACTATTAATAAAACTAGGTGATCTAAAATACCTAAATACAGATAGAGGAATATGACAAAATTTAAGTATATCAAACAAAGAATTACAAGCTGATATAAGAAATCAAAGATACTGGTAACGAACGTGTTATGAAGCTATATTATAAAAGAAATAAAGAGAAATTAATATACTCTATTATGCTAAAATTCTTACTATGATAATATCAAACTATGTTGAAGAAAACTCACGAGTTGAATCAGTGAATATATCTCAATTCCTCTTACATAGTACCAAGGACCATCCTTATAAAGGATGACCTTCACAAAAAGAAGTGATTCTCTTTATATGTTTGTCTAAAGTGTTTAATCATCCTGCACCATTCAAGTTAAATTGACCCAAAATACTCTATATTTATATGAAATTCACCGACTATTAATATGATAAAAATTTGAACAGTGCATGGGGATTAAACTATAAAATTATTTTGTCATCAATAACAAAATCTTATCTAATTGTGTATCACGTTGTTAATAACAGCTATGTTTCAATATTCTATTTCAGTCACTGGCAGAATATAATTTATAAATGTCGTTATTCCTTTTGCTATGTACAACATATATATGCGTCATAGAAAATTAATGGTAAAATAGTGTACGTATATTGCTATCAATCGTGATGCTGAATTAGTATCGAGTTATAATACAAGATAGATCTTGACATTCTTGATAAGTCATATTTTATCTAATTATTTGTAATTTCACACTTTTGCTTATCCATAATGAATATTCGTAACTTATCACGTTATCCACGATTTTCCGTCTCCCTTCTGTTTAAGTCTTGATAAAAAAGCGATCCACGAGGGAGCAAAGTTCAGTCAAGATTTTGTACTTGTACTATAGGTTGTATGCGAGACTTGTTCGTACCACGATCTTACTTTCTTTCGCCCGAAATTACCAGAGACTTTTTACTGAACCCTGTCCGACTGGATCATCGCTCATCGTCGACAAATATTTTTGCAATCGTCATAGGTCCAGGGTTGTGTCGGATCCATGATGATAATCCTCGTCTAACAGAGGTTCTTGTTCCACCATCATGCGAACTGTAAACAAAACTATATTCATGCACACCAACGAATAAGAACATTGACAATAGGCATGTGCGAATACCTTGTTACATTGTGAGTCTTATTTTAAACATCTATTGACATGAGTCTCTTCTTGGAAGTTAACATACTGACTGTTGTGAAATTGTAGATTAATCTTATCTATTATTTTCCTATTTCTGTTTCTTAAAGTTTCAAATACCTAATTAGACAATTGAAAGAATTTCTAACGTAGGTGACAGATTTGTTTGAAAAGTTTCTTCCACATCAGAGTGACGTATCTATCAACATGTTAACGTGTTATTCGCACATACTTTAATAAACATGTTATATATTATACCATAACAGTTATTAATACTATCTAACAGTTAGAGAATTATACCCAACCAAGGGAGATCGGTAACCATTCACTTCTTCTTACTCTTTTTTATGTTTTATCTACGCTGTTAATTAAATAACTAATTAGAGTGTTGACTTTATAGGGTAAAACTAAGAAAGGATAAGTTGGAAGTATCTCCATTTTTTAATTGAATTTGTTAGAATGTTATAGATGCCTATTTCTTCTCCGTATTTGGTTGTACAAGTACGAACATTGAATTATACAAATTGTTAGAACAATTAAAGAATTCCAAGATACACTTTGAGTGTAGTTAATAAAGCTTCAACATCATGCACAAGCAGAGAAACATGCAAATATAAGATTTAACGTGCCTTCAGATCTCTACTTGCTGAATTATGTACCTCATCACTTTTGTGTACACTGCATAGTACAATAATGCATAATGTATAATTGCAGTCATAAAATCAAGCAGTTTCAAAGACAGATTACAGTAACATATTTAAATACTTGAAACCAAATACTTATAACATACTTCAAAGATGTATTAAAATAAATTTGATAAAATACTGACTTCAATTAAAGACAGATTTTATATTACACAAGATGCTATAAATAAAAGAATTCTTGCACATAAATATTATAACATTATAAATATAGACAATACAGTTGTGCAGAAAACGTATACCACCTATGTTGTACAGATATAAATTCAGGTCTGGTATAAAATCTTTAAACATTGTATGAAATTCATTTATGTTTTATTAAAATTTCATTAATTTATATAATGAAGAATATGTGTATATATAATAGAGAATTAACCACTTCAAGTGGAGTACAATAATACAGCATGCAGATTAATGTTTTGAAAGTCTGTAGAGTTATATTAGAAAGCAAGTAGTACAATTTACTTGAAAAAATCACCTTCAAATGTTATTTTAGGATTAATATGGATTAGATCTAATAACAGGAAAAGAGGAAAGTAATTCCAAAAATTTTCATTGCCACATTAAGCTTTTCCAATAAAAATGTGTAAATGAAAGATAGCACGTGATAGGAAAATTGTTTATCTAAAAAGTATATTACAGTTTATGAACAGAAACCAATGATACGATACATTAAAATATTAGATACATATTTTTATTTTTCAATAATCTTCCAAACAACCCTAATAGAAATATTGTCATCCTGATAATCTTGATTAGTATGTAAAAATTGAAGACCTTTTATAATAACAAACTTACACAGTTAAAATACTGCATAGCTAATGGAATCCTTTATAATGTAATTGATGTTACAATATAAATTGATGTGTTATGAACCATTTAAGCTAACCTTTGTTTAAGTTTAGAAATGCTTTTGATACTCCAAAAAACTAACATCTCTAAAAGCTCAAAGTATCTCATTCTTTAAGTAATACATTTGAAATTACTGACACAGAAATTTTTAACTGAAGTATACTTAACATCTGTATTACACTTTTAAAATGTTGCATTACGTATTTAGTAATGTATGCTATTGTAAAATTTACTTTTCATTAGTCACAGAGACTACAACATATTGAAAACTAAATGTGCATGGTCAATTAGAGCTGATAAATGTTTCGTGAGTAAACACATAATTATCGTGTAACTGTTTCATATTTTTTTACAACTAACATTAAGCGGTCAATATGTTATATTTTTTGTAAGTAATAACAAATAAATTTTACAATGATTCAACGTTTCATATAGCATTAATTGCACTAAAGAAAAATAAGAATCTCTGCCGCGTATTTCTTTTATGACTTGTAAAACGTATTTCTTATAGTTGCAATGATAAGCGTATGTTAAGGCCACACCTGAGCTAAATGGAAATTATTACAAATTAAAAATATTACCATTAATTTATCTAATTCATGTGCAATATATACGTACATTTCCTATGCTATATACTTTTCGTTTGCAATTCTTTGTCCACTACGAATAAAGGTTCGATAAAAGAAAGTATTAGAACACACAATTATCATAATTTGTTAACCAACAACATCCTTCAATTCCTTGTAATTATTTGTTAAGTTAAAGATAAAATGTTTCAAAAGCAAAAATACCGAAAATCCATAGATCAGTGTCACTTGAACTCAAAGTAACTATCTTTGGTAGTTTACTTACATTATAGATAATTTATGTTTATAATTGACTATGGAAATATACTGAGATATTTATAGTATATAACTATATACATATTGATTATAAATCAAAACTGCATTTTCTCTAATTTCGATGTTACTAATGAATTCAAATACTCTATGAGATCAAGACTGCAATATAACACCTAAAAGAAACTTCCAGAAATATTTGGAACCTATAAAAAAAGGAGAGTTATTTAATTTCTATTTTCTTTTAAAATCGTATGAAAACATTGAATCCCTTTTAAAACTTGTTCTGTAACTTGAAAATAATTAAAACATTTAAAAGTGACTCTTAATTATATTCTCACTATACTACACACAAAATATTGTACTTGCATTAATCTTTAACAAATAAAAATTAAATAAATAATTTATATTCACTGATTTAATAAAATTGTTATGAAACTTATAACAATTATATAAGAGGCAAAGAAGTTAATTAAAATTTGTCATGTCTTTTCGTTCAAATACTCGATAATTATATATTACTCTTTTTTTCATTTTCTATATGTATTGTTTCGTGTATTCTATTAATTCTATTTATTTTAGTTGCGACCACTAGGTTCATAATATCCTTTCGCCGACAACAGAGTACACTGCAATCGGCGACAAGCAGTGAGTAACTTTTAATCAGTATGTTGATGAGACCTTTTATTTATATTCAATACTAGTCAGATGCGACGGTGATTACAAATTAATGTGATAATAAATGAACTGTACTATTCAAACATTTTATATACAGTTATAATAACAAAATTTATCAAATCTCTATAATTTCTGGCATTATAACTCTCTTTTATACATGAAATGAATCATACAGCGCATTCATTATCACAAGTAAATCCTAGTGATGTTTCTTTTGCAATCTGTTACGTTGGGACCTGTTAGTACCATTTTTTTCAGCTGTATTAGAAACCTGGCTCGCTCGATGATCTGCTAAGGATATCCTAAACAGTTTGATTTTCATGTGATCACAAATCTCAAGGCAAATTTGAGCACTATATCGGAGCAAATCCAGAGTTACCCAAATCTGAAATAAGAATCAATGACATGTAAAACAGAGTAGCAAAAATTTCATCACACTTCCATAGAGATTATAAAACTTACAAAGCACAACCAAAGAACATAATATTCTTTGATAAAGAAGTTGAAATATTGATTCAGGAACAGCATCGCTGGTCCAATCAATGAACTGTCTAAATATTGCATTTCATTTTTTGTCATATGAGCAACCTGTAATAATGAATTGCAATACCCTAAAATACCGAGTACATAGTTTGATGGCAAAGATACAAAAATACCTATGATCAATATACCTACCACTAATCGGTTGGTAACTTTAGCTGCAACCATTCCAAATGCAAGTATGTACAGTGCAGGATGATTTTCATATACGTGTTCAGCACTTTTTCTATAAATTATAAAAGCTGGTACTACCACAAAACTAAATGGAATAATTGGAGATAAAACTGATGTTCCCTGAAATTAAATAAATATTATAAAGATATCTACAATCAATACAACAACATAATTTAAGCAAACTACAAGCTGATTACTAATCATTACAATATAATTTTGTTAGATACTACAGAACTACAAAATTACTCAAATTTAAGAAAAGAAAGAAGCCATGGGCTTACAGAGAGATTTAGTTTTTGTTGTTAGGAAAGTACATATAATGCATTGCAGAATATGATGCAAGTTTACAAAAACGTTGAAGTTCAGAAGTACATTACAAAACATTATGTTAGATGCAAAAAGATGTAAAGATTAAAATAGAAAAATGAAAACAATTAAACTACAATTCTATATATTGTAAGCATGACAAATGCAAGAAATACCTAAAGTTAATAACAGTTTCTAAAACTGTTGTCTAAAATTAAAATTCTAAAGTTAGTTGCAATAAAAGATCTATTGGTTATACTACTATTTACTTTATTACTTATGATGCATGCAATTTTTATTAGTAGTTAAAAATGTAAGGAAAAGTGCAATTATTGGAAAGGGTCATAAAATGGAAGAAATGTATGATATATCCATATAGTTCATAAATATATAGGGAAAGGTGGTAACTAAACTGAAAAAAGGGTACAGTAAATAATTCTGTGTAAATGATCTAACAAAATTTAAATGTATTGAAATAAATTTGAATGTATGTAAATAAAAACTGTTCATACATTACAGTCATACGATAATGTGCAAAAAAAATAGTTATTGCAAATTTATTTTGTATTAACATTTTTATTTTACTCTGTTGTGAATGAACAAGAAATATAAAATAGTTTCGTTTGGCATGGACCAAAATCAACATAAAATACAAAGTGCACTACTACACAGTGATTCTATTATTTCTGAACTAACTTACTGCTACGGTGGAGCCATTTTTTCCGACACCACCGGCAAGAATGACGGACATGCTGCTCTGTGCAAATAAAATAGCGATGCCCACAGCAGCCCATAATGGAAACACCTTGACCTCTGTGCCAGTATATGGCAACTGTGCAAGTGACACAGAAAACCTTTCTATTAGTTATTTTTAAACATTTTTAATATTGATTCAACACTGAATCGTAGTACAATATTTTTTCACATACTGGTGAAGACTTCCTGCTCTTGAAACAATTTCAAATCTTCAAAGATATATACTTCACTGTTTATTTTTTAAAAATTGAGTGATACAAAAATGCGATTGACTTTGAAAATATCAACATATGTATTAATGGCACATAAAAATTTTAATGTATCCTATGTATGAAGCATAGTTTTAATATCCTTTTGTGAACAAATTAAATAAAATCCATCTTAAAATTCCACCTTAAGTTCCACCTTAAAATTTTATCCATTCAATAAGAGAAAAAATAGCAATAAACTGTATGTTTTAATATATTGATAATATATACATCATCTCATGTTATCTAAAAGTAATTATACACAATTGTTCATTCATATTAAAAACACTTTCATGGTAAATGCTACATACTTGAGAAAGAAAACAAAAAAACAGTTATAAGCGCTTAAAAATAATGGAAAGGTTGCACTTTTATTCGTATCAAAAGCCACATTTTTTATAGCTTGCATACCATACCAATATATATGCATTATGATAAATTAATGTGCAGAAAAACTAGAAAGATATAAATTTAGTAATGCAGAAATTATTTGTTGTGAATAACAAATAATCCAATAATCTAGATAGGCAAGCAGAATGAAAGAAGAAAGATTTCATTACTACATAAAGTATCAGAGTTTACATGAATGCAATTAAGTTGTTTTTGCTCTTAAAACTTACTGCAATTGTGGAACCATTCTTTCCAATCCCACCAGATTCAAACACTTTACAGAATTCAAGGAATACATGAATGTAGCCTGCATAAAATAACACTGCTACGTAGTTACTGATTGTGCCTACACCGAGCACTGGTATCTAAACAAATGTACAAAATCTCGCTTGTTATGAAAAATGTTAAAATTCAACACAAATTTAGCCTAAGGTTATTCTATGTGTTACTTATGTTTAGATAACTTTTATCCAATAATGATATATTAATATATTTTTGTTGGGCTAGTTCTACTTATGGCCCATGTTTGTATTTAAAATAATGTTTAATAAATTAGGCACGAGGAAGCTGCAATGTATACAATGAAATGACACCTTTGATTATCCCATAATTTTTTTGTCTGTGTTGTTAATATTATTGAAACTCTTATAAATATTCGATATGTGATTAAGATGGAAAGTTGTTTGAAATAAATAAATTATGACACTGAAGTGAAATGTAAAATTACCTGTCTGCTGCATTAATTTGATTTCCATTAGTTAACTTGTTAAAAAAGGATATTAATTATGTATACTTCTTAGAATAACATCATTAAAATGTTAATAGAAATTGTTTCAAAAGCATAATATAGGAAAATTATATTTAAAAAATAATCTGAAATAGTGTTTTCATTTAATTTTACGCTATATGAAAATATATCATAAATCCATACACAAATGATTTTATATTTATTAATGAATACTGTTTCTTCCTCGACTTAGTAAATTTAATGAATTACCTCGATTATAGATATAAATGTCAGTAATAATGTATTTGTTATGGAAATGTGATGATGCAGGAAAATAAATGAGCGAAAGGAAAAAAAGGATAAGAAATGCAGAAATTAATATATGTTAACAGTAAGTTTCATAGCAAAAAAGTAATTTTAGCACTGCTCCTCATGCCATGCCGCTCCTCATGCCATGCTCTTCTCATTTTTAATATCTCCAAAAACAAGATTCTAATTGACTAACTTACAGCCACAGTTGAACCATTCTTGCCCACTCCTCCGGTGAAAATCACCGAAAAGATAGAATATAAGTTTGCCAGTGCACAAATTACTGTCATAACTCCTATTAAATACTTAAACATAAAACCATCTATGTATGGTATCTGTAAGAAATATTCTCATTAGACTCATGCGAAGATATGTCTTAATTTTTGAAAAACAACATGAGTCTTGAGACAAAACGTAAAATTTATAGTATCATTAATTTCATACACTGTGCTCTGCAGAAGCAAAATTTTCAGTTAAGCTAATGATTTATTAATGTAGTAATTTTCTTGCTGTTACTTCCTTTTTATATTTAGTTCATAAATAAATAAAAAATATATATGAAGCATACACATGTTATAATAACTTTTGCTTGAACATAAAATGCAATAATAGTAATAATAATAAACGAAATGAAATTTTATAAAAGCTCGGAGTAACAAAAAATATTATGAGGAACTTAGTGTTGTGTAAATTGGTAAGAGTTTCTGTATTCATTGGGAAAATTGGTCATTTATATGTTTAGTTATATAAAATTTTTAACCTCTTATTTACTAAATTTAATTATGCTAAATGATTATAACTTTCAGATGTGCTACAGTACCTTTAAAAAAAGTTGTTTCTATTGTTAAATAAGTTTTCATTATTAGAGAGGATTAAAGATAAATATTTTATGGCAATCTACTAATTTATTATATACACAACAGTTGTTATCTTAAATAATCAATAAGTTAATTCATTACCAAAAGTTTTAGACATGTTATAAAACTTAGTACTACTCTATATTGATTGACATAAAATATTCTAAGATCCATTAATCCTTAATATACCAACATTGGATGATGTTATAAATGACATTAAAATAATCCAATGTTCATACATTAGAAATGACTCCTAAAATCATATAGCTAAATGCTTTGAAAATATTAGAATAGATACAACCTCCATCATCCATACTCTGGGCCCAAAGACTGCAGAAATGAGATGAATTGTTATAATAGTGAACTGTGCTTCCGTTACATCTACCTTGCCAAATCTTAATGAACCTGTTCAGAAACACTTATGCTATAATATAAAAAAAGTTGATGAAGTCATTATTATTATTACCTATGAATATATATGATTTCTTACCTGAAACATATGTCTGCCAATGAGCACAATAAAAAAGTGTCATTGCACAGAAACATTGGAAAAACATCCATGTTGGATAATACCCTAATTGTACTGCTATACAGGCTGATAGAGCAACGAACACTGAAAACATAAAATTATGGCTACAATTATCTTAAGCATTATGCATCAATGGGCATAGCATATCATACATTGTATTGTATTATAAAAGGTTTTGTTCATAGGTCTTATATCCCCTAATATAGTTTATTAATATACTAAGTCAACATAAGTGACACAATAGCAAACATGTTACAAGCTATAGAAGACAGATAAATTTATCATAAATATGAATATCATACCAGTTGATATGGAATCACATCCATGATCAAAAAGTTCACCCAATGGTGTAGAAGTTCCTGTTCTTCTAGCTTGTTTGCCATCTATGGCATCCAAGCTTTGATAAATGAATAAACCAAGTGCGCATAAAAAACATGCCCACCTTGGTGCCTGAAATTTATACAATACTGCTATATAAATTTGTTTCATCTTATTATTAACAAAAATAATTATCCAATCTATAAATTTGAAGGCTGCAATAAATTTAAACATTTACATTTTCACATATACAATATTCTTATTTATAACATGAATTTTCAACAGATTCCTGTGTTCGCTAATTTTATAATAATTTTACACTGAATCTTTAACAATGTAGTACATTTCAAACGAAAATGTAAGAAATGAAATATAAGAGAAATTAGGTTATGTAAATAATACCTCAGCTTTAGCATCAGGACTATAATAAACAAGAATTAAAGTTGTAATGATGTTCACAATAAGCCCCAAAATTGTGATTAAATTGGGCGCAAGCCAAAGTGGAACTTTGCTAACGAGCCAGTCCCACCACGGTTGAAGAAGTCCATCCAAAAGGCTATTCGTTGTACAGCTGTACTTGTGCTCACTCAGACGTTTCAGTTGTCCGGGCGACAAGAGCTTTTCCTTATAAAACTGCATAATTCAAAGTTGCCAAAATCCTAAGAACACCAGCAATGATTATGATAATTCAACAATCATTGATTCTTCACGACACAAAGATTAAACACAACAACTAACTGTTAGCGAACATGTACGACATCTCTTCACATACTAGTTCAAACCGGAACTACCAGTGTAGTCCGTAGAAATACCATTTTGCACCGTTCTTCCACATGTGCAACATTACACTGTTTATTATGCAAGAATGTACTTTGCGCATCTCGGCTGAGTTCAGAAAGCTCCTCGCAATCAGTGTGACGCCAATCTACATTTTATTTTCCGCATTTTGCAATTACATATATAGTGAATCAAAATATATATATGAACAATGAATAGCTTAATAGCAGAAAGAAATGATGATGTAAGAGTATATATTAAATATAAGATCACTGTATATATATGATTACGTCACAAATATTACAAATGTTCGTGCATGTATTTTTGATTACTAAAAGATTAGCGCCAGCATGCGTAGAAAGAACGAAAACTCGACTTCCGGTGCGTAGATTCCTTCATGGCGGGAATAATACTATTTTAAATTACATTTAAATTAATTTAATAAAAATAATTATATTAAATTATAAATGTTAATAAAAGGGTTCAGTAACTGTACCAAAAATATGGCACTTTTTTGTAATGATTTATATATTTAAAATTGTTACTTAAAAATTATCCACTAATGTGTACAGTTTTGTTATATTTTTACATCCTAAAGATAATTTTATTTTTATATATTAAATTCATATTCTTATTTCAGGAAATATATTTATATATTTTCATTGTATTCGTTATTTTATTGATTTTTTATGTTTTCAAAACGTTATCATTTTCGAAGTAGCTGGTACATAAATCATGGCGACGCTAACTGGTTTTACAAAACTATTTAATTTTGTTACCGGTACTTGTATTCGGAGGATTCTCCCGGCTCCAATATGCAAGCAATACTATCCAAGTATAATAAGTTTTTAGTTTATAAACTAATGAAAACTTATACTTTTATTTGTATAAAATTTTAGGTTATATAACCTCTCTTTTAAGTAACAAGGAATTAATTTTTACAGTACCAAAGTTATGGGAAGTCAAAGTAGCAGATTATCGTACTGCATATAGGCCACCTTGGTTTCCGGTACCACCTAGCTATCAAGAAGTAGTACCTGAATGCGATGACAGAGCAGAAGAAGTATCTGGTTATTATCTATGATAAATAAGTTTTTGAACAAATTATTAACACGTTCACAGTCCTTTCAACTGTATGTAAATTAGTGTACTCATTACTTGTACATTTCTTGACCAATATTTTTTTATTTGGTCTGTGAAAGTGTTAATGAACGTTTAGATTTTGTATTATTATGTTATAATGTAACTTTTATGTATGCAACTTCAACATGTTCTTCCCATTTCTAGCTGTGATAAATGAAATTAATAGACAGATAACTACTAAATCAACTGGCCGCTTATTTGCAATTGTATATATATGTGGAAAACAATTCAAAGTCACAGAAAGTGATGTTATAATTGTTACTGGTCATTGGGCACCGCAACCAGGAGATAAATTAAATTTAGAGAAAGTTATGCTTGTTGGCAGTAAAGATTTCACACTTATTGGAAAGCCTATTCTCAATAGAGAACTGGTATCAGTTAATGCAACTGTAATTGAAAAAACTTTATCCCACACGATTTTCCGTTTCAGAAGAAGGCAAAGAAAACAATTTCGTAGACTAAACTGTAAGACACAGTTATATTACAAGTTAACATCATGATTAAAATACGATTGAATTCATCTATTTAATATTGCTTGTTTTACAGTTTACAGAACACATCAAACAGCATTAAGGATAAACTCCATAACTATCAATGGAGATGTAGAAAAGAAGAAAGAAGTTGAAGGTTTAGATAGAATATACTGAAGTATAAATGCAATACTATAGCATACTTTGATATGTTCTTAAAAAGCCATAACAATAAATTATCTGTTAATTTAAGTAATCTAGTTTGTTATAATTTTCAGATATTTCATATTTTACAACTAGTTGTATAAACATACAGATTATTGTAATTAAATGAAATTGGAAAATAACCACTTGTTACTTCAAATATTTAAATGTAACAAAAATGTAATAGTAGAATGAAAGCAAACAAAATTGAAGAAAAAGTGCATTAAAACATATTTTTAACGTGTGTTTACATGTGCATGCCGCGCGCGCATGGTGTGAGAGGAGAATTAGGAAGGGATGTTCAACGAGTGGGAGAAACACAGTGTGTTAGTGAAAAAAAGAGAGATGTATGAGTGAAAGAGAGAAAGAAGACAAACGAGTAAGAAAAAGAGAAATATATAAATGTGTAAGCGACAGAGATGCAAGATATTCCAATGACGTCACGAGCTGCAGCTTCAAGAAGGTTTAAGCGAGAGTACCAATCTGTTCTTCATACGTTGCACTTGCGATAAAAGTAACGCCGATAGTTCGAACCCCATGGCAGTTGCTTATAAACCATTGCATGGAATGGGTCGGTGTTTTTGTCCCGATAATATGCGTCCACGAAATTAAGTAACAATAACAGTCGAAGAAATCCTGCTCGTCCATGTATTAGCGTCCAAACGAATGTAAACGATTCCCGTTAAAGAAATAGCGTGCTTTCTATAAAAGCTACTAAGTAACCTAACTGTTTTGTGTCATATATAATTCGAAAGATGGTGCTTTCAGAATGTTATGGATTCGTCAAATATGCATTAATTGCCGTGAACTTCATATTTTGGGTAAGTCTGTACATTATGCTTTTGTTAATTAAATGATAAAGGTAACATTTATACAAGTTTAATTAATCATTAACGTTATTACGCTTCATGTTAGAGAATATTTTTAATGATAAAAGAAATGCAATATATCAAGCGTGTATACAAATCGGGTAATAAGTAAGCTTGGTTCAATAAACTTAAACAGTATTTGTATACATGCATATATCGGTACGAATATATAATGCTTAGTGTACATTTGACAAATTTTTAAATTATTCGTACATTGTGTATACTTCGTTTTGAATATTATTTAACATTGCAATGTATTTTTAATACTGCATATCTTTACTAACATAATAATTTCGTAACATTGTAATAAATAATAGTAATACAACGAGAAGAAGCTCGCAGGAAAGGAGACTGATAAGGAAAGGAAGTAAACAATTTTAGTATCAGTAACAATCCCGTTCCATTAACACGATAATTACATTACCCTAGTGAGGTCCAATTTACTTCAAAACATGATAAATTGAACCGTTTCACTTTTCACTTTTATCAGTCTTCGTGATTTTTTGCGAAAGATAAAATATGAGAAAAGTCGTATTAAAATACTTATATTCTGGAGGAATAAGTTAACGGATTTTTTTTAAAGTTTAATATCCAGCGTCCACGCACATAATTCCAGCGGAGCTGAATCGATTGCATCTGGGTGTACAATTTTTTTTTCTTCGAATTCATTCGTATACGAATGCGATTTATGTTTGCTCGAAATTATCTAAAAAATTACTGCTTACATCATAATCTGTAATTTACAGTGATAGTAATTTTAATAAATACACAATGAAAGTTTACCAACCACAATCAAGCTTATTGATCAGTAAATCGATTAAAATATTTTCAATGAATATTGATTAAGAAAAGTAAAAAAAAATACATTCGTAATTAACCAGATAATTATCTGAAGTTAATTAACATCATGGTTTTACGGTATGAAGTGTAATAATCCGACAGAGCAGCTGAATCGATTGCATCTGGGTGGTGCGTATCTCACGTGTTAATCGCTATCTGCCCTAAATTTCAATCATTCGCGTAATCAATATATCCAATTCGAATTGATGCAGAATTGGAATTTTGCCGTCAAATTTTGTACTCGCTGATGGAAAATAGAAACCGAGAGAATGACTTAGATTCGTCCTCGTTATTTAGTCGTAAATATGTACGAACCTCAAACGTCAGCTGGATTGTCTTGCATCGACATTTTACTAATGCATTAACAATAGTACTTATGTCAGCATCGAGACAAATATCGCGTCTAGTTTGAAAATATTCAACGGCGAATAAGTGCGTTTAATTATAGATTTCCAGTCAGAGAACGAATATGTTCTTCCTACGAGCTTGCATCCTACACTGTGGCCCAGTTACTTCTATCCCTGCAACTGCTTCACGCGTTCATACTTATTCTCTTTTGCATTGTTGACCATTGCAATCTAACAAGAGTACGTACATTGCGTACCTTCACTCCCTGATTTGGATCCTCAGGCTTATTGAGTTTACAGTGATCCAAGTGTCGTCGCTAGAGTAGAGCTGTTATCGACAAATAATCGATACCATCGTTGTCTGAAAATTAATAGCGGATTTTCTGGAAATAACGGACACGTTCATTCGAATAATCTCATTTCTGAAAATAAATTTATACTAACAGTGCTGAACTTGGCATATTTGGCACGGAAAATGGGTGTCAAATACTTTCAGAGAAAAGCCATAAGACCGCGTTCTTCTGCTATTTTCTGCTAAACGATGGACAGCTTTGCAAGAATTTAATCGCATTCCATACATTGTATCGTGTATAACTCGACCATTGTTATTTGCTTAATTTGCGGATTGTGCATGATGATAGACTCGGTCATCGTTTCTGCAAAAAATCGATGGTGAATGTTCATGAAGTAATGTACAGCTGTTTATTTTCGTCGTTCAAACGTGAAATCATAGTTCTGAAACAGAATCTGACATCAAACTGACGATGCGTGTATTTTTACTGACTATTACTCGTAATAGTAACTTGTCTGTGCGGTCATATAACACGAAATGTACAGATGTTAACAAGCTAGCTTTTCTTCTATAGGATTCCAACCAATTGTCGTTTAAACTGTTAAAATTATCTACGTTACGTAGTCAATTATTTTATATAAAAAATGTTCCAATAGACAAATATCTGAGTAGACTAGTTACTACTTGCGTAATATGCAAATACGGTATGCAAGTATTAGAATCCACGCAGTTTGCAAAATGTAACAAACATGCTCTACGTAACTATTCGTCTTACATTTTTTCTATCAAATTAGGTTAAGTACAGAACCTAACTGTTGGGTCAACAGAGCTTGAAAAAAGTAGCGATCTCTATTTTGTATAAATAATTCAAAATGAGTCACACTTGATAATAACGCTATTATGCAAACAATTACGTTACTTCCTGGTCTATTGAATCATTCAAAAACGCAACACCTTTTCGTGTCATATGAAGCCACGTGATTCGCGTTAAATACAGCTCACGTTTAGCTCGATTTACTGTACTATGTTTGATCTTTGATTGTATTGAAAAATCCGCTTGACTCAACCGATCGTCCACGGTTCTTGCATCTGTTTCTTACATCGACATTCACGGCTCGAATCGTACGGGACGCGTTGAGAATACAGGAAGTCCTCTGTTTAAAGGCACGCCTCCATCGGGATTATACGTTGAGTGGAACTCACGAGCGTTCTGCTAGCTTAACCCACTGAACCTTCAATCTTCGAACCCATCATTCTTCGTGAAAACACCGGTTCGACTGCAACGGTGAAACACGATTTATAGGATGTTTCTAGGTGTACGAGGAAATCGAAAAGTCACTCAAACCTTAGGGAAATCTCGTCTTCAAACAGGCAATACTTCAGTGCTTATATTTATTAGTAATAGTGACTATCCTGAAATACTATCATATTGATCTCTGGGGACTCTGTTAACTGCACCTGGACGGATAGAGTTAGTCCATTTCCATTACACAGTTGAATGTTTGCACTATGTTTCATAAACAAATCTTCAGTTACATATTTACTGAACTAATGTATCCCTTCATCCATTTGGTATGCTAATAAAAAATATGTATTAAATAGAATAACAGGAATAAAAATAAGGAATCTATATAGTTTTTAAATTGAAAAATTACCTTAACTTCCCAATAAACATTTTCAAAACAAACGTTTTACAATTTCTGTAGAAAAGGGAAGAATGGGAAAAACCAAGTGCAGTTTACATGGATGTGCACACATCTGGTGGACAGCCCATTGAAAAAGGGTGCGTCCTGTCCTGGTTCGTCTGTTTCGCAAGAATACTTCATTATTTATCCATATAGCACATTGTGAGCGGCGCATAAGCCATAAACCAGCATACTCGTTCCAGGCTTTGTCTGTTTCAATAGGGCCAAAAAGGTCAGGTATATTTTTACGACAAAGTAGGAGAAGACGTTTCACGCGTACAATACATCGTTTGCATCAGCAGCCACGCCGACAATGATTCATATCTGCGCTTTAATTTAAACGAATAGATTTTATAAACATATTCATTAAATAATTTCGGAAATATCAGTCTCGTATTCTGTTTTAAAATGTCTTAAATTTTCGAGTTCCAAAATTAAAAATTTGTGGACGTCGTGGCAGAGACTAGGTGATACGTTCCGAACGTGAATAGCATTCCAGCTAGGCAATGTATCCTATCGAAAAAGATCCTGGTCGACCCTAAAATATAGAAAAAAGTCTTATCGCTATCTCGACTACCTCCCTACCGTTTCTTAGAAAATCGCTTGTAACACTACTGTATCTATACTAGGCAATCCTACCGTTGCATCTAAAACATTCATTGTCCAGCGGATATGGAACACATAAAAATGGTCGATTCGTTGAACACTTATCTTCATCATTAACTATCGCAGTCCGACCCGCTTATCACGGTCAAACAAGAATTCTCACGGTTCTTGTGTTAAAATACTGCTACTAAATCCTCGTATTGGTAGTATTTACTGTTTTCTTTTCAGGTCTATAATTAAATTAAATATAGAAACATTAAACCAGGACTTTTTCCTCTATCTTTCAGTTTAGCATTAACTGATTAAATTTTTATTTTTAGGCTGTGGGACTAGCAGCAGTGGTACTGGCAGTATGGATGCTAACGGACCAAACGTTCCTGATGTCTTTGACTCAGGAACAGCACAACTTCAACGCCGGTGTCTATATCCTGCTCTCGGCTGGGATTTTAATGCTGATAGTAGCATTTCTGGGATGCTGTGGTGCCTTCCGTGAATCCCAGTGTATGCTGGTCGCTTTCTTCAGTTGCCTACTAGTGGTTATCGTTGCACAAATCGCGGCTGGAGCATGGCTTTACAGCAACAGAAATCGCCTCGAGGAGCTGGTCAAGTCTTCCGTGATAAATACCGTTAAGGTATCTGCAATTACTTGACTTTATTGCGAGCTAAACGCTCGACAGGTATCCGTTAAAGGGAATTTGTAATTAGCCGGAAAGTCGTTTTTCTATGCTGGCCATCTATAATTAGTTTATTCGCCCCGCGAAACTGGCTATCCATCCAGACATCTATAATCACTTCATTTATCACTCTGAGTTAGATTAACGCCATCAGTATTGTTTTTACTTGCGTAATCATTTAATCGCATCATAGTAACATTGGAACTAAGTTTACAAAAGTGCTTCTCGTTTTTAGAATCAATACGGCGAAGACAGTTCTCATACAGATGCTGTAGACGCATTTCAATCGAGTCTGGGATGTTGTGGAGCTACTGGTCCATCAGATTGGACAGGTAGTAAATATGCAACCAGAGATCCTTCGATTCCCGTCAGTATAACTGTCTCCGGCGACGCCAATAGCGTGTATAAGGTACCCAAATCCTGCTGCAAGGACAAAGAGAGTGTTGATTGTAAAGCAGATCGGAACATTAAAGTCGCTAGCACCGTTAGTCCAGCAATTTACAACGAGGTAATCATTCTTCTTGCACATCTTCGTAACGTCATTAGAACTTATATAACGAGGTTTCCTTCTTAGAAAACTGAAATGAAATGTCGTTATCGTAATTTGAATTAAAAACAGTAGATCAGGTTTGCGTTCTATAGAAAAGTATACCATGATTCACCAGTGGAATCACGCCTGGTTGAGCGCGTTAATATACCAATCATCGTAAAAGCATAGACCTGATTGAACTTTACAAACGTTTTTTACTTCAGGGTTGTATAGACAAGCTGATGGATGTACTGAACCACCAACAAGACAATGTCATCATTGTGACATCCGTCATAGGCATTCTGGAACTTCTTGGATTGATATTTTCTTTAGTATTGTGCTGTGCAATTGGATCATCCGATAGATACAAAGCTTGAATGGAATAAATTGTATAGATCGGTGTATAATCCTTCCTTATGCCACATATCGTTGTGTCACAATCTTCTAACTGGTATTTGATCTCTGTGCCAATCTGAATAGGTTTACCCCTGTCTGTCTCTGATGTTCACCTGGAACGAGAAAAAGACTTTATTAATTAAGAGATTGCAACAAGTCCTTTGTGAGAATTATATTTAAGTGTTCAAATTGAATCTCATTCATTAACAAGGTTCTGATATACAGTTCTTCAGTGTTACGTACTGTATGTTCAAGGTTTTTAGATATTGTATTATTATTCTGCTCAGGGACAAAAATGACAGATCTTTTTACCAATATATTTTATATGTTCATGACAATTTATTTATGCGTAAGGAAAATCCATTATGAATTAGTATCATAAAAGATACTAACTAGAATGTTAATTTACTGTTCATTGTCCCATTCATACATTTTATGAATTTGTGAAATTAAACAACAATATGTTCATTTAATATTCTGTTGTTCTAATTTTAGCAAATGAGTTATACGTGAAATGATCACAGATTTAAACCAAGATTGGAACAACAGAATATTACATTAAACATATCATTATTTATTAAATAACCCATTCAATATCAATTCTCCGAATATATGTATGAAATATTCGATTCAATATTGAAGAAGGTACATGTAAAAAAATTCAGTTTGTTTCTTACTGCCAAATGCTCTTTTCCTTACTAAAGACTTAACACGAATGAGCATTTAATGTTTTACACAGTACCTATACGATTTACATTTTTGTTAGGCCAAAGTAGTAGACCAAATTAATGTTAATGTGTTAAAAAAGGAGCGAAAGAGAGGGAGAGAGAGAAAGAGGGATGAATTGGTTGGAGTTTGGATTGACTGGATATTTCTTTGTTGCAACTGGTATATACAAGGAACCATTCACAATTCTCTTCAATTTCATTTTTTCTGCTTGCTAAAAACTGCCATACAATCATTTTCATTCTTTTCACGTATGCACAAAGTGTTTTTAATGTAATAATTTTTTCTTGGTCAACATTTTTGGAACACTTTTTTAACTTTTCTATTCATTCTTAAAAGTACAAAGCTTTGGATAAGTAATATCATAAGCTGTTCTGTCATTGCCAATATACCAGTTTTAACATGTGTGCGTATATGTAGATAAATATTATATATATATATAAATATTATAATACAAAAGATGCTCTGAAAAGATTAATCTGATAATTAATATTGATGTCTAAATGAGATTATGTTATTGTAAGAACGCTACTAAGCGATTTTGTTTCATGTAGCGTTATAGTCTATCCATGTTATAATTAAAGTAAAAAAAAAGGACATAGCTAACCAAAAGCAACTAATTTTTATAAGACCAATCTTTTATTGCAAAAATTTCTGTGTTCAACCTCATTAGTGTTCAACATTGTCAATACATTATATAGTTTTTTAACAAGGTATCTCTACCTGTGAAACTGTTTAACAGTAATTAGAATGCAGATATGAATTTGAGTCTATATTAAAATTGACGTTAGATAAAGCAACTTTTGAGCGTGTGTGTGCATTGAACAAATTGATAATTATGCAACAGGCTAAATATTATAAAAAGTACAATTTTACTGTTAGTTGCTTTTGGTATAGTTATGTCTTAAGAAAGTGATTGATATATTTGACGATGAATATTTAACACAAATTATATATAATAGTAGCAAATAGATCAAACATTTATCAACTGTTCAACTAATATTTATTGTCAAATGATTTAGTATAGATTAAAATAAAAAATGATCTTTTTCATATAATTATTTTGCTACGAGTATGGTACAAAAAAGTTGGGGAAGTATTTAAATTTTCTTTTTCCTTTATATGTTCCATATCAAAATCATAGTGTCTAGTCTATAAAAATTGAATTCCTAATTTATCATTTATTTTATTCTGAAATTAACATGTTGCTTAACACTCTTTTCTGAAAAGTTGTTATTACTTAACAAGCTATCAGAAACAAAGCAGAATAAATTCCATCTTATAAAAACATAATTTACTGTATCAAAAACTGATTGTATTAACATAAAATAGCTGTGAAAAACAATATGTTAATTTCCTGCTTTGCTGTAATATTACTTTACTGTTTCTTATTTTTATATATTTAAGGATGATGCTGCACACTATTCACTAGTGTAATAGTGGTGCATATTATATCATGTTTATTAACCAGAAATTCTTGAATTTTATTTTAAATTAATTTTTGTCAATAATTACCAATGCCCCTTTGTAATTATAACATTCAAGAAGTTCTGGTTAAACAAATAGATAATCATCTATACATATATACATATATATCTGATGTTATGTGTGTAAAAAATAATACAATCAATAAAAAATTGAGGCGCTTATTCGGATATAAACAAAAAATATCGCCCAACGAGCGACTTTGGTAATTTGATTGCTATAAAATTACGGGTTTTATCATTTCCACTTGTTAAGTAGTTTTGTAAAGCGCAAAATTATATTATCAGCTAGTACATAATAACATATGTATAATACGTTAAGCTAAATTTTGTATTCAGTTTTTATTGAATGATAATGAAACCTCGTGTGAACGTGGTTTTTATAAAAATAACTAGTAAACTGTAGATGTTACACATTTACAACATGTTAAAGTCTGCAAAGTATACATAAATTATATAATCTATATACTATAAAATTGGTTATACTTTGCAGATTTCAGTATATAAATGTATGAACACCCACAGCCTAGTAATTAGCATAAAATTGTAAAGAATGATAAATTCAAAAATGTATCGTAAAGTCTAATGTGTTCCCAAATGGTTAAAGGAAATTTTTGTTGTTCAGGTATGTTTTATAAACTCTGCTACTCTCACTATGTTACATACTACAAGGTAAGATTTAATTGCACCTCGTAAAGCAAATATGGATTTGAGGACAATCTGTAAGCGTTAACAATTTGCAATCATTACATATCCATCGTCTCATTCTTTCTTGTGTGTGCATGTTAATTATTGTAATTATACTGGTTTTTTGCTTATGTGCTTTTTTGCTGTAAAGAAAGAAAAGAACAAGCGATAGATATGGATGATACATACAGAAATTTAAAAAAGGACATATTAATGTTACAAAAAATGGAATATCCATTATCACTTGTATAATATTCTTTATTTTGATATTAATATATTTATATACACCTACATATATATATATATTATATATGTATATACAGATTTTCTTACTAATTTTTCTTACTTCTCATTATATGTGTTTTCACTTAAGTGCTTGTACACGTTGTATAGTTTCTTTTAAAAGCGTTCTACTTTAGTGTAACTTTAAATGATGTATAATTATCGATCAAAGTATGACGTACTGAAATTAATTCGTCTGTAAGGATAACTTTATCCTGCGCACTTTTGAATATTTATGCAATGATAAACGGTATTACTTTTGCCATATCTTACGAATCAACAAATGGAACTAGACACAATGTATCTTTTAATCTGTATACACGATTTTCAAATATGCGTTCATTTGCAAACTCCTGTACGATATACAAGTAAATGTTACAAAAGATGTTCAAAACATTCAATATACATTTAATGGAATTGCTCTGAGTTGCTTTTACCCTGTTCAAGAATATTTTTAATTTATATTTCGAACATTTCTTACCTAACTCCGAAAGCGCAACGCTATAAGTTTCTTTACGTGGAATGAAAAGAAATAAGTAGTGCCATTGAGTTATTGCGTAAATTCGAATATAATACATTTTTACCGGTAGATTTTATAGATGGCGCTGAAAATGGACGTGTTTAGCGCGCTTATTTAAAATTAATTTAAAAATCTAACAACAGAGGGCACAATAAAATTAATACGAAACCCGAGTACCGTCATGCAAGATTGAAATGGTAATCAGGTATAAATACGCGATTTAATATTTCATATCATGTAGCAGAATTCATTTGAATTCATCGCAATTAGAATATTATATTGTACGTGGTGTGCGTATTATTTTTAGAATGTTTGTATTTGAAATGCAAATGAAGAAATATAAGGTATTAAGTAATATTTGTTCTAAAGTATTGTTTACGATAGTGGAACAATATCCCAGTACAAAGCGACTCACTGTTGATGCAACTCTATGCTTTTCAGGATTTTGAATTCTACGTTAATTAATTTTCATAAGGTACATAATATTAGATAATTAAAAACAATTTTTTTTAATGAAAAACGAGACTATGCTTTAAATTATATAAATGTGTAGTGATATTGCCAATGTCCATGTACTGTATCCTTGATGGAATATTAAGAACAGGAAATACGTAATCAAATGACACCACCTGAGATCTTGAAAATTATAGCTTTTATGGCTATTAATATCAATTCTTGGAGATGTTAACACTCGTCTTAAAAAAATTGTTTTGGACCATACATTTTATTGGATAATAACGACTACGAATTTTAAAGATTTATCCACGTTAAAATCGTAGGTAAATGTTTATATACTTTCTACTTAACACACATCGCACAGTTTATCTAGTCGGCCGTCGAAGGTTCTGCAAATAGACAGAAAAATGATGAAAATGGAAGAACAATATTCGGTAATTAATACATGTTCTAATATATTGATATATTTAGTAGAAATTTTTATTTAATGATACGGTGTATTTTTAAAGGAGATTCGACGGTCGTCCAAGCTTGCATCACGCGTTCAAATTTTAATTGCCTTGAACTGGAACGCCTCGAGAAACACATGCATATATGCAAGGTGAAAGACACTAAAACATCAACCACAGATTCATCCAAGTTGCACAGAAACAAAAGCAAGAAAATGTTTGACTGGACAGAAAATAATACAAATAAGTAAAAAAAAGGGAGATAACGAAACGACAGAGGACAGGACACGTACATATATGTATATTTGCATCAGTATGCGATAGGTATGAAACGAAGACAAGGTTCAAGGATTTAGCAATTCAGTTAACATGTCTTTGATGCAAATATTTGATGTACATATATTTTTCAGTACGAGAGTCGGCACTATAACGCTTGACAATACACCGACGATTAAAGTATAGAACATGTTGCGATAAAATATAGAACAGTAAGATATCAAGATGATATGTAAATTTATTTATAACTGCGCTCGTGATGTCCTAAATTAGGGTCGAACCTCGTGTGTCCCCAATGAATTCTTTTCTCAGAAAGCGAAGCTCTAAAAAAAGAATGCAAAGAGGAGAAACGAAGAACGATAAAAAAGAAAGTAAAAAAGAACGGGAGAAAAGCACAGGCGGACAGAGGAAAAAGGAGGGACGACGGGTAACAAGGAGAAAGTGAGAAAAGGTGTAGGAAGGGTTGGAAGGAGGGAGTACAGGTGCGGCTGCTACGTCCAGAGCGCCTCCAAGTGTAATACTGTCCGTCGTGTTGCAGAGAGAAGTCCTCTTTTCCGCCTCATTCCAGCCTGTCCCGATATTTCGAGCATCTCGTGATCCGTCTCGCTGCCGTGTTCCTTCAACAGGTTGCTCCTACACATCGCGACTAAGTTGGGTCAGCAAACTTTGTGACTGCTTTGTCAGTGAAATTCAAGCAGGCACGCTACTAAAAAGACTCTTAGTTTCAATGTTATTCACCAAGCATCGTTAAAGTATTAAAGTGAAACGAATTTTTGTTGATGTAACGAGAGATGAAAATTAGAGGGATTCTGTGATTCTTGCACGAGTGTGTCACTGTACTTGAATGAATCACGGTCTCCTTCCATTGTTTTGGCTGGTGAGTACCGGCAATATTTAAATAATTGTTTATACTTTGAACGTCACTGCTGTCCGTGAGCGATATCGTTGATTCTCGTATTTGCTCTGAAGTGTAACGAAAATGATAAAAAGTTCATGGTAAAAAATGACATCACACTTGAGTTTAGACATGTAGTTGTATTTCTTGTAAAAAATATTTATATTTTCTATTAAAAATTAAAATTGTAAACTTAGATAATTATAAAAGAACATTGAAGATTTACTATGTAAAGACTAATATATATTGGTATAAAATTCAGTCTTTAGTAAATAATACATACATAATAATAACTAAATTTAAAAACAATTTAAATCCTAAGCACAAACAGGTATTAAATAAGATCTTTATAAAATGAAACAAGCTTTAGGGACATTATTTTATAAAATATACGTGTGATAAAACTGAAGAGGCTTTTTCAGCACAATATTTTGTGCTTGATATCACCTGTTGCGTGGGTGAGCAAGTTCGACGTTTTACGAGTATGACTCGTCGACCTACTTTGGTTCTAGCATTGATGCGATACAAATCGATCTATTGAAAAAAATATTTTGACTAAAATCATGCATCCTATAAACATTTTATAAAAAATAAAATTAACCTTTTAGATATTGCGATGATCGACAATTATAGCCAGAACCAGAACGAACATTTACGGGATGAAATAAATAAATTATAAATTTTATAAGTACAGAGAATTCTATGAAAATTTTGATATTTCCAAATTTATAAATTTTTAAATTTAGCTGTGGTTCTAAGACATACACTGTCACGCCGGTTCTGGTTGTAACTAACGTTATTATAATACTAAATAATTTTTAACTGTAACAGTATCAGCATCATATATAAAAAGATTATTAAATATACAGTGGTTCATACACCTATAAATGTATTAGTTACTATATCAAATTTAAAACATGCATTAACAACGTATTATACTTTTCTGCCTTAACATTATTTTTTTTATAATTTTAACATTACTGATTTAGACAGTACTTAACTATAAAATATTCTACTACTGTATTATTACGCGACTCGTTTCAGTATGAGTCATTCTTAAGGTGTTCCACAGCCAGATTTGGACGTGCAACAATTCTCTTATCTCATTTTTTCTGTTTCTATAGCCGCTTTATCATCGGAACCTAATTTTCCCCGCTTGAGTTTTAGGTTTTCGCAACGCGTGTCTAAGACGTGGAGACGTTTTTTAGATTTTTTAGAATGCCATTCGTCATCAATAATAACAGCTTTATTAGAGTCTCTCCTTGGAATCAGATTGCGTCTTTCATCTTCATTTACCTTACCGATACTCGATTTACTTACGTATACATTTTTTGCATTGGAAGTTCTGACACAATTTGTTTTTTTCGCTGAACTTTTTATGGCGTTGTGTCTAGATATACTCGGTTCTAGCGGCATCACTTCTTTGTTTGAATCATTCTCATTCACTGAAGGTAATGACGTGCACGAACTTGCGTATATTACGTCTGTATTATCCGCTGTACATTTTGCAGTATCCGACGTATTAACTTGTACGCAATATTTTTTTGATAATCGCATAATCAGTGATCTATTTTCTGTGAACAATTTTTTCTTGTTGTCTAATAATAATTTGTTGTTACAAGGGTCAACCCGTTCATCATTACCCTTAGCTTTAATAGTTTCTACGCATATAATTTTCGGCTTTTTATAATTAGTTTTTGAAATATCTTTTGATTGTTTCTCAGTGTTTATGTCAGCTTCATTATTTGGCAAATCTTCATTTATGTCACAACTAGGAATTACAAAGAGTTTGGAACTTAAGTTTCCACTTGTAAAAATAAAAAGAACTTTTGAACTTTTAAGATCCTGTATATGAATACTTACACATACTTAACTCCCTCTATGCTTTCAGAAAATGTAATAAATTTAGAAGTTCTAACTTTTACCATTTCATTAGTCTTACAGACATCACAGTTTGTTTTGCAAGGTGGTATAACATGTCCAAAATATTTACTAATGTTTGAGTGACGACATCTGAGGAAAATTGTATATTTATTTATATCTAATTCTGATATTGAATTTAAGATAGGAATTTCTTACTTTACTGAAAGACAATAGGATACAAATTTGTTGTATTCACTTAATCGTTGTTTCACATGATCTCCAGTATTCATCAATTTGTGATTTTCAATAGCTGTTTTTATAGAAGAATATTCTTCCACACTAAAGTATATTCTACAATATTTCTGTTCATTATGTGCATAGGTTTGTGCAGATTCCCTATAGTACTTGGCAATATTTTCAGGTATTGTCCAATACACTGTGCCTCTAGTTAAATAAGTATTTTATAAATCAATATAATTATAAATTCAGGGTTGTGTATTACTTGTTCTTTTATTTTAGTATATCCAAACCTAATTGACTGTTTATAAATGAATCCATAATTGTAAGTTGTAGTAATAACATAAGCATTACCAGACATCCATTTGTTTTCAATATTACGTTGTGCTTTACTTTTCAATCCTAAAATAAGTTTCAAGGTTTATTGTGTACTCTAAGAACTATAATTTGAATTACAATTTGCTTACTATGGTGATATGTAAGTGTAGATATTCCAGAAGCATTTAACTTATCTTTCAATAACTCTGCAGTTATTACTTCTTTACAGTAGACGATGATAAAACCTTTTTTTGTCTGAGTGCAAACAATATTAATAAATACTTATCTTTTAATCCCAACAGAAGAATAAGTCAATTTACCTTATGAACTGCTGATTCAAAGAACCCTAATACTTCCACAATATAATTTTTAAGATGTTCAAATGGATCAGAAAGGATATCTAAAAACCATATGTCATAGTATACATTGATTTGTTGTACAGGTAATTTAAATATTTTTGGTGTTTTTAATGCCAACAAATTGCAAATGTCTTTAATTACCTGTTAATTCATTTGATAAACAAAATTACATACATTCAATGTTTCTAATAAATAAGAAATATCAATGTAATTGATTAACTTTAATTACCTCATCAGTAACAGTTGTGGTTACTGCAATTTGTGGTATACTTGCACATATTTTATCAAGTTCAAATATCTTTTTATAATCAGGTGTATATTCATACCCCAATGTACTTAAACAATGTGCTTCATTAAATACAATGTAAGATAATATCTTACGATCTTTCAATGAAAGTATAAGCTTCTGTTGAAACATTTCAGAATTATATTACAATAAGAGAGAATATAACAATCATTTACCTTAAAATATGCTACACCAGCCATATTAGGAGTAGCATACAATAATACTATTGTAGGAGAAGTAGATGTTAAATCATTTACAATATTTTGTTGCTTGTTGAAATATATACTTGGATGTAATACTCGTGCATTGATTTGCTTAGTTTTTAAAAAATCTGTTTGTTTCTAAAATCACATACTCATAACTTAACATTTAAAAAATTATGAGTAATATAATTTGAAACCTGATACTAACAATATATTACCTTCATAAAAGATAATTTTGGGGAAAAAATGATAGCGACTTTGCCTTTTTGTATAATAATTGGTAACTGAAAGCATAAAGATCTACCAAAACCAGGAGGCATTGAAATACATACATATTTTGGATCTGCAATTTTAATATATTATATTTATGTTTGAATTTGTATTTTATGTATGAATTAAATAATACATTAATGACTAAACATATAACATATTGAAAATATATTTCTTAAACATATAACTTAAGGAAGTGTTTTTATTTAAAACCAAAATTCTGAAAATTCCAACAAAATTTTCATTTTAAAGGAACACTAACCTTTAATAATGGCAGTGACAGCATCTTTTTGAACATCATTTTTAAAGTTACCATAACCAAACACGGACTGTAGTGTTTTTATTACGCTTGCTTCATCATACTTCATTGTTACATATTTTATTAAACTAAATAAAAAATGATAACAAGTTTAAATCATTATCACCTAAACATTTTTCAAAACTTCTTCCATATACACTTGCTTACGAAAGAATAATTTCATTGGCGGGACAAAATGACATATTGGTCATTCAAATGTTCCAGCCAATCAGCAGTAAGGATTTTAAATGCAGGTCATGCGGTAATATTTGAAAGATATAAATTCTTTTTACAGACATGGAAAGAAATTGAAATTACATATAATTGATAAAAGAATCCTTGGAAAAGTAATTTTCCAATGAAAAATAGGGAAACTATAATCGTCTTGGCAGATGAACACACACGTAAGTTCCATGTTTAATAAACAGAAGTGTAATTAAACTTAACAAATTATTATCACCTTTCATTTTAGATGCATGATGGTGAACTTTTACGTAATATTATTTTTAATATGTGCGTCCACCGCAGAACTGTCCAATGATTGTAATGACCCCAACTGGCACTCGTTGGAGACATTGGAAACCGCTAGAGCAAACTGCGGACCAATTTTTGAGAATCGATGTACTTGCATGACAACGTGTTATGAACACCACCATCAATATGTTGTTAACTGTACTGATTCGAATTTCCGTAGCACATCACCACTCGCACATTTACCAAATGAAACACAAGTAAATTCGACATTTAAAAGATTTGGTTATAACATTAAGTGACTTAAGACTCTTTTAATTAAGAATTTTTGATCTAACAAATTTGTATTACTTTCAGGTTCTAATTTTTACTGGAAACCAGCTTACAGAACTTCCATGGAATGTATTTGGCACCCTGGATAGTTTACCTAATTTAAGAGTGATTGATATGTCTAATAATAAGATCAAAGAAATTCGAGGAAAAGCGTATCACCACGTTCAACGTGTGGAACGACTGATTCTAGATTTTAACGAATTATCCTTGGACCCTGCACGAAACCATCCCAGAATGTTCTCTAATTTTGTATCTCTTTTGGAACTTCATTTAACTGATGCTTTTGAAGATGGGCCTCCAAGAGATCGTGCAGCTATGTTGCATGATATTTTTGTAAATAGGTATTAGATTGATTAATGTTTTGAAACTTATAGATAGAATCAAAACTGAATAAGTATCTTTTCATTGTAGTAATTTAACGCAACTCATAAAATTGCACTTGGAGCAGAATGAAATATCAGAGTTCCGAGATCCTAACGTTTTTTGTGATTTACCAAATCTTCTGGATCTCTATTTGGGTGACAATGCATTGACAGCTCTGCACTTCAACATATCTTGTCTTCACAATCTTCGTTTTGTGGATCTCCAACGAAATAAATTTAAGAGGATTCTTGAACGTGATTTGCACGCCATGGACACTATTGTTAAGCACAATCAAAGTATAGTAGTGGACTTTACCGGAAATCCATTAGAATGTTCCTGCAAACTTAATCCCTTTATTAAATGGATGAAGAAAACTAAAGTATTTGTCCGCAATAAGGGCAGTTTGAAATGTTATAAAGGTATTAAATTAATATAACTTTCAAAGATGTTTCTTCTTTCTTCATTCTATAGTACTCTCATTATTGTTACAGGTGATGTACTTCATGAAATCCACGAGACGAAAAATTGCACGCCAAAATTGTTCTCATCAGCTTCACGCAGTGCAACTGCCGCATTATTTTTACTTTCGTTAGTATTGATAGGACTCGTGTGTGCTCTGATATACTTGCAACGTACAAAATTGCAGAAAAAAATTGAGCCGATATTGGACTCTGTAAATAAAAGGGTGCGGTATACCTCAATAGCGACTGGCGATAATCGTGAAGACCTGTAGCCAATTTAATAACCGACTGTTTTCAAACTGTTAAAGTTCCATTTTTTTACTATGTAGTACTTAAACAATTTTGTTTGTTTTTAATATTATGGATAGTCTGAAATCAAAAGAACATAAGATATTAATATTTATAATACTTTACACAGTGATTAATGTAAGATTTAAATAAAATGTAAAACGATCATGTAAAAATGTAAATTTAAAGCAACGATTATTTTCATTGAAAATAATCTTTTAAACTGTTTAGTTGTAATAATAATCTAATAACATTAGATTTGTTAAAATAGTATTTAGAAATAAAATCATACATAATTTTTATATTGTTATTGCTTTATAAATCTGTCCAGTGATAAATAAATGTTATACATTTTGTACCTAAACTTGTGAATTCTCTTTCCAATCTACATAGTCATTTTCATTCATAATGGAACAAAAATCATTTAGAATCTATTAGCTATATCACTAAAAGCTTAGGCACAAAGCACTTTTAAAAGGTGTACCATTCTTTATCATTGGCTATCAGACCATTGACTCCTTGATAAAGATTAGATAATGGTTCAAGCTACGCGATCGTCTAGAGTGTGCAGCACAGTGGTCTCGTATAATTAAGTGCATAATTAAATTGATATTGAAGCATAATAAAAAAATGTCTTTGATCAGGCGGCTCCATCTTGATGATATTGTCACATCATTTCCAGAATTGGGGCCCACAGTTCCTGATGGTGGTTACTCATGGATTGTTCTTTTTGGAGTATTTTTGGTCCAGGTATGAAATCTGAAAACATTAATGAAATTGTTATTATGTTATTGTTTTACAGATGACTGTTCCAAGTATTTTTGCAATGTACGGAGTAGTAGTGGCATGCGTATTTGAACTCAATACCATTGAATTTGATCTAGTGATGAAAAAGATTATTTTGACACCAGTACTGTTTATTGCTTTCTGGAATTTATCAGGTAGATGTAAATGTTTTGTATTAGTCAGTCAATTAACATTATATCTTTGCAAACAAATAATTCTTTTATTTTAAAAATATAATTTAATTTATATACCTGGATTTCTGAAAAATAATTATTTTAGATCCTTGGGCAAAAATGATTGTGAGTATGGCATCTATTCCTATCATGGTAGGAATAATAGGAGTGATTTTATTAGTACTTGGAGCCATAGCATCTGTATACCTTACAACAGGCGGTATATTCTTGGCTAATGCCAGTGCTTGTGCAGTAATGGGTATAGGTGCTAGTTTTGTCATCCTATTAAGTGATCATATTCTGCGAAAATATTTCCGGAAGAAGCTCCTTTTAGCGCTGACAGTGAGGAATACTGCAATTTCTTTTGGTCTTGTACTTATTCCAAGCATCACAAATTTACTGTTGCAAAAAGCCAAGTTGCAATCTGGCCTTCAATTGATAGCCATTATTTTCTTGCCCACTACCCTTGGTGTATTGACTTTTAAACTGCCTACACAGCAGCAAACTTCTCCTTACAGGTTCATTTTATAGATATTTTAAGATGGTAGTGTAAAGATAGATTACTAATATTAAAAAATCAATCCATAGCCTTCTTCTTTCAACTGAAGAAGATACTGAACTTCCCATACGAATCTCCTCAGAAATTTCCAAGAGCGAACAACATTTGAGTAGTCAAGATGAAATTGAAAATTCTGAGTACAGTCAAGGTGAAGAAAGGATACAGCATAGTGGAGGATTGCTTAATGAAGGAAGTAACATCTATGCATATGAAGAGCAAGACGAAGATGTAGATTTATTTGTAAATCCAGTTCCTCAGTCTGATAGTAAATGGAAGTATCAGCTTCATGCTCTTAAGAATTTCAAATTCTGGGCTGCAGTTATTGGCTGGACTGGAATGAAAGTATCTGCTCTCTATTTCTGGGTTATTCTGCCTATATTCAGTAGCCTAATTGCACAAGATTCTTACGTTTGGATGTCATTAGTTATCACAGCTGGCTTTGCTACTTTTCTACCAAACTTAATGAGTTATAAAATATTGAAAGTCTCTAGTCAAACTAGAAGACTGTATTTTGGTGTAGCATCTTGGGTCTGCAGTATAAGTTTAATAGGTGTGTACATACTTTTTTCATATTCTTGTATATAAACGATAATATTTTGTTTCAATGTTCGTGATGTGAAAGGAATTTCTTTCTTTGTAGGACTAATTTATGTGAATAGCTACTCATGGATGCTGATTTGTGCTCTTGCAGGTGGTATTAGTATTGGTAGTTTGTTAAGTTGTCAAGATTTAGCTTTGTATGATATTCTTGGCATTGAAACAATGCGTTCCGTCCATAAAGGATTATCAACCGTTGTGGGTTTATGTATACTGATCTTTTGTGCCATACACAGTGAGTCATCATACAATAATTTTATTTCGTAAAAAAGAAAAATTAATTTTAAAGAATTGAGATACAAAAAAAATGGTAGAACACATGAACTATGCCAGATCTATTTCTCATTACAGACATATCTATCTGTCTGAGCGTTGCAGCCCTTTTACAATTTCTCGGTGGACTTCATTGGATCTCATCACCTGTGCTAAACTTGATTAAACAAACACGATACAGATCCCTTCACAAGGGGAATAGAACAAGCAGAGATGAGACATGATTAAAACAATTTTACATTAACAATATATTTAAGAATATCGGTTGTATCTTATATCTTATCTTAACGATATGTACAGATATTTATATGTATTAATCACAATAATCTGTTACCTAGATTCATCTAAAAATAAAAATAGTATATATAAAATCGTAAAAATAGACATTTTATAGAAATTAAAAAATAGGCGACGAATATTGTCTAATATAAAAGGAATAAATACGTTCATATTTTATAATAGTATCATGATTTTCATAGATTCTTAATTTAAACTTTGTGTCCTATTTCAATTTTTCCATGTTATTATCGCTGTTCCATTAAACGTGTTTTGAAGTGCAATTTACTCCGTTTTCAGCAACGTTACATTCAATAAATTCTGACACTGACATACTGCTTTTTGGATTGAGTAAATTTTATCTAAAATATATTTATCCAATAGATTTCAAGATGAGAACATGGAAAAGTTAAAATGAGATACCCTGTATATACATATACAAATAAAATACATCATCTTTAATCACAATATATAGTGACATGAGACTATATGCTAATCAAAAAACATTATATTCTCTCAAAATTCCTTACACATAAATTTTTGCACATGTATGGAATAAATTGTTCTTGAAATATCAACAATTCTATTTTTTGTATATGCAGTAAATATAGTATATTATGTGAATAAATATCGCGTAATGATACCTCAATGTTGAAATAAAATACAAAAAGAAATTAAAATGTTGTGAAATCAGAATGCGATGCATATAGTGAGATCGTAAAACCGGTCTCTTCTTATTTATACTTATTAACGACTTTGTACCTTGTTTGCCAATTTACTTATTATTACTGATGAGTATTTTTTACTCGATCACATTTACTGTTTGTAACATTGTTCGCAATAATAATAAGCCAAATCTTTTTGTTACAATTATTTCCAAACTTACAAGGTACTCTTGTATATAATAGTCAACTATCTTTCCATTTCCTCTTTTAAAACTTTTTACTTTAAGTAGTATCTTTTATATAATTTCTTTAAATATCACAACTTTCTTTGCACGACTTTGATACTACATCACGCGAACATTTCTTGTTCATTTACATTAATTTGTAACTTTTATTTTCAACTATAACCAACGAAAAGTTTAAAATTCTTCTTAGTGTCAATTATAAAAAGACTGATTAGATTATAGCCACTTGTTTTGTATCAATTATTTAAAATAATAATATTGCATCAAACATCCTACAATTATTAATTTCGCTAAATATTGCAAAAAGGGCACATACTATAGATAAATGTCTATTATGAGTATACGATTGTTATAAATAAAATATTGATCTGACTATTTTTTTCATTACTATTTAACTATGTACATGCATATACTGAGCAATTGGAGTAAGTTTGCATCCTTCTAAATGAAAATATGTTTGTCAAGATGATTTCTCAGAACTTACGATTAACATAGTAACTCGTCTTGCTGTGAGAGGCAAGCAGAATTAATCGCTAGTGATCAAGAATAGATATGCTTCTCATAATTTGTTTGAAATCACATGGAAACTACCTCTTTCAAAAATTAAGATTATATGATTTAACTTGAAGTGAAATGAAGAATGAGGAGAATTTAAGTTTCACCAAGTTCTGGATCTTTTTCCTTCGATCTACTAGGTCCTGCATTATCCGAGGGTTTAGAGCAGAAGCCATTTGGCATTCGATTGAACTGTTTATAACCGCTAACCGGTCTTGGGTTACCTAATTCATCGTACTCTGACTCATCGTTGTTCTGCTTAATTTCATCGTAAACATGTTCAATTTTTTTCCCATCCATTTCATCGATGCTATGATATACGTTAAGGTTTGGATTTCCCATATCTGCATCTCGATTCTTGAGATCGTATCGATTATATGCTCCTAAAAACAATTATTTGTTTAAACCACTCTTATTTTATAAATAAATTTATACTACCTTTACAATCGTCGTCATCATCATCTATACAACTGCTCATTCCCAGTTTAGCCTTCTCATTATTTATTTTCTTGCTTGTTCCAAGATTATTTCTGAACTGGAAATTGTTCAACAAAGTAGTTGTTCCATCATCGAATTTCGACGAGCCCTGATAGGCATACACTGGATTGTCAAATTGAGTTTGCTCTGTACAAGACACAAAATTTTATTGCAATGAAAATTAATTTTTGCTTAAATTCTCTTTTAAATACATACCTGGTGGAGAAGGAGGATCAGCGACGTAGTGTACTTGGGCAATCTCATTTTTAAGATCAGCTACCCTGCGTCGGTGATATATCCAAGCTGCTAAACTCATAGCAACGACAACAATTGCAGCAAACAAAAATCCTGCTACTATACTACCATATCCACCATTATCTTTTTCTTGAATGTTACGTGAAAATAGTTCTTCGTTGCAATCTGGGCCTAAAGTACATTAACATTCTGTTATTATAGCAGCCAATAAATACTAACATTAATTTCCAAATAATATATCCACCTCCGTATCCATGTCTACAAATGCAACCATCAGCAGGATGACAAGTGTAAAAGTCACTTTTACAATTGCAGGGTTCCATGCAGTGATCACCGTAGTATCCTTCTGGACAAACTGTTAACAAGTACATAGAAAACAATTATTTATTATCTTATTTAATACAACTTAATATGAAACGTTTCTGCTTACTCTCGGTGCATTTGGTGCCAATCCAACCGGGTGCACAACGGCAGTGGCCATCGTTAGACCTACACTTTCCTCCGTTTTGGCACGTACAATGTTGACTGCAATTTATACCATATGTTCCTTCCGGACACGGTGTTTGACAATGCTCATCCTTCCAACCGGGACGACACTGACATATGCCTAAAGCCGGAACATTTTGATTATACGTAACAAAAGCAAGGATGGTTAAACAGATATGGAGATCTTACCGGTTACATGATGACATTCTCCACCATTTTTACAACGACAGCGATTAGCACAGTTCAGTCCATAGCGATTTGGCGGACAAGGATGTTCACAAGTTAAGCCTAAGTATCCAGGACGGCAAACGTATTCTCCGGTAACATGATCACACGTCATATTATCTGGAAAATAAAATATATTGCATAGATTTAAAATTTTAAACTAAAAAAAATTTTAATGCATAATTGTTTATTAGTAAGAAAAATTGCCTTATGTCAATCTATATGATGAATTATATGTTCATGACTTACCAGAGTCTTCGAAGTGATTGACTGATGAAAAGATGGGTAAAAAATGACAAAGAAATAATTGTGTTATATCAACCATTAAAGCAGTGCCACATTTCCTTATAATTAAAGTGTCAAACAGATTATATCAGCTATCTATACACATGCTGAAGAAAATATTACAAGCTACTTTAACTAAGAAATATCTAACTATAGTGTAAAAAATATAAGTTAAAAAGTAACAGTTAGTCATGCAATGATCAGAGTTCAATTACATCAATGATAAAAGAGTTCCAAGAATTTATTTCACATTCGTGTAGAATTCATTACTATACTTACCCTGCATTTTCTCTGGACACTTCTCTTTACAGCCTACACCATACCAGCCTTCTTTACAGGGCTGAGAACAATCAGCTCCTTCCCAACCTCTGGCACAAATACATGTGCCAGTATCAGGATCGCATGAACTGTTGTTCATACATTCGCAGTGTGAATGACAATCATTGCCATAAAGGCCTTCAGGACACTTGGTTTCACAGCGTACTCCTGTTTTATATTATTAAAATCACTAACGTTGTTAAGGATCTAATCGCTATTGAACAAGCTTTCACGTATAGCGATTGATCAACGAGTGGAAAGCAAAAAAAGAAACAGACCTCGCCATTCTGGCTTACAGATGCAACGACCCGTGGCAGGATCACAGCCCAAACTATTGTCTTCGTGACAATCACAGACCTGAGTACACCCCAGTCCAAAGTATCCGGTTTTGCAATGATCTTGGCAAAGCTCGCCGGTGAAGCCAGCTGCACACGTGCACGTGCCTGCAGGTGTTTAAAAAAGTAACGTGTTTTGGTGCACGTGCAACGAGAAAGGAAAAACCAGAATTCAAAAGATATATAACTAACAATAAGATAGAATATAAAAATAAATAAATTATGAAGAACAAAAAGAATTTACAGTCAAAAGATCGTTGCAGCTAACACCCTTACCATTTTGAGGATTGCAGGCGGCATTATTAAAACACTTGCACTTGCCCTCGCAGTTTCTGCCGAATGATCTATCATCGCAGGGACGATCACAAGAAACACCAACCCATCCTAACAAAATTTAACACATGCAAAAATAAAATTTAACTTACAAATTTTTAATGTCAATAATAAATTTGACTATAGCTTCTAAACCTCACTTACCTTATACATAATGTTTAACTTATAAATTCGCAGATACAATGCAGTCTCGCTTAGGAGCCATATAGCGAGACTGCAATGTAATGGATTAACGAACACTACTCTTATTTTCATGCAATTCAGAATCGTACAACTAAGTTAATGATTACATTCAAACAAACAGAAGACCAAAAAGAAAGCTATGACTTCAAAGGTTCATTTTTCAATCAACATTTTTAAATGCAGCATAAACTTACAAGGAATGGCATGAGCGTTTACACCTTTAGTTGTTAGTCTTCATTACTGCTCTGACGTAAAAATATAATTACCTGCTGTACAGTTGCATCGGCCATTCTCGGGTGAACAAGTGGCACCATTTTTGCAAACACATTTTTGTGCACAGTTCTCGCCGTAAGTGTGGTCAGGACATACTTCGCTACAATCCTCACCTCTGTATCCAGCAGCGCAGATACAGGTCCCGTTTATAGGCAAGCATTGCGCATTATTTTTGCAATTGCAACGATTTTGGCAGCCCTTTCCGTACGTGTAGAAAGGACAAGGTCTGTTGCAGGTTTCGCCGTCCCACCCTGCCTTGCATATACATTCCCCAGTTGCAGGATGACACAGATCTGTATTGTCGTCGCTGCATTGACAAACCTAAGATTCAATTTAATTTCCTTGTAACTTCTGTCAATTTGTAATTTCAGTGACCAAAATATAGACATTACTTTTAAACAATTAGGTCCGAAGAGTCCATCCGGACAAGCACGTTTATTGCACTTTTTACCGGTCCATCCAGGTTTACAGGTACAGGTTCCATTAACGGGAGAACAGTCCGCTCCATTTTCGCAAGTACAATTACTCGTGCAATTTAAACCAAACTTTCCTTCCGGACAGATTTGCAAACACTGTCAACAAACGATTAGCACCCATCAAACACTATTAATAAAGCACTTGAATCACACGATCAAGCCTACTTACTTTTACATCGTAGTAACCAGGTTTACATTCACATTCACCAGTGAGATGATGACAACTAGCTTTGTTGTAACAATCGCAAACTTGAGAACAGTTTTTGCCCCAGAAACCTTCCGGACAGCGGAGAGCGCAAACTATACCCTATTTCAAAATCGATTCAAGTTAAATTCTACATTCTTTCGCATGACAATTTTCAACGTATAAACTCATGTTTACCGTCCACCCAGGTGCACAGTAGCAGCTTCCAGTCGTAGGATTACAAGAACCGCCATTCTGGCACTTGCAGTCCGATTTGCACTCGTCACCGTGTTTACCAGGTGGACAAAAGTCGTCGCAACTAAACAGAATAAAAACTTTCATGAATTACTTGTTAAGCAGAGTCTCCCAATACATACAAGAGTACTCACAGAGGTCCCGTATACCCAGGAGCACAATGACACTCGCCAGAAATGTGGTGGCAACTTCCACCGTTCCTACAACGACACTCTTCGCCGCAATCTTGTCCATACCGGTCCGGTGAACACTGCTGCTCGCAATAGTCGCCGGTCCAGCCTCTGGTACACCTACATTTGCCATCGAATGGGTCACAGCTGGCGTCGTTTTGGCACAGACAGTCCTTCTCGCAAGACTTGCCCCATTTACCCGGTGGGCATTCTGTTAATAGAATGTGTATTATCAAACTGTAGTTAATGAGCGACGATCATTGTAAGCTTACTGTAATCGCATAATGGTCCTCCGTATCCCGATTCACACTTGCAGACGTCAGGTGCTATGCAAGTGCCGTGAACGCAGTCCTTGGAGCAGATAGGAATGCAGCGCTCTCCATCAGTGGTTTCTGCGTAACCCTTGCAACACTCCTCCACCGGTCTTTGCTTCGTTAATTCCTGAAATTACAAACAGTATTAATTATGCCTCGTTACTTGTTCGTTTATTTCATTTCTTCGTTTTAATACCTGTTCTTTGTACACGGTCTTGTACACTACTCTGTATTTCGAGCATCGAGGAGGAAAACTGAGACACCACGTGTAGTCTCGGACGGTGTACGGCTGCTGTTCGGACACTCTCACTGTTATCTTGTAACTGAAAATTGTTAAAAATTAGAATTGTTGAGATTATTAGAAGCTTTCAATGACAATTTATGTTTCTTGTCTCGTGCATATATACGCGGCAGAATTCCACGTGTTTCTATTCCACGCGCTCTAATTCCCTACGCCTCGTATTTCCACGCGTTGAATCACCACGCGGCGGAATTCCACGCGCTCTAATTCCCTACGCCCCGAATTTCCACGCGCTCTAATTCCCTACGCCTCGTATTTCCACGCGTTGAATCACCACGCGGCGGAATTCCACGCGCTCTAATTCCCTACGCCCCGAATTTCCACGCGTTGAATCTCCACGCGCTCTAATTCCCTACGCCCCGAATTTCCACGCGTTGAATCTCCACGCGCTCTAATTCCCTACGCCCCGTATTTCCACGCGTTGAATCTCCACGCGCTCTAATTCCCTACGCCCCGAATTTCCACGCGTTGAATCTCCATGCGCTCTAATTCCCTACGCTCCGTATTTTCACGCGGTGGAATTCCGCGCGCTCTAATTCCCTACGCCCCGAATTTCCACGCGTTGAATCTCCACGCGCTCTAATTCCCTACGCCCCGTATTTCCACGCGTTGAATCTCCACGCGCTCTAATTCCCTACGCCCCGTATTTCCACGCGTTGAATCTCCACGCGCTCTAATTCCCTACGCCCCGTATTTCCACGCGTTGAATCTCCACGCGCTCTAATTCCCTACGCCCCGTATTTCCACGCGTTGAATCTCCACGCGCTCTAATTCCCTACGCCCCGTATTTCCACGCGTTGAATCTCCACGCGCTCTAATTCCCTACGCCCCGTATTTCCACGCGTTGAATCTCCACGCGCTCTAATTCCCTACGCCCCGTATTTCCACGCGTTGAATCTCCACGCGCTCTAATTCCCTACGCCCCGTATTTCCACGCGTTGAATCTCCACGCGGCATATCCTCTACGCCCTTTATTTCCACGTTTAAAACTTACGTTTCTTGTCTCGTGCATATATTTGGTCCCTCCAGGCCGTCGACTGCCGTGAAGGCTGCAACGGCAACCAGCAAATAAATCGGTAAATCCATGGCTCGTTAGTTCCAAACACAGATGTCCAAATGTCCAAAACTATTACATCTCTTCAAAGGTGTTCGAACTGGTAAAATTTTATTCTCGCAATAAGCTCCGGTCTATTCGCATTGTGTGCCTGAAACAGAATGATCGGAATGAATACATCGGACTCCGTTTACCTTTCACAACAAATTAGAGAATGCACGAACATGATAACTCGATAAAGAGTACTCGACACTCTTTTGGAAGGCATTCTTCGTAACTTTAGACTCGCCATAACACGGTTTTAATCTCACTCGCGATTTGTTGAATAAACTCTTGAGTATCAGAGTCAAATTTCATTTTAAGATAAAGAATACGAACGTATCGACGAGGGTATTGCTAAAGAGAAATGTGGGTCACATATTCGAAAAATTTATAAAAGTCGCTGACTGCAGAGCTCTACTTACATTGAGTCATCGAAGCCTAGAAAAATTGCGTACGTCAAATTACAATTTCCGGGTCGTCGATTTGACGAATAGAAAGTTTAATCGTACACGTTGTAAATGATACGTCGTGAATTACAAAGCATGTCATTCCGTGCTTTCTCAGACATCTACAAGAAAATTTGAAATCCATTTTACTTCCATGAATGCACGTTTCAGAGAATCGTAAGTGAACGTAATGGACATCGAAACTCGCCGTCATTCAAATCTGTGAATCATGAGCGAGATCACGTTTTTGCCACTACGTTCAGATACCATGAATCACGTGCATGTGCCAAGAATGATTCCGTGACCGGAAGTGATGTCAATTATACGGGGATATCGTCGTCAATAATTAAGAATATTTGTGAACGATAAGCGATAATCGACGATGAATGTGAAGGCCAAGGCTGATCGAACTGCGTTCCAAATTACGGAGATTATCTTCAAGAACAAAAAGGGTCACCGACAGTTCAGTCAACGAGATAAAACTCGGATATCTTGGATACGTTAAAACAAATAGATTAAGAGCGAATAATGAATTGTAAATATAAGATATTTGAACTGTTGATGTTCCCGCCGTTCGAAGCAAGGAAAATACAGGGTGTCTCACAAGTAGTGTAGGGAGTTAGTGTAGAGAGTCTACGCCCCGTATTTCCACGCGGCGGAATTCCACGCGTTATATACGCTCCTATTTCCACGCGTTGAATC